TTTGGAAGCAGAGTCAAGAGGCTTGAACACTCAAAGATCAGACTATGTTCACTTTTGAAATCACACTATGTTGACTTTTCAAGTTCCCCCAGGCCTGGATTATTACTGGTAAATAAACTTCTTTTGCTTAAGACGTACAGTTTGTCTCCGGCCTTTTACTTCATCCTTTTCTTGGACAAGCTGAAAACCTTCTACAACAAATTTCAACTACATCTACCAACATCAGACTTACCACTACAAGAGCGTCCTCTGGTTTATCTCAGCCTGCTGGATTGGTGTCTGAGCCATCAACCTCTGACTGCTGTAATCACATGTGCAATACCCACGAAAAAAGTCAAATTTGTTCTTAAGGTGTGGCAACATTATGAACCATGCAACACTGCAATCATATAATATTGAAATATTCATAAAGACATGTCTTTTATTCATTTATTTATTTATTTACATAATGAAATGTACATGTACATTATTCTATATAAACCATTACATTCAGTGCACACATTGTCATTGCAGTTTTAAGATTCAAAACATAAATATTTGGAGACATCATCACAAAGTAATGGTATGTCCTTGTCAGAGTCTTTTAGGAGCGACACAGAAGCTAAATATGACTGTAATTTAAATTTAAACAACAAAAGAGATTTTTGTTTTGTCATTTACTTTTTCTGTATGTGATATTTACCCAGAATTATAATTCTATTGCAGTCTCAATATATTGTTTGGAAAACCAAACCTTTTTTTTTTTTTTTTTTTTTGCATCATTGCTGTTGGATAGTTGCCATTTATGATTTTAAACTGCATTTCTTGTGGCAGTGGCTGTTGCTTTGCAAACTTCCTAGTAGAACTTTATATATGAAATTTGGTTTCAAACTCTTTCAAATTAAAGAATTAAGGAATTTTTTCTTAGATGTTGAAAAATTGTCTTTTTAGGGAAACAATGAACTATTAGTGAGCTAGTGGATGACACAGCCATATTAATGAAAAACTCTGATCAACTTCCTAAAATTCTTAGTACAGTCAATTTTTTTTACTAAAGCATCTGGGCTAAGATTAAATCTGAATAAATACTAATTATTTCCAGTTTACGACTCAAACACATCAGCCAATCACAACATACCTGTTAAAACAACTGCAAAATATCTAGACATGCACAAAACAAAGGATGTGGACCAAAGAACTCAACTTAATATTGAAAATAATATTGAGAAATCTAAATCAATCCTTCATTCTTGGTCTCACAGAGACATTTCCCTTATTGGTCGCACATTTCTTACAAAAATGGAATGCATTTCCTGATTTATTTATCCTGCCTATTCTTTAGCAATACCTAATAATATCTCAATTAAAGCTATAAATAAAACTAACTTCATTTACATCTGGAAAGGAAAAAACACATTACATCAAAAAAAGAAATTTGATACAAGAATATGAAGAAGGTGGTATAAAGGCTTTAGATTTTCAATGCATTAATGGCACAATCAAAACAAACTGGCTAAAGCCATTTTTAAAACAAAAACTTTTCTGGTTTCATATTCCAAATGAAATATTTATGAAATTAGGTGGCACTGAATTTTTACTTCGATGTGATTATGACCTTAAAAAACTCCCCAAAACTCTCTTCATTTCACCAACAGGTCTTGTTTTACTGGAAAATGATTTTCAAACACAAAACCCCAATGTGGAACTGTACATTTCTACACATTTAATAAACTGGTTAGAAAAAGGTAAATGGTCTGTAACACATATGCAGACCAGACAGGAACTGTTTTATCTTTTGAGAACTTTAGATGCAAATTCAACATTTTTGATAAAACTCAATAAACAATCCACTCCTCAAGAACTACTGGTTATAAAAGCGTCTTATTAAACACAACCACAGTGCACAGAGAAGTGAGGAGCGCTGGGGTGCTAAAGCAGAACTAAACCAGGACTAAACCAGGACTAAACCAGAGCTAAACCAGGACTAAACTAAACCAGAAAACTAAACCAGAACTAAACCAGAGCTAAACAGACTAAACCAGATAAACCAATAAACCAGAGCTAAACCAGACTAAACAGTAAACCAGGTAAACCAGGACATAATTTCAGGCAGCAGTGACCTCATATGGAAATCATTTCTCTATCAATAATATTTTTAATATGTTTAAGGAAAGTCTGGGCTTTTTATTTTCTTTTAACAGACAAAACATTTTATGTTCGTATATCCTTGTCTGTGTTTCTCTACAGTAAAACCTGTTCATGGAGACTTGGGCTCAACAGACAATTTGAAGAGAACAAACATGAATTTTCAGGATGTGGTTGGTACATTCATGTAGTTTTAAAAAGCATGACAATATCAAGTAATCTAAAGTATTCAGATTATGTTACTCACTTTAAGTAATTTAATGGATTACGTTACAAACTACATTTGGGGGTCTGTAATCTGTGGGGGAATATATTTTAAAAGTAACTTTCCCGACACTGGTAACAGGTAACCAGGCCTGGATGCACCTTCATTTTAGGCAGATTAAATAATGATATTTAAAGGAGGAGTATTGTCTTTGCACTAGTCTGAAACTCATGCACCACACACACAAAAACACTCACACGCACACGCGCACACGCACCATGGACCTATAATAAGAACTATAATAAGTTATTATATAATAATATGAAGACACGTCACACACTTCTCCTGCCTCATTAAAGGGGACGTACAGTCTGGCACACTCACAAAGTTCAATCTGGGGAAAAAAATATACACAGGATTCTGTATTTTATACAAGAAGTTTGTGCTCACCTTTTATTTGGGTCGTACGTTAGTCAGTATGGAGACTGTCGACAGGTGCAGGCTGTCACCCAACCCCTTTTAGTGAAAATCTTAGAAAAAGAAAAGATTTGTTAGTCTGTTGCCAAATGCCAAAAAGGAAAAGTCTATTGGTTTAAAATTGTCCACGTTCAAAAAAGAAAAAGGCTGCCCGCATCCTCCACCAAGTTTACTGTGGATTTCTGTTTTATCTTGCAAAAATGAAAAAACAAGAGCAGAGGCACTGGATGGTTCTTACCTTTAATGATGTTAAGCAGAAGTCGCAGCATCAGTGACAAAGAGGCAGTCTTCACATGCCCATTTTTGCAGACACCAAAGTCTGGGGAATTCTTTTTAACTGATACATAAATGTGGGAGGATCACAGAACACCTGCAGTTTGCAACATTCAAGGCCACTGAACAGAACATTTTTGTTTCAATGTAGGAAGAATTTAGTAAAGAGAATAGAATAGAAAGCCTTTATTGTCATTATAGAGTAGAATGAAATTCAGAGCTGCTCCGTCAAAGTGCAAGAATTAAACCAAATACATGAAACAAATGAACAGTTCTCAGTGGAATGATGATTCAGTATGGTGACAGCTTTGGGGAAGAAGCTGTCCCTGAGTATTGGTCCTAGCTGGAAAATAAAATAATAAAAAAATGGCGACACAGCGCCACCTGGAAAAGTCAAAATACTATGGGAGACGTCCTGATGTCATCTTTGTCATAGAGCCATGAAATTCAGTACACACATTCGTCATGTGAAGACAAACAATCAATATTATTATGGCCACGCCCCCTGACAAACCAGAAGGCGGCCATCTTGGATTGAAATTGTCTAAATGCTGACTCTGCATTTTCCCTGAAGTTGTGTTTGAACGAACTCCTCTGAAGGAGCTTCACCCACAGGGCTGAAAATCACTGTACATCGTCTAGAGAAGTGGAGCATCTAAAGTTAGCCAAATTATGTCATGTTGTCATTTTGTCACGTTTACGTGCGGCGAAGTCCGCAAATTTTGATCATAATTTTGGATAATTCTCAATGTCAAGATTTGCTCCTGTTCGCACAGACTTAGTCCGATCATGCTGAAATTTGTATCACTAATGCATGATCTCAGTCTGAATATAATACACTATAAAACATATTTGAAAAGTGAACACTATAGCGCCCCCTAGCATAGACATGAAACATCAACATTATCAGATCTGCACCAAATTTGGGGATTAAATTCTATGAACAACAGGAAGCAAAAACATATTAGTGACTTGGGGCATTTTTCACTCAAAAATCACTCAGATTTCTTTCATTTAAAAACACTTAAAAGGTGCACTATACAATTTTTCTAGTGGAGAATTTGTTGGCACACAAATTTAGAAAAATGTAAGGATTAGGTGAGGAGTTAGGGTTCAGGTAATGACAAGGGTTAGAGTTGGATTTGGGGCTGTGGTTCGGGTTATGACTAGGGTTAGGTTTAAGGTTAGGATTACATTTAGGGTTGGGCTTAGCATTAGGGTTTGGGCTAGCAGTTGGACTTGTGGCTGGAGTTTACAGATATTAGTGTTAGTGTGGGGCATCGCATTTGCGGAGAGTGGCATTTGTGAGGAGCGGCGTTTGCAGGTGCGGTGGGCACCTTGCGGCTTTAATTTATTTTACTCTTACTTGAGTCATTTCTTGCGCCACTACTTTGTACTTCTACATGAGTAATAGTATTTTAATAGTACTCTTACTTGTTTACATTGTCTAACTGTTCTATTGACCATTTGACAGTGGATGTTTTCAGCCTGCACTTCCTGTTTTTAAAAGGCATTACGATCACAACTGAAACTGCGTTATAGAGGACAGGACACAAACAGGTTTGTCTCATTCTCAGTTTATGTTCAGGCCTCATGTGAAGTTCAGAACCTCCAGAATTCCCTCCTTGAGCTGCAGAGGCTGCACTAGCACTGACTCAGGATTGGTGCAGGTGCTGGGCTTTAGGCTCATTCTGCTTTCTGATAGAAGAATCGTCTTGAACCAACCACCACCTTGTCCATCATGCTCAATGATTTAACTCTTCATTACAATAGTTATCAGTAAAGGCTGTATTTGATCTTAACATCTTTACCCTCATATCTGGGGAAAAGTTTTTGAAATTTAAAATCAAAATCGCTCACACTGTTCTTTAATTTGCGATGAAAAGCAAATTAAATATGAAAAGAACACACACACACACAGTTGTTAAGGCACACGTCAGAGCTGCCTTTATTTTCATACAGTTACACAAGAGATACTGATACTTTAAACAGAAAGAGTTCATTTGTGCAACAGCTATTGGCAGAGCGAGTCCTTCCTTTGCCCATATTTGGCCCACTGTGAAAACTCACCAATGTCCACATTTGGATCAAGTATCCGTGTTAAAGTATATGGCCATTCACCACTACACAATGTGACCTGCTCTGGGAGCGGTGTGACCAGAGACAGGAGACGCCCACTGTTCCATCACACACACAGAAGAATACAAAAATATACACTTTTGGATGTGCGCCTCCACACACAGAAAATAAGGCTAAAAACATTAACGTTGGCAGAAGAGCAGGGCTGCACAGTTTATGGCAATAGCAAAGAGAAACTCTGATGTTGTAATTTTGTAATTTCATACAGAGAGCAGGGTCTGATATAACTCAATGTAAGACTTACTACTGAAAAAATCAATTGCAATGAAATTAAAATGCTGATTTGTGTTGTAATACAGTGAGTTCCAAGATCTAGTCAATAACTTCACATTTAGGATATTTCAAGGCAAAGTACAAACTGGAAAAAGTATGACTGGAGTCTAATCATTTGATATGCAGTAATCTAGAAACAAAACCGATATTTTCCAGGACATTCGCAAATCCATGCAGTTTTCATGTCCAGGATGCATGGAGCCCTGCTGTAAATCATATCTTCATGTAGAAAGTATTGAAGTAGTGTGTATTCTCATTATAAAAGCTGCTGACCCTGTGGTTTACTCGTCTACAAAATAATATTACCTTAACTATTCTCTCAAATAAAAAATCTCCTGGATGTGGTTCAAATGTGCTGCGTAAATGTATTCATGAATTAAATTATTATTGGACTTAGCCCCCAACAGTGCAGCCCCACAGAGTGTCACAGAGCAAAGCAAAGGGCACTTGACCAGAGCAGTCTCCATAGGCAGCTCCACTACAGTAACACACACCACGCACACACACACGCACACACACACACACGCACGTACACAAAGTCCTATAGTATCCATGTTACAGTTCAGACCGTGTCAGGCCCCTGGGTCCTGGTGTTGGGGTCCTCGGAGGCGGCTCCCGGGGACCCGGACCACCACACACACACACAGTTCTCCTGCCTGCGTTCCGGATGCCCTCCCACGTCTGTGTCTGAGCCCGAGTCTCCCTCACTGTCGCTGGGCCACGAGAACTGGCGCTGACCACTGGAGGTCGCCAACAGCGGCAGGAACGGGTGAACACTGCACACACACGAGAGAAGAGAAGAGGGGGTGGGGGTGAGAGGACGCCGCACCGCACTTTAGAAAACATTGGTACATTAGGCTGGTCATTTAAGCACTGATTACCGATAGTATGTTTGTCACCATATTTGTTTTGATTCATTTAGCAGTTTTACCCTTGGCTTAGCACAAACCTCAGTGCTGCTCTGTGATCGGTGCTCCAACCAGCGGCTGGGCCCTATCGCTCCAACCACTATTCAGGTTTATGTCCCTGAATTAATTTTGGATATTTCAGATGTATATCAAAGTAAAAGTACAGTTAAAACCATCTAAACATAGGGTTTTATCCCATCTGTCCCTGCAGTGTCTACTGTGAGAGTAGATGAATGGCAGTGTACCTGACTCCGTTGGTACAGTCCCAGTGGGCCTGGAAAGTGAGGTGTGGAGGGTGCAATTCCTCTGTGCTCCCATAGGGGGTGCAGTGAGTGTCCCACACAGACACCAGGCCCTCAGTGTCCCCGCTCAGCAAGTACCGACCCGACCTGAGCACAAGAGACAAGAGGAGGACCAGAAAGTTACAATCAACAGCTCCACAGTCAGTGTCAAAAGTCATCTTTACAAAAGTGAAACAAACATAAAATAAACACAAACAGTGGGCATGTTTGTACTGCTGTTGCAGTACTTACTATCTGAACCCAGTTTTTCTGTTGAGAGGACAGGATGATTTCTTCACAGTAATAAACTGTGATAAAGCAAATCTCTGACAGTCAATCAACAGGTTTAACATGTGTGGATCTTCTGAGTCTTTTTGCAATGGCGAGCACAGGTCTGAGACACACAGAAGCACTGCTCCACTGACTGAGGACAGTCACTAGAGCTGAAGAGGTGACAGAGAAAGCCTTTGCTCCTCTATATATCATAGGTAGTTTCTTAGTTCTTACGAGTCGAGGTCGTAGTAGATGCGCTGGTTGGTGGCCACGTTCCTCTGCAGGGAGAACAGCACTTTGCCTGGCTCCCTCAGGTCCCAGCACAGGATCTCTGGGTCCTGGTGGAACACACAAGTTTGGAAAGCTAGTGAAGTTAACAATCCACAGACACATGCTGTGCAGAGGTTTGGAAAATCAACACCTCTACCCTTTGGAGCAGATAAGATCCTGACTGCCCTGACTGCCGTAACAGGTGGAGCCCTGAGCGCCTTTAAACACTTTACCTTTATATTTTTATATTTGTGTGAAACATTTCACACTGTGTCACACTGTGGGATATTTATATGTAGTGCCATGTATTTTCCCCTCCAAAACAAATCTACCATAGGAAGGGGAGTAGGAGGGTTTGAACAGGGCTCAGGAGAAGAGATGTCAATTTGGCATAATACCCCCTGTTTAAATTTAATATGTATTGTACTCTGTCCCGGTCTCTAAACTAAACTAAATTTTAGAAAATCTAAATCAGCAGCATGTTTGAAAATATAGTTTTTGAGAAAATGTATAGCGCATCCAATAGTATTTACAGCTGCTCTAATCAAACACAAACCTTGCGTCCCCCGGTGTACAGGTAGTTCCCATCAGGAGAGAACAGGAGGTGGGTGAGGCCCCCGCGGTGGCGTGTGGGCAGCAGAGCCACAGGGGTCCCGTCCTGACAGCAATAAACAGCAAGACCCCTGGAGTAAGAGCCACAGGCGTACAGGGCCCGAGAGGGGCTGAACGCCAGGCACGAAATGATCCCACCAACACCCTGCTTCTTCACTGCAAGCACACACACACACACACACACACACAAGAGCTGTGATTCAACACATGTCCACTAGAGGGGGCACTGGTCACACTACTTAACAACATGGCATAGATGGAAATCACATTATATACTGTGAAAAATCTACAATATTTTGATGTCAAGTGTGCCACTGTAGAATTATCATTAATCATTAAGTAATGTATGAATAAATGAATGCATTCAACTATTATGGCCACTTATTTCACTTTTACGAAAAAGTAAAATAGGAGCACTTGCACCGAGTAACTTGACAATGAAAAAGAGATTGTAACATTAATATGGAGTAGTATACCACTTATATTTTCAACTAGTGTGAGGGGGAACACTGGCAAATCCAGATGGATATCTCTGTATTTTTCAAGCCAGGATCAAACATGACTGTCCAATCAATTTGTTTTGTTTTTTCAGTGACACATGTGAACCTGCTATAACATAATAAATACACTTATTTTCTTGAGTGGCCAAACCCCTCATGCTCTGTATCCTGCCCTCACAGTGACGGAGGTGTGCTTGTGCGTGTGTGAGTCTATATATGAGTCCATGTTCTGACCTATAGTGGGCCTCTCTTCACAGTCCCTCCCGGGCCTCTCAGTGTGGAACACTCGGACCATCTTGTCAAAGCCGCAGTAGAGCTGAGCCCCGTCTGGGCTGAAGCACAGGGAGTGGGCGGCCGTCAGCTCGTCCAGGTGGTTGTATGGACGGAAACTGGCCCTCACCTCCCCGTAGAAGGCATCCCACACGTGCACCGGGTTATCACGGCTGCTGCTGGCCAGGCTGCACACAGCACAACCAGCACAAACCAACATTCTACTTTTCGGACTGATACAAGATTTTAAAAAAGAATATATTCAGCAAAATTTACTTTTATGAGCTTTTAGTCATGTTATAATGGGTAATGTTTTGACTGATTCAGCAATGTTTCAGTATTGTCCTACACATACAACCCATCTCCACCCAACTCCCTCTACCAACTTGTTTTAAAAAAAGAAAAAAAAAAGAAAAAAATGACTGCTTACTAGAACCAAATGCAACCAGGACTTCTGTTTTTCAACAGGAAGTCATTTCTCAACAAAATTATCTATGTATGCGACGTTTATTACTAAGGACTACAAAAAAGCACGTCTCCTTTACGGCTACAATAGTACAGATATAAAAGCTAAAAAAAAACTTCTATGGATGCTGTTGATGGAGAAGTAGCATTTTGTTCTTTATAATTTAATTCCATACACCCCTTTTTGGATCCAGTAGCTACAACTAACAGTAGCACCTTTGTGTCACCAGGTGGCACTCTCACTCTCTACGAGGTGAAGATGAAGTCTTATGTTAATCATTTAAATGTTTACAAACTCATACCAAAATGATGGTGTAGCTATACTGAAGCTCCAGTCTAAATGAGATGCAGTGTGTGTGACTCACAAGCATGTGTCTGGATCCAGAGAGCTCATGTGGGGGTACCAGCAGTAGTCGTAGATGGTGTCTCCTTCAGCCATGCGCAGCACTGGGCTCTGCAGAAACACACACACACACAGACACACAGACACACACAGACACACACACACAGAGGGAGAGAGAGAAACCGGTATGACAGCAGAAGAGGAGGACAATTTCATTTGCTAAAAGGTAGGGGATCAAACCTGGGCAAAACGCTTGTGCGGCCTTGGTTTGGCGTACACATAACAGACAGTTGTTTCATACTCCATCATGATTAATCCATACGTTAGGATTAGTTGTCAAAGTCTGGTTTATTTTGTGATCATTTCAGTCTCATAAACCAGGCTCAGCTAGAGTGACCATAATTTAAGCCAAAGAAGAATCTCAACATAAACTATTTTTGGCATTTTTTTTCGAGCATTTTCAGTCTAAAAAAAACATGACAGAGAAACAAGAATGTATACTGCCCTGAAACACATTAGGTAAACAAGGACAGGGCACTTTCAGTTATAACTCCTCCCTCAGGGCAGTATCAATTGTAGCTTCTCAGTCCTGTCCCTTCAGAATGAAAATGACTTTTAGATAGAAGTTGAAAAGCCTCCATTTCAAAATACAGTGTCCAAATGAAAAACTTTGAGTCACTTTCTACCCAGCACGACTGAGAGAATGCACTGACACATCAACAGTGCTGATATCCCTATAGCGATACAAAAATGAATTTTATTCACTTTTTTGTTTTTCTTCTATTTCCAAAGCACACACACACCTACAGCAAGCAAGACAGAACAACCCCGTCCCCTGCTCCAATCAAAAGGAAATGTAAAAGGAAATGTAAATATAGAGGGATAATCAGACTACGTCACTTCACGCTCTACTGTGCATGTCTCCTGCAGAAAAAGTCTCTGTCCTGTCTGTATCATGCAAGTGTCTTGTAGGATTTCAGCAGATTTCAGACTCTCCTGGGGGCGGGGATAGGTGTAAGTGGTTGTCCGGCTAGTGAGACATTTCTTCTCATCATGTAACAGGTCGTATCCCACTCACTAATGTTCATTTAGAATCATAACTTATGTAAGTGTTTTAGTGCTGACAACAGCTCTAGCTAACACTGCAACTACATGTGAACTGCACAGACAGTGACACTTTCTGTACTCAGGCTGTGAGCATCTGTTGTGTTGATGGTCAAATGGTAAATGGTCTTTATACAGCACTTTTCCACCTTCCACCTTCAAGGCACTCACATACCATTCCATTCACATACCAGTGTACACAGACACTGGGGGCCTGAGGTGGGTTAAGTGCCCTGCCCAAAGACACAAAGACGGACCTGAGATCGCGCTGCCAACCTGTGGGTCAGTGGACAAACGCTCAACCAACTCAGCTACTGTCGCCCAACAAATGATAAACAAGTCATCCGTCTATTGTTAAAGCTTTCAATCACTGGGCCCCTCTCTCCGTCTCTCTCTTAAAATAGTCAAAGAAATATCAAATAAATACATGGATAAATAAATTAAAAAGCCCATGAAGGCCTCACCATCTCTGGGATAAGCTCCCAGCTGGTGGAGTACAGCTCTGGGGGCAGGTTGTACACACGCAGCACGTTGTCTGCACTGTTGGTCAGCAGACATGAACCATCCGGGGCCCTGGGGAGACAACATGTACTTTATGCATAGTACTGTACAGAGTATATATACACTGTTATGATATTTAGAAATTACTAACTGATCTGTAACAACCACCATTGTATCATATGTACAACTTTTTGTAAAAGTGGGAGATTTTGGCTATTTTTGTTTTGTAATATGAGTTGAGCTGCAGAGGGTTGAATAATTAACTTCTCTGGCTCATTACTGGATCCCTCTGTTATTCATCTGTTACAGCTCAGGCCCAGTAATGACACCATCTATTCAAAAATGGTTTGCAAGGATTATCTTGCATTCTTGTATCAGGGACATGAAGTAGTTTCAATATTATCGTTTATTGCAGTATATCTCTGACTCTGAATGTGTTAAGGTGACCTAATTGTAATCATGTATTTATAATTAGTTACATTTAAAAACATACTGAGTAGATAATGTCTCTTCTCTGCTCTTTTCTATGTCTACAAACAGCAGCTCATAGCCTGCCTGACCTGCCCAAGTTCAGGAAATACACAGACTGTGGTTTAAAACAACTTCATTCAGTTTTAAACTGTTCAACTGACCAAATTTTGTATTTAACAAACATCTAAACTTCACCTAAAATTGTGGAATAAAGTAGCTAGTACTTTTTTATGCATGGTACAAATGTTGGTACATTTAAGTAAGTACATTTTTACCCAATTAACTGCACTTTCAGTTGAACGCAAATTTTCAGAACTCTTTCCACCACTGAACACTAAAGAACACATCTTCACTGTTAATTAAGTTTTGGATCAAAGACTTATACTATTAACTCAGTTAAGTAAAGGGAAACAGAACGTTCTGGAACACAAACTCTATGTAAAACTGTAGCAATACCATTTGCAGCCTTTCAGGTAATTCTCAGGGAAAGAGGAGAACTCTGCCCAGGAGCCAGTCAGCATCTGAGGATTCTGGGAGAAATCCAACTCAACACTGCAAACAAAAAGAAAAGGCTCTTAATGGAGTCATAACAGTTTTGTTCACACCTGTGCAGGTTCTGACAAGGAAAAATATGCAAAAATGTCAAAATAGTGTCACAAAGACAAAAATTAGGGATGGGTGATATATCGCTCCCAGTATCTGTAACAGCCGATATGGATTCTTTGATATAGTATTGGCTGATGCAGATACTCAATATCAATATTCAATAGTGATATTTTGGTGCTTCTCTATTTTCTGAGTATACTTCTTGAACAGATTAATGGTAAAAATGAAAATAGAAGAGTGTTACATGGCTGTGTATGTGGCTGACACTCATATTTTATATCCCAGTAAAATACATTTGGTTACTATTTTTAAGTGAAAACTTTATTTGTGATCTTTACAATAACTTAAAATCCATAACAACATCCACAGATTTATCTTATTTTTGGTGAAATATCTGTATTGGCACATATAGATAATTGGCCACAGCCACAAGCCAAATATCAACTCAAAAAATAATTATTTAAAAATGTTTTCTTTATCCAATCAGCCCATGACTACCAAAAATGAAAGAAATATAAAGATTGACAACATGAAACACATGGCTCCCGGGGTCTTACCGCTGTGGGCACCTGGTCTCATCCTCTGGTTCCTCTTGCCCCTCAGGCTCCTGCTCTTTGGGGCTCTCCTCCTCTGGCCCCTGCTCTGGCTCTGGAGCTCCATTATGATGCTCTTCCTCTTCACCTTTGACCTCCACATAAAGTTCTGCTGCAGATGCACTGTCAGACTCTGGTACTCCTAAAACAACAGTAAGGATACATGTAAATGATCATTTCTGTGCTCAAGGTGCACCACTGAGGAGAAGAGCTGTGAAATCTAAGGCCCAATACCCAGTTTGATCCCATGTTTTTTATGCCCCAGATAGAAACCAAGACAGAGATAGATAGATTATATAATCAGCTCTTGAAGTACATAAAAAAGTCTGCCGTGCACTCTCTGCATCCAGTAAATACAAACCGTGTGATTGTCCTAAAATGAGAAAAAGTTACTCATGCTAGTTGTTGTTAGCTTTACCGTCACAGCAAAGCTCCACTCTGGTCTCTGAAAGTTGTGAAAAGCACTGATACAATCATCATTGTGAATAATCAGGATGCTGAGAATGCATAAAGTAAGTGAATGGTTTAAATTAACTAGTTCTGTTTTTCACATTTTTGTGTCAGTAACAATCAAGCACAGGGCCTTTTGAGTTAGAACAGTGATGCATCTACATTCCAACCATAGTCACATGTTTTGTAGAAGACTGACCAGATATGTGAGTCAGGCAAAGTACAGTTTGGGATTTCAAGTTAAGTTTGTATTAAACTGCATCTCCTCAAGCCTCAGTCATTTTATGTACTCATTTCTCCACCTGGTTGTGAAAGTGCTCCCTGGCAGAGTAATGCCTCAGATAGATCAAAGCTGCAACCAGCACACTGGCTTTGTATCCCTGGGCAAGACACTTTACCCACCTTCTGCATACAGTTCAAAAGCAGCTGAAGAAACTTTGTCAGAATCACAACACGACTGACAGAAGTGCTATAACACAAGTGCATTATTACTATCCAGACTGTGTCTTCCTTTCAGCCTCATGTTTGTGAGTAGAATGCCATTATCTTTCTGCTGCAGACCATTCACTGCAGGACAGACATAAAGACAGATTAAATGTGTGAATAATGAGTTTAATCTGATTTTTTACATATAAATACCAAAAAAATGCCAAATCTTCAAAATGTGTGAATGAGACAAATCACAACTGTGTATTTACAAGGGTAACGGTTTGTGATGAGGAACTATAACACAGATCACAAAATCTTGTAATATGGGCCCTTGAAATTATATTGTGCAAAGGAAAATAGGAGCAACTAGAAAAGCACTCAGAGAGCGCAGACCTCCGCCAAGGACTACCCCCATTTTTATATAAATTGCGATAAAATCAGTCTTCTGGATCAGATTCGGATCAGCCTTTGGAATATGAAAGAGGATCCCATTGTCCATCCCTGAGTCAAATTTCATGGGGTTTGGTCAATAATTAACCGAGATATTGAGAAACAAAATTTTTGGCCCCATTTACCACAATGTTAATTAAAATTTCAAAGTGATCCAGAATCCAGGATTTCTTCCGGATCACCCCCAAAATTAAATCAGTTCTTCCTTTTCACATTTCCAACAAATCCTGAAAATGTCATCAAAATCGGTCCATAACTTTTTGAGTTATGTTGCTAACAGACAAACAGACAAACAAACAAACAAACAAACAGACAAACGCCGGCAAAAACATAACCTCCTTGGCGGAGGTAATAAAAAGATCCTGCCGTATAAATATAACAGAAAACTGTCTTGAAAGTGACAGTGGCTCTGAAGTAGACTTCATGTCACCCAATCACTTAGCGATTCTTTCAGCACTAAAAGTAGATACTATTGATGTCTTGTCACAGCCCTATTCACAGTCTAAAACAATACTGTCTATCCACAGATAGGGTTTTCAAACATATTGAAAATAAGATACTAAATCAATACTAAACCCATTGAAACTAAATACTCTTTTGAGCAAGTACCAGTACGAAAAAAGTCCCACTGACAAGACAGAAATTAACCTTTCCTGAACAGCTTTAGAATGATGTTGAGCTGTATCAGAACAAGTATATGAGCACACAGACTAGTATAAAGCCATGGACCACTATGGAACCTACCTGGGCTTACACACATATAAGACCACATGGGAAAAGAAAAGAAAGTATTACAATATAATGTTGTAAAGCACATTCTAAAAGTTTTTAAATGTCAACGTCATCGTTACTGAGCATTGAATCTGTCACTTAGTATCAAAATAAGAGTCTGAAATGTTAATCTTGTGAAAACTTCAGTCACAGAATCTACCCACAGAACATACCCAGGTGTGTCAAAGTTTGCACATCATCTCGAACTGGCGCCTGGCTCTCTTGACTCTCCTGACTCTCCTGTTCACCTTCTCCCTGGTCCAGGCGGGCTTTCTTGGGTGCACAAGGCTCCTCTTCCGCAGCCCAGGGATGCTGCAGTGATGGCGGCTCGTTCTCCGCCTCCGCTCTGGCCTCGGTCACGGCCACGTCTCCACCTCTGCCTCCACCCGGGCTTCCTCCGCCACCGGGCTCATCCATCGCTCCTCCGGCACTGGGGGTTGGATGGAGGAAGGCCGGTCAGACGCGCTGCGGGTCCGGTGGGCTGCTGCTGGGCTTGAGTCTGGAGAGAGGCTGCAAGAGGCGGCCGGGGGAAGAGGACATCACAGCACAGAGCCTGGTGGAATCATAAGAATAAATTTTAAAAAACTATGCATATTTATAACAACACTGCAAATTGTTTTATTGTGTTAGGATAAATAACTAGGCTTAGGTGGTGTGTAACTGATGTACTGCTACATTTGATTATTGTACTATTATAATTCACTATACAATGACCCAGAAAACAGGGACCTGATTACAGCTGAGGGATGCAGAGATAGTTTCAGTTCATGTACAAGATATTCTATTTCTATCTATATGTCTAATCAATTAACTAAACAGGGCAAGGACTTATTGATATGGATATGCTGACTCACAACTCATCACCCTGATCAGAGCAGCAAGACGCTCATGTAAGGGCAGTGAGATGAATCCGGGGGATCCTTGTCACAATCGGAGAAGATTGTGCAACGTGCCAAGAGGCCTGGCTGACCTGTGCACCAACGAAGAGGCACTAAGTCTAAACCATGGTCGCCTCCCACTATAGTTTGTGTATAAAAATCATTATATAGGCGTAAATATTCAGTCTCTGCATGGGAATGTCAGCACAGACTCCTTGTACAAGTATGACTTTGGAATAAGTAAATTATCTCGACTTTATTTCTGTTTCAAGTGTATTTTTTTGTCTAAGCAGAAACTAACGAACACGCGAGGAAAAGGGTCATTTTCCTCAACAATTGCATCCGTTTATCCTAAAAATACGTTGTTAAATGCTAAAATGGCGACAGCGCTAGTGCAAAGACACCTGTTTACCAAAAGCACTAAACTTTTCCTCGTAACGTTGTTCAAAATACGAATCAAACTATTCTAATTTCACATTTATATTTTAGTTTCTTGTCTGCACTCGTGTCAGGACTGCACAGCTCACATTCGGTCGAGCTCGCGTTGCTATTTCGTGCACAAAAGTACAAACACAACTCACTACTCCATGTTTGTTAGCATTAGCCACATTAGCACGCCGATGCTAAAATACCTCTTTTAGGGACGCTATGTTGGCTCGTTAAGGCCAATGACGCTTCTCTTCGCACGCTGTCCTCTTTTGTAAGGTAACTGTGAACTTGAGACGTGCGTGTGTGATTTGATAAACGTTTATTTGCAGAGTTTCCAAAGCTCGTCACAAGTTGTAAACACTCCCCCGCGCTGCCATGTGTCTGGAGGTCTCGCGAGACTCATTTGAAAACAACTGCGTTTGTATGGAGATATCGCGAGAGAGGCGCTGAGATTGAGTAAAGTAGCTCATTCAATTCAATATCGTTATTATTAGTTTGTACCATAAATGAATACAAAAAAAAAAAAAAAAAATCCCAAAATTTTTTTTCATTCTCAATGTGGTTCGTGCCTTCGTTAACATTATTATTAGTTTGTACGACCATAAACGAAAAATAGCATCTTTAAAAAAAATAAAGATAAGAACTAAGAAAAAAAAAGTCTAACACTGTAGAAGCCTTTTAAAAAAGAGTATAAAGTTTTATGTTTTGAAAGATATAGTGCTCTGGGATGAATGAACTATGCATTCAGTTTTGTTTGTTTTAATTTATATTTTGTGTCTTATAAATACAGTAAATTGTAAGTGAAATTGTAAATGCAAACTTACTGTTCATACACTGCTTTTCTTTCCTGGAATTCTGTCATTGTTTAATAGGTTTGGCATTATAAGAACTTTTTACTTCAGCATAAACCCTTTCTGTCATGATTAGGGGTGTGAAAAATATCAAAATATTGATATATCGTATTGTTTAATATGATGATACTGTATTGATATTGTGAGCTGCTGTATCGATATATCAGCAAAAGTATTTTTTGGTATTTACTGTATTAGTTACAGTGCTACAGTTTTGTTGTTAGTTTAGAGCAGGGGAGTCCAAACTTTTTTCATCAAGGGCCACATATCTAAACACACACGAAGCAGAGGGCCAATCGAGTGCCGTAGACTGGTACTCAGTACAGGGAATAATTGAAATATGTGCATGTTTAACACGTTAGAATGAGCCATCAGTTCTTTATTCATGCCAAGATCCTTAAAACCACACACTAAATATGAAATATTAGATTTATTAATGTAGATTTTCAAAAAATTTGCAGTAAAAAATATTTTTTTAATTGATGCAAGGTAATTTGGGCCAATTCACCTGGAAGCTTGAGGGCCAAGAAAAATTTGTCTGAGGGTCGCATTTGTTCCCCGGGCCATAGTTTGGACATGCCTGGTTTAGAGGAAGGGAAGTCATTTATGCAACACATTTGACATTTTCACTGTTTTGAGGATTGAAATGGGCATGTTTCATATGAACTTTGCACAAGAAGTGGTTTAATAAAGACTAATAAAGATCACAAACCACGATTTAGCTATTATTTTTTATTGAACAGTATCAAATCGATTTGAAATATATTGTATCGAACCGAACGTGCACTGTATCGAGATATGAATTGTGGCCTATGTATTGAGATATGTATTGTATTGGCAACTTCTTGATGATACCCAGCCCTTGTCATGATCAATCCAATCCAATCCATGGGATTGGAGTCTATGTTTTGTTTTATAGTGCTGCAAAATGACTGAATAAACTACTACCTTTACTACAACTACTTCTTCAAAACTGAAAAGTACAGAGGAAATGACTCAGTTAAACAGTAAATGTTAAAGTAATTATTTCTATTTGAAAATAAAAATAATTACATAACAATTAATTCATCAACATATATTCAATATTAAATAATGAACAAAATAACTGGTAGTTTTAAATAATAGCCAACAGAGGTTGACCAGATTTTCAAAATCAAAACCTGGGACACTCTTGGTTTGTGGTGTTTGGTAATAATACAATTGTGAAACAGGTGCATAATTCAGGAAAATTGTTACTAACATGTGATTCAGTATAGTCACATTTTCTTTATGTTTTGATAATTTTTAAGTAGCTTTTCTGTATTTTACCTAAACAAATGACAATTTATGCCTCTCTTTACTGTTGGCAGGGATCAGTTTGGTCAAAAATTGGGACATTTCTTGTATAAAACTGGGACAAATCACTGGTTTTGGATACATCTGCTGGGACAGGGGACACAGGGCTCAAAACTGGGACTGTTCCAGGTAAATAGGGACATCTGGTCACCTTAAGCCAACAAAAATGAGAAAAATTAAACATATCTGAAGGACACCTTTTTACATTGGGAAAAGTAACCCCAACTTTAACTCAAATAAGAGTACTGTATTACTGTTACTCTATCAAATGTAAGATTACTCAAGTAGGAGTAAAGGTATGATGTCTGAAAACTCTGAGAAGTGCAATTTCACTTGAGTAAATATTACAATGCACTATCCACCTTTACACTGGTATATGTACTTTTCAGTAAGAAACAGACAAATCAATTCTAAATGCCGTTTATTTTGTATTTGTTCGTCAAACAAAAGTCAAACTATTTACACATCTTCCAATTTTTTTCAAAACTGTTTCTGAATATGCATGTTAATGTTTAACAGCAGACTTTTGAGGCCAAGTAGCTGAGCTGACCAGAATATGCTGACAAAATAATACAAAATGAATTAATACGTGGCTATAGAATTAGGTTAGATGTTTTGACAGAATTCTCAAGTACACAGGGTTTTGACAATGCAGTGGTCTACATGGCTTACATAAAGTGAAACTACAAGTAAAATCGACATTATAACTCAGTTTAACCTTTACCCAAATTCAGTCTTTTCCCTCTTATTTGGAACTATTTGAAAAGTTGAGTAAAATATTGTCAACACTGTCAAGCCTTCTAATTCAAATCCTCAATTTATTGTAGTCACCTCATAAGCCATTTGACCATACCTCACCACTTACTGCAACATAGTACACAAAACATTGGTTGATTAACACCATTCTTGTTTCAGAGACTAGCTGGAGTGGGAACTGTCTTCACCGTGCATTGTTAAAACTCAAAGTACAAACACTGGGGCAGATTTTTTTTGAGAAGTTGTATTCTTTGTGAAAGCCCGTCAGCTCAACTCCTCAGCGCGGCCTTACAATACACTATACATCTTGAAAACCCAAAAATGAACAAAATTACAAAGTCCACTGCTTCCGAGCTAACCTTTTACTGGGGTCATTTGGACGTGTTATAGTACAGTCCTTCACCAGTACAGACTAGGTGTTTCCAATTCTTACCCAAGTTAGCCATTCCCGGACCAAACTATACAATTTAAGGCATTTATAAACAGAAATGCAGCAAAAGAATGGGAAAGAAAGGTGATTATTTACAAATTGTACAAAGTTGTTTGTCTCTCATCGCCTGTACAGCAGACAAACTTGATGCGTCCGACCGTGTTGACCTGTGGTTCTTGATAGCGCCACGGTAACTAGAGGTTGCGGTGGATATAGTGTCTTTAACTTGTAGTTATGCAAGTTTTTTGTTTTTTTGTATGTTTTGAGTTTTTTCCAGTTTGGCGCTTTGAGGTCAGGCCAAAGTCTGTCCCTCTGCTGTTCAGGGGCCCATCCAGAGCGTCACAAGGGGCCCATTCAAATGCCAAAGCCAAGTTTCTGAGGGTCCAGGCTCCGTGAGGCAAGGGCCCGGGTGAAGGGGGGCCCTGGGCAGGCCACAGGAGAGCTCCCCAAAGAACAGGATGACGGCACTGTTTAACTCCTGCAAAGCAAAAACAAACCAGAAGTCAAAACAAGTCTTGAATGAAGTTTACTGTCAGGTCCACACTTCAAGGTCCCGTACCTGATTATAAGTACTTTTCACAACTTCACTAAACAGTGAATAATTGGAATGCTCTGACTGCATAAGGTACCATATTTTCCGGGCTATTAGGCACTCTGGATTATAAGGCACACTGTCATTAAATGGTCTATTTTCAAACTTTTTTCACAAATAAACGCAACCAGACTTTAAAGGAAACACAACAGTTGGATGGGTGAGTGGGACTTTTTTGTGGCGTTCACGGTGACTCTGGGCCTTGTTCAGTTGTGGAGTGTAGGGAGGGTGCTGTCTGGGATCGCTGGATTGTCGGCGTGTTCGCAGTGACTCAGTTGTTCAGTTGTGTCTAGAAGTGGCACATTGCACTCGCTTTTTCGGTTCGTTCCTCCATTCTGTTCCTCGTCGGCATGGAGTGATGACTGCGCTGCGGGTGGTGCGGCTTAATAGTTTACTGAAGTCGTGCTGGGACACCTGAGTGGATTCGTGTATAAGGCGCTCTGGATTGTGGGGCGCACAGTCGTTTTTGATGGGGTTGGAGGCTTAAGAGTGCGTCCTATAGCCCGGAAAATACGGTAAGTGAGGAGTAGATTTGGAGCAATAAAAACAGTTTAAAATGAACTTGTTTTGTATTTAAAGATGGAAAAATCAGCTACAGTGCCTTTAAGTTCACAGTGAAGTCAAGTCAGTTTGCAGTGTCCAGATCCACAGTCATACTATGAACTTTACTGAAGATGGTACAATCAGGTCTCGAGCCTGGTCCACTCTGACTTTTTGAAGGTCACAGAAAAATTTACAATGAGGACCACGGTTAAGCTTACAGTGAGGTTCACGGTTAACTTGACTGTTCTTAATTTTTTGGAACTGGTCCAATTTTCTTCTGTAAAATGGAATCTTGGGCATCATCTGCTCTAGATCTAAACTTCACTGTAGATATAACTGGACCTCACTGTAAACCTGATTGTAGATTTTACAAAGGACTCCAGTGGTCTTGAGGTCCACAGAAATCTTTACAGTAAAATCCAGTCAAGTCTGAGTCCACAAGTCAAGTCTAAGTCAAGTCAAAAGCCACAAAATTACAAACTCGATTTCAACACCTCTGCCATTTTGGTCTGCACCTTATTTTTGAAATAAAATAAAGGCTAAAAGCAATACCATGAAATGTTAAAACATCATAACCCGTATTTTTACAGCAATATGGAATACTTCTCACAGTGTTATTGTGCTGTGCTTACCTACAGATAGAGGAGCAGGGAGTGTCCGGTCTGGAGGAGTCTTCTTCCTGAGGGCCGGTCCCAGGGCTGACCTCTGCAGCAGTCAGCATCTCTTTCACACCCTCCTCCCGTGGATGTGCTGAGTGGACACTGGAAAACGTCCACCACGAGTCCATGTGCTTTCCCTTCCAATCCCACTTTTACTGGCAAACCGAGGGGAACGCACCAGAGTTCAAATCCAAAAAGATTCTGGAACATTCGCTAGTTTTCCTTCATCCGTTGACAAGTTTCCTCTCTCAAAGTACTACAAAAATATGGTTATTTACAAGAGTATGGGAAGGCAGGCCTCTCCAGTCTCTGATTTATTTTTGGGAATTTCTTAAAAAACAAACCAAAAAAAAAAACACAGTCCTCTTGTTGCAGATGTGTCGCCATCCCCAAAATGGTACCTCACAGCTTGAATGAACCAAAGTGCATAGGTGAGTTGATGAGGGCAGGCCGAGTGCTTTTGATGAGGTGAAGATCAGCACCCTGCCAGTCCGCCCAGGCTCTGTCCATGCTCTCGCTCCACACTGGACCATCCAGTCACAGCATCCTCTCCACGCCAGGATGCCAAAACAACTAAACTAATCAAAAATGGCAGAAGCGCACTTGCAAACCCACTCATCTTATACGTGGGAACAAAAAGTCAAAGCGAAGGTGAAGAAACTAAACTGCAGCCACATGTCCATGCGGTGTGTAAACAAGCAGAGCTCAGTCTGACAGAGGCAGTGTGTTCAACCGTTTCCACACATTTACTTCACCGTGTAAAAAAACAACTTTGTTTCCATTTTTGAAATCTTCTGTGGGAAAGTCTGTATCAGCATAAGTTTGTTATTTTTTGGAATACATTCAATATTTTCTTAAGAAACAATACACACACTTCACATGGTGATAATGAAAAAAAAAAATAGAACAAAAAATAGCAGCCCAAGTGCTCATTATCTTAGTCCAAATACTTTTAAACTTTGTATATAATGTATATATTCATATATATTTTTCATTAAAAATGAAAACTCGTCATTATCAAATTGCAACAACGAATACGTAACACAATATGCTAACATTTCATGCACCGTCCTGTGCATTTGCACATTAAGATGCGTTTTTTTCAAGGTCAGAAACTCGACACTTATCATTCACAAGTTCGAGAACTGACAAAGGCAACATGGTCACATCAGACCTTCAGATGGACCATTCCACACACTCGCACTGTGCTGTGCACACTCACACATACACACACATATACACACATATACACACACACACACTCCAAAGTTAATGTCTCAATGGCCACGCACCCTATCCGAGTTCTTAGGCACAAATGTGCAGTCATACAAAAAGCACATGGATTTACAAGTACCTGTAGTCTTAAATCATTTGTACACACACGCACACGTCACGTCCCTCATGATTGGCCTGTCCACAGACAGTTCCACGAGGAGAAGCTAAGGAGAGAACCTAGTGGTGGTCATATAAGAAGCAAAGCTAACATTTACAGAGTTGCTCTCGGGATGAAGCTGATGAGAGAAAGGAGAGTTGTGCAATTGGCCTCTTCCTCTCAGCTGCTCTCCTAAACATCCAAACCCAGTTTGGACAGGACACACGCACTTCTTATGAGAATACAAAATTACTATTTGAACAAAAATAGACATAAATGGCCTCTTATGTTTCATACATCTTGGTAAGCAACAAAAAGAAAAGAAAAACATTGTGCAGACTGTTATATTACAACACACACCTCTGTCACGCATCACATTCACAAAAATATTCACTTCTCCAAAAAACTGTAATTTTGTTTTTGTTTGCTTTTTTGTGGTTTTGTTGTTTTTCTGTGATTTTTCTCATCTCTTTTGTAGGCAAGTGCAAATCTTCAAGTTTTTATAATCCACTTTTTCAATAGCTTGACTTTTCTATAAACATAAAAAAATGCTGAACAGGAAATATCAACAGTGTTTGTCTTTTCGAGAAAGGATTTGCTCTCTGATAAAGTAAAGGTCCCTCTGACAATCACTCACCGCTGTGTCTGCTCCCCTTCCAGTTCTAACCCCCTCCCCTGCCCTGCCCTCCTCACTCACGCTCACATGCACGCGCACACAAACACACATTTCAAATCCTGTCTCGTTAAAGTGCATTAGTTGAGAATAAGGTGCTTGTAGTTGAGTGCCAGAGGATACCCCTGTGCCCTGCTCACATGAACACGGCCCCTCCCGCCCCGGTTCCCCCAGCAGTGCACATTCGTCATCAGGTTTGTCTGATTAAAAGACAAGAAGGCCTCAGGTAGCTATTGCTGCTGCGCTGTTCCGCCTCAGTACTCCTCCACCATCTCCATGTCGTTCATAGACAGACAGTCCCCCGCGTTGTGGAATGAGTACCCTGTGGAGACAGTGGGACAGCCCTGGTCAGGTATATACTGAGGGCATAGCTTTGGGTCACATGTATGTCATACAAATGCAGCTATAGGCAGATAATATCAATGTTGTGTTACAGTCACCCTTGGAGGTCGGAACTCTCATTTCAGAATGACGCAATCTCTGAGATTAATATCGGATGCACGTTCCAGTTGTCATGTACAAGATTGAACTCGAAAATGTGTTCAAATTGTTCCCGGAGGCCACATCAAAAGTAATCTGGGAGTATCATCACATTACAGGAACTGAAAAGTCCTTTTCTGATGTGAATGTTCATCACTTTTGCAGCAAGAAAGTCTAATCCAGCCTTACTCTGACCATAGCCCAGTGACCAGGTTTGCAAAAGGACACTCACCTAAGATGCTGGGGTCGGAGTGCAGCATCAGGGGCTGTTTCTTCTTCATCTTCCCTCCCTGGTTGTCGTAGAGCCCCGCCTTGCCCATGTGGTTGGCTTGGAACATGGACTGCAGGGTATTAGGGTTCATACCTCGCATTGAGTCCTGACAGATAAAGTTATAAGAGGTGTAAACAAAGGATCAAAGACAGCAGACATGATTACAATATGAAGGCCATGTTTTGGGGATTTTAAAAATACTGGGATCTTGGGTTGCCATAGAGTCTATCAATATGACAAATATAAGAAACAAGCACTACTTAAAATATAAAAGAACATTTTCAGACATATAAATGAAGTTATCTCTTTTAAAGATTTAAAGTATACTGATGTACTAACCTGCAGAGGGAAGTTCATGTTCAACCCGGCCACTTCCTTTGATAACTGTCAAAACAATAAAAAGCATAAATAATGCATTGTCTATAGTATTGGTTGTTATTCCAGGGTTAGGTTTGGAGAGCTACCTGCTGCTGCTGCCTCTGTTGGTTGGCTTTCTGTTTGGCACGTCGCTCCAGGAACTGTTTGGCAAACTCTTTGGCTTCCACTGTGTCCCCTAGATAGGACCGGATAAAGTCCAGCACTGCATAGGGTGACTCCACCTCCTTTAGGTACGCCACTATAGTGGCAACTGAAAACAATGATATGAGGTCAGTCAATGTACTGTGTCCCATGAGAGGTGGGGAGGTGCGCAGTGAGCCTACCGTCCAGAGAGGAGGAGTTGTTGGCAGAGGTGTTGAGAGCGTGCAGCATCTGTTCACACCATGTGGTGAAGCCATCCTGAGGCTTCATGCCCTGCAGCAGCTTCAGCAGCTTCTCCTCATCATCTGTGCGCTTCCGACGCATCATGTACTGTTCACTGCACGAGCAAGCACACAGGCACAGTGAGCCAAGGCACAGGGAGAAGGGGTGATGTGCTTCCAGACACAAAGACAGAGGCAGAGGTGTGTGTACCTGAGGGAGGGGCTGCTGCGGCTGTTCTTTAAGCCCATACTGTTGTTGGAGTTGGAGCGGAGGCTCTGGTTCTTTACAGCCTCGTCCCACATGCCCATGCTCCCACCGGAGCCTCCACTGGCTGATTTGCCCTCCATGGCCCCTGCGCCGCCCCACATCCCCATGCCCTCAATCCACTGGTTTCCCATGGACGAGTTGCCCATAGACATGCCTGAATGCTAGAAAAACAAAGCCTGTCGTTACCTATGTCACTTTTTGCTGTTTGTCCCACACAAAAAAGGAGATGGAGACACCAGACTTTTCTGTTCAGGAACACATGTGGTAGACTTGTTTAATGCCTGCGCTTAATCAGTCTCGTGTGGAACTCTGCATGCCAATGTCAAAGTGTGCTATATTTTACTATTTGAATGGTCTTTGTTTCTCAAATAGATAACAGACAACATAAGTAAAATAAGATTAAGTGGTGAATAATAAAGGAGACAAACAAGAAGGACAGATTCAGTTCTTACGCGTTCTCTTTGCTGGGCTCTCTGCTGCATCTCCAAAAGAGTCAGAGCAGGGGGCTTTCCTGATTTGGACAGACCAGAAGAGGGCGCTCCTCCCCAGCTCGAGCCACCGGCTCCAGGCCCCTGGGCCTGAGGGTTCAGGAGCTTCAAGAGTAGCTGCTCCTGCTGCTGCCGACACTGCACAAGCAAATGTGCACAAGATTAAGAGAAGACCATTGTGTACTAGAAGTACAAGGGTTAGACTATAGAAGCTATCCATCTCTTTTACCATCTCTAAATCTACAGTCATTACCATTGTAAGGTAATCTGTTGTATTCAAAGTGCACACTTTACCTGCTTGCGTCTGTAGAGCTCTTCTTCGTCTCTCCTCTTCTGCTCCTCCTGCTGCCTCCTCTTTTCCTCCCTGCGCTTACGCTGCTCTTCCTCCTCGCGCTTAGCCCTGAGTTCAGCATCTCTCCTTTCCTGGAGCTTCACAGGAAAAAAGGCATGTTAAGCTCAAAAGCAGGTCCATGTGCTGAGGGTACAAATAGAATACAATGTGTGCTGACACAAACCTTTTGAAGCTGTTCAAGAGTTGGACCCTGAGTAGAAGGATTCATTGTTATGTCCCAAAGACTGGCTTCACCGCCTAAACAAAGAAGAGTTCAGTGTTGGTTAAGCATCAGTACAGGAGAACATGACTGCACACTCTTGAATGTGACAGTACCTGATGGCTGTGAAGCTGAGGTATGCATGTCCCACAAGGACCCTGTGTCTGGCACTGACATCGACCTGTTCATCGAAGGCATCATACCCTGCTCGCTGCACCTGTCAACATATGTCAACAAACACTTTCACTATTAGTTTGCATTTTACCGACTGAAATTATTTGACAGAGTTCTTATATCTTCATACTTAAAAACATTATTTTATAATTATATTTTGACTGTCCTTTTGTGCCATGGGTTTCCATCACAAACCTGCTGGCCGGCTTAGTGGTATAATAGTGATACCTGTTCATGAGCTGGAATAGCTGCTGGTGCTGGAGCTGTTGATAGAGCGCTGCAGCAGCCATCTCCTGCTGCTTCTTCAGACGGTCCTGGTCCAGATTACCCTGCACGAGAACCAGCTTAGCGCAGTGGAAACATCTATGGAACATGTCACATGAGCTGAATAATAATCATAGGTGATGGCAAGAGATAGTGCTTAAATGAAATTTCTGGACAGGGCCCGTACCTGATTTCAAACTATGAGTGAGAAACAGGTTTTGGTTTCAACATTTAGTACTGCCCATTATTCATTTCTGCTTAACTAATATCTAATAACGCCATTCAAAAAGCACATTTAAAAAGCAAGATTTAGCAAAATATTTTAATAACTTGGCAGTAAGTTTTAGCAACAAATTTTAAATCAAATTTGGGTGGTCAGTTGTGGTCATTAGATACCACATAGCTGAATAGCCCTGAGCAAGCTTGCAAAATCTACTTGAGCTCCATTGTACAACAACACAGAAACAGCTGTCTGGGATAGTGTCAAGCAGTTGTTTCCTTAAACTTCTCATATCTCTCATATCTCAGTTTGCTTTTTTATTGTTGAAAATACAACACGAGAGAGAATCAAGTGTCTGGTATAGCGTCACATTTTGTGCTTGTCTATTGTTACCGTCAGTAGCTTCTGTGTTAGTTATTTATAATTATAGAATAAGATAAAAATGAAAATGCTCCGTAAAATGAACAGATTCGCCATTTGTTTCTTGTTAAGCATGATGTAAACAGTAACTAATAATAACAACTCACAGTCCCGGTGGAGCTCCGGCTGGGTTGAGGGCGCTGCGATGGTGGGGGCTGTCTCACGAGCAGGGGTGGAGGGGAGGGCCCGGGGGCAAATGGAACACGGCCCCACATCTTGATGACGTCCCCCAGGGGCTGAAAGCCTTCATCACAGCCCCGTTTGACCAGCAGGGTCATGGTGAAGTAGCCCGCCTGGAACCACTCACACATCTCCATAGTGCTGAAGGGACCTGAGAGAGAAAGAGCCAGTCTCAGCACAGAAAACATGTGCGTGAATCAAACACTATATAAATCCAATGCATTATTATTAGAGAAGTGTTTGTTAAAACGAAAAAACAAAGATCTAGAAAAGAGCATCATGAATATGGATAAGCAGTATTTTTTGCACAAAATGGTGGTGTAATGACAATAATCTTAGTTGCAAATGATCACAATCAAATTTAATCTATTGATAGTGATGAGCAATATTATAGTTTATTATGTGATCCTTAGTAGAAAAGGTATACCTTGGATCTCTCCCTGTGGATCTTTGTAGAACCACTTCATGGCAGCCTCGTGGGACAGGGGCAGAGCTGCAGCCGTGTTGCGACTCTCCTGTTGCAGAGCCTGGGTGAAGCACTCCTCCTCTAGAGACGTATCCTGCAGCGAGGCCACCATCTTCTCCGCCTCCTGCACACATGCGCACACAGATTTAAAAACTGCAGCACTGAAGTGTCAATTAAAGCTTGTCAGATGTACATATCCTGCATCTAAACATTTTGGATCAGCTGTGGAGAAAGAAATGTTGAAGAAACCAAAACTACACTGAGGTTAGTTTGAAAGAGCACATCCTCCACTGTTCCAATAACAGCCGCAGCAGCCTTTAAAGCTACAGATTGTAATTAAATTAGCAGACCCAGTCCTGTTGTATTGGCATCTACATTATTTGTCTGATAATAGGCCAGCTTTGGCCTGACGGAAGGAAACCAGATAGCATGGGTGACATTGATCTAAAAGGACTTTATAAAAGAAAGAAGGCCCTTGTCTTCTGCATTAGAAAATGGCCACGCTCAATGGTAGCAGATGACGCTGTAAACATCATCACAATAAAGAGTCAGCAAAGCTGTCCACCCCTCCTATAGATAGCTGCACATCACACTAGCGAGTAGCAGATGAAAATGGGGGTAGATTGGAGCAATAATGTCTTGAATACAGGAGAATAAAGATGACTTAAACATGACCAAATCATTCCAAATACAACTTCCGAGAGGGTCAATGAGAAGCAAAACTAGAATATGGTTAAAAGCACTGAAAAAAGGATTTAGCGTAAGGTGCACTTTTAAAGCTTGCGTGTACCTGTTGAAGATGCGTCATGCCTTCATCGTCCTCTGGGTCTCCTCCGCCTGTGAGGGGCAGAGGGGCTGCAGAGGAAGAAGGAGGGGGAGGGAGGACACATGGGGCAACCGTGCTTGAAGAGAGATGAGCTTTTGTGTCGGCCATCAGAGACACATCTGCAACAAAAACAAATGTATAAAAATCAGTGCAGAACTTTTGATCAAACCAGACCAACTTTGCTAAGTCTAAACTTAGGGCCCTTCAGAGCCTCATGACGCACCTTGGCTGGTTGTGCTGTTAGGCTTCAGAGACAGCCCATTGTCCACCACAGGGGCCACTGCACTAGGCTGAGGCTCCTGTGATGGAGGGCTGCAGCGAGTGGGAGAAACAGAGGGAGAAGATGCTTTCTCCTCACCGTTCAATATCCCACCACCAGCTTTGTTACGTTCTAAGATAAGAGAAAGACAATATAGAATATACAAATACACAATGTTCACACTGACAATGCAGGGTGATTATTCTCACCCATGTCTTTGTCTCCTTCAGCACAGGTTTTCTCTGGGTCCTCAAGACCCTCCTCATGCTCCTCCTCATCTTCTATTCCTTTGAATTCCAGCTCTTCCTCCAGGATGGCATCTTTTCCAGATTTCTAGAAACAAAATAAGATACAGATTCAGTTTGTATCTCTAAGATGTGCACTGGAACTATGGAATTTTTTTTGTAGACCTTTTGCTAAACCTTGATATCTAAAAAGGCTGAGACCAACTGACTTAAGACTAAACCAGGGCCACAACAAGATATCTTCTACTAAAGGTCATAAAGTATCTTTTTTGGTCACAGTACATTTCATTCACCTTCATGTTCCTGTAATACATGTAGTTAGTTGTGTGTGATTTTGCAGAGCCTACTACAGTCTACACACCTTCAGAGGCATGAAGGCTCCAGAGGAGTCAAAGGTGCCCATCTCACTGTCTTCCTCGTCAGTGCACCACTCAGGCAGGCCATCCCTCTCGTCGTCTGGTCCATCACTGCCCGCGCGCCGTCGTCCACCTCCTCCATGGCCATCAGAGTCACGGAAGTCAAAGTCAAACTTTCTCCTGCGACCTTCCCCGGGGCCAGTGTGATCCCGCCAGCCCGCTGAGCGTGGACCACCATCTGACAAGCACACAACAGACAAAGATTAAACATGTCCCGCTACATGCCATTATCCTAGACTAAAGTGGAAGTTGATTTTCAACAGGATACTGTTTAAAAAACAGCTTTAGTCGTGTTGGCATTTCTCTGTGTCTCCTACCATCCCTGCGCGATCCGGCCAGTCTCCAGTTATTGCCCGGCTCTACCTCCTCCTCCTCCTGCTCCTCTCGGAGCGTGCGCCAGTTATCACTGTCAGCCCTTGCATACTCCTTCCTCCCTGGAGCAGGGGGGGGTCCAGACTCCTCAAAGCCCGGCCGGCCCACCTCTCTCCTCAGAGGCTTCTCAAAGCGCCGCTCACCCCTGGGGATAGGAGGATTAACAATGAGAGGAAAAGTGTCAGCTTACATACCTTCCATAATCGTGATCAAAAATACAATATTGTATGTGTAAATGTATAACTTAAAAACAGGTCCATAATTCAACTATTTGAGCAAAAGAGCAGAATGAAATGTGTCACCTGTCATCCCAACTCTGACTGCGATGTATCTCTCGAACATTGCGGCCAAAGCCCCCCTCAGATTCTTCAATACTTCTTTGGTAAAACCCACTTTCACCTCGACCACGGCCTTAAAACAGATTAATAAAATGAGGGCTTGTTATAGCACAAATATAGGGGACACTGGCTAAGAAGCCCAGCAGTGTGGGCCCTTACAATGCACACGTAATGCACTCTAATTAGTGCTTACCTCGACTGCCTCGTGTGGCCCCTCGACCTCGGACCACTCCGGCTGGTGCGGCCCCTCCCACACCCTTCCCCATGAGCCTCAGCACGGCCACGCTGTTCACAGACATGGAGAAGTTCCTCTGCGGGGGTTAAACAGCAGGAATGTCAGCAATGTGAGCAGGAATTCAGCAGCCTTCAGTTTGAGCTCTGCTCGCCCTCATACACAACATCAGCCTCTTATTGGAATATACAAGGGATTTAAAAGGGGTAGGGATGGGCTACTGAGTTGATTTTAATCTGTCACCATTCAATTATATGTACAGGTCAATGACATGATTATTTATTTATTTTTTTATCTGTAAAAGCATGTAGTTTGAGCAAAGTTTGAGCTTTGGAAGAAAAAAGCAGTCTATGTTTTGTGTCAATGGGCATTAAAAGTCATGTCATGTTTATGTTCATAAAATTAAGTGAAGACTGTGACAAATCAACAAGAAAAAGAAATCCTCAAACATTTTTGCTCTACCATCCAGCCCTATTTTAAAGTGATTATAATGAAGCAGAGCTGTATTCTCAAACGTTTGCTCTGTAATGGTAATCTATCTTAATCAATGATTTCCAAACTGTGTCCAAATCTACAAGCCAGCAGAGGTGGGTACTATCGAGCCGTACAGAGAAAAAAAGAAAGGACTGGTAGAAAGTGTGGCGGCCCTTACCTGCTCCTCCTCAGTGAGAGGCACCAGTGCCAGGGGCTGCATGGGCTCATCTTGCAGAATAGCAGCAAACTCCTTATCCTGCATGTCCTCTGGGACCTGGAACCATTTGGAGCACTTGATTTACACTCCTACACTATTTTTCAGCACTTTTATCAGTTCACTGCCACAATAGCCTTCAGTCTGTCTATTGATACTTTGCAGCTGTCATCAACATTCCCTGGGGGTGTGATGCTAACTGGTGGTATTGCTCTGACTGAAGCTCTGAGACTAGACATTAATCTGAGATGATTTAGATAAAACTACAACAGGTGAGTTGATTTTCTTAGTTAAACAACTCCCTCTCAAATAGCATAACATACTCACCTTTAAGTTGAAAATCAAACTCCTAAACAGGACCATGAACCCCCATACTGATCATAGACTTCTAAAAATACACATTTTCTCTCGCATTTTCTGACTATTTTGAACATTTTTAGCTTGGTTTGTTTGTTAATGTGTGCATTGTGTCTCCATGGTAACTATTGAACATTCCATCATATACAAACATGTAGAACACCCCCAACATGATGTCACTGCACTCCATTCAAAAGATAAAATATTTTGCAATAAATTGTTAATCACTATGGGGTGTTTCTGCAATAAATAACAGAAGGCAACACATAACACTATAATGAGTTCATAATTCAATTCATAATCAACCTTCTGCAGCTCATGTTTTATCACAATACAGAAAAGCAAGAGGAAAATATACCCATGACAGATAAATAAATAATTGTATTGTAACATGTATTGTCAATATAGTATATATCTTAACAGGCCTAGGTCTTTTTTTGCTGACAATAAAAGATATTTCCACGCCATAATAATAAGTGTACAAATTAAACCATGCTTTGCAGCTGAAATTAAACTACAGAAAAATGACACTGTATATTGCACTGGCAGTTCTCTCACATGTACTGACCTTGTTGTCTTTGATATAAAGTGCTAACATCTCCTCTCGGCCGTAGCGGTACTCGGCCAGCTTGTACTTTGGCATGGCAGGGGAGGGAGGGGGAGAGGTCACACTCCCCCCACTGGACAGTGCACGGAGCCTGGAGAGGTCAGGAAAAGTTGTTAATAAAATTCAAGCCATTCATATGTGTCTGCCCTCTGCTGGTCAGTCTATTCACTAGACTGGTTTGTTTTATTTTAACACACTGCATAATGCTAGAATGTCTGTTATAAAGCAAAAAAGTTTAGAAAATTTTATGTTTATACATATATATATATATATATATATATATAAATATATATATTTTTTTTTTAATTTGGGAAACGGATTATGAGTAAGGTTATGAAATGTCTAAAGGTCCTATATTATCACAAAATTGACTCTTGTTACCTACCTGCTACCTCCTCAAAAGCATACCTACAGATTACCATGGCAACCAGAGCTACATGGTCACTTCAGTCCCTTCAGACCAGACTATGTAGCACTAACCATTTGGTAGGCACAATATTAATAGCCTTTATAGATATGTTTGCAAAATTGTTAAAATAATGCCTATTAATCAGTGTTCGAAAAGGTCCGCCCAACATTACAGGCCCAAAGCTGACTTACCATTCTGGGCCGAAGTTAAGAGTCTCAGCTGTCATATTCCTCACGTCCACACAGTATTGAGTATCTAAGAAAACAGAGCTTTATTCAGATGGGAACATAAGTATCTGGAGGAGTTCCTCTTTCTCATCCCCCTTGGCCTTACCCTGTCCAGGGATTCGGAGCAGGCTGGACTGAGCTGGAGCAGGCTTGAGCTGGTAGGCTTAAATTAGGCTAAGGTGACTAAAAGGCTGAGTGGTGCTTATGCTGTGGTCACGGAGCGCCCCAAACACTCACGATTCAGAAAAATAGCTGCCAGTTTCAGGTGTTTGAGGACTACCAGGTAATCAGACCAAGACTTCAGAATGCAAACGGTTTTGACTACCGTTAAGAATGGAAGCTCCTGCTACTCACAGCCAAAACATAAAAAACTTACGACAGAAAAAATAAACACTCTTCTTTTGAATATGAAGGTTTTTGTACAGCAGTTATGCCTCACATTAAAGGTAAAAAGATGAACTCAATCGACCACAAAGGTAAAGAACAGCCAATAGGTGAAAGACCGTCCGCTGGAGCCACGAGCAGACGCGAGCTCTCCTCTTCAGCGCCTGCTCTGCTCTGCTCTGCCTGCTCCCAGTGAAAAGAGGGCTGAGGGAGAGCCTCCAGGTGACTCCTTAAGATCTGACCCCTTCCTTTTGCGCCACTGCAAGAGATAAAAAAAAAAAGACAGGGTCAGGTCTCTCCAACAATATGAATAAAAATGTCATATTGACAATTTGTCATATGATGATTCAGTGCTTCTGTTTAAAGGGCCCATATTATGCCATTTACTGATCTGTGTTATGCTGTTGTTTCCTCAGCAAAACATACCCAGAGTTGTGTTTTATTTCATTCACACATGTTAAACACAAAAACAGAAAACACCTTGTGATGTCATGTGGTAATACAGGCAGAGTTCTGCCTTCAAACTCCACACACCTTCACCCGAATTATTTGGATAATTTCAGTCCTGGAATCACTTATCTCTACTAAAGAAAAGGTAAAAGTTAGGTGTTAACGTGAAAACTATCACTAAATGACATCACAAGGTGGAACAGTGTGTTTTGAGCTTTGGGGATGTAGGCAGACTAATAAACCAGGATTGTTCAAGCATGTGTTTATGAAACAAAACAAAACTCTGGGTATGATTTTGATGAGGCAGTAGCATTATGACTTGACTGAAAGCTCACAATAATGAATTCTGAATAATACAAGGGGTTTCCTACAGCACTTATTTGCCGTTTTCTCATTTCAGCAATTCAAAAGTTATTTAGTTCATGTAGCCCTTTCCTGTATAACAAATGTACAAATAAATGATGTGTAATGACAATGGACATTAACTTTTTGCCATTTGACTTTTCATGGTCTTTACAATCCCTCAGTCATTCAGACAAGTTCCATGGTATTAAAAGCTTTTAAACTAAATAAGTCAAGTGCTATGGTTTTCTCAACAATAATGTGTATACACAGTTTTTAAGTGTAAATGTTTTCTGCACAGTGTATATCTCATTCACTGTTTAAATAGATAAACAGAAAAATGCTGCAAATGACCACATGGTTCTATGGGTTTGGGCCAGTGGGCCAGTTTGGGTGTTTTATATTTCAGCTGAGTGAAATTAAATTTGTGAAGTGTGCATGTATATCTGTTTACAGGTATATCTGTTTACAGTAGTAGTTGTGACAGAATGGATTACGTCCACTTGCGTAAAAACGAACCTCAACACTGACGCTTTTTGTTAAGGAAAGTGGCGCTGTTGTGAGGAACATTTCACAATTAAAATGAAGACATGGTCAAAACGTTTTCAGCTCCAGCACAGAAAACACTAAAGTGTAAGTTGTAGTGGGCATTCTAACTCGTCAGAGGCTCTATGTTGGGACTTGTTTACTCCATGGCGCATCTCGCCGCTGCACACGGAACTGCCGTTAGCCTCTTTAGCACAGCTAGCCCGCCGCGGGGTCCAGGCCCGGGAACAAACGAGGGCTCACGGCTTCACTACACCCTGAATGTCGTTAGAAAGTGCATTTCCCGTGTTGGGGCTTTGGATTGGGCTCCATGCGAGCTGTCTAGTGCGTACAGCTCGGGGTCCGCTGCATAGGCCTCGGCTGGAGGTTCAGATGACACAGAATGATGGCGGAGGGGGGCGGAGTGATCTGGGGAAGTTTAGCCCGGCCTGCTCCGCCAATGTGCGGACGGACATCTGCCCGAAGGCCGCCTAAAACCCAAACGCTGCAGCGCAAACAAATACATCCACACTATAAAAATCACTAGTGAAAACACGGCATTATTATTAACAAGAGAAGTGGCGCAAAACAAGCCGAATCATCATTTCATGCACGAGCAACGGTTAGCATTTAGCTAGCGTGAGCTAAGTTGCTAAAGCTGCAAAAAGGAACCGTGGCTTACCTTCACTGTTTGTTGTTACTAACGTGGTGTGCACGGTCTGTCTACGGTCAGATTATCGCATGCATTGGTCTCTAAACACTGTAAACGTTTGTATTCCACATAATCCTATATTGACGATGACGTGATATTAATGTAATGTCTTGTTTTTTCCCTCTCCTCCGACGGTCGCTGCTGCGTATCAGTGTGTGTCTGCTGGATCGTTGCTCTTCTTGTTGTTTGTGTTTCGGAAACATGGCGGTCCGTATGACACCACGTGACTGAGGACTGCCAAGCGGCAGAGCACAGCAGCACCACCAGAGGAGCACCCACCAACAGAGGAGCACCCACTACCCGACAAGCACCCACTGCAAGAGGAGAACCCACCACCAGAGAAGCACCGCCAGAGGAACAGAGCCGGAGGAGCAGCCCACAGCCGGGAATCGTATCGGACCAAGTACCTCAACTATATTTGAACTGGTATTAAGATTTCTTAGCCTAAGTACAAGTTTAAAAAATGAAAGCTTCATCTAAACGTCAAGTAGCAGGCTAATAATAAATTGAGCTTGCTTAATGTGTAACCATATTCATTTAAAAACAAAACGTGCTATTATTGCATTATATTTGTAACAAACGTTGCTATTTGCCGGTAGAGGGCGCAAAAACACAGTGTTAGTTAGCTGATTGGATCTGATCAAAGTTTATTTTTGATGAAGAACGTACCATAACATAAATCCATCAAGTTAGTCTAAGTCTAATGTATATTGTTTATTTTATGACTTTTTTTTTATAATATAAAGAGGCCCCCAACTTTATTGTAATGGCTGGATTATTGCTGCACACTCATCACAGAACAATAACACACATATAAAAATAGTATACAGAAAGGAAGATATAAAAAAGAGATCAGTTAACACAATAATTAAAACAGAACTAAACAATTAAATTAATAATAACTAATAAATAAATAACTGAAAAAAAATCAAATTAAATTATAAACAGACAACCGACTGAGTGAGTCAGGCAGGTCATTCCAAAGCTGAGGACTGAAAAGATTCGTCGGATCACCCTTCGTCCGGAGCCTCGACCTTGGCACAGGATCAGGATCTAAGGCTGTGGGAGGGCTTGTACAGGGTTAAAAGTTCTGAGATGTAGCTTGGTGCCAGACCTAAACAAACTTTTAAAGTGATCAGAAAAATCTTAAAATCAATTCTAAAAAGCACAGGCAGCCAGTGAAGGGATGCTAAAACTAGTGAGGAGCCTAGCTGCTGCTGCGTTCTGAAGCAGTTGGAGGCGGGACATAGATTTGGTGTCAAAGCTGGAGAGGAGGGAGTTGCAATGATCTAGATGGGAGAAGGTGAGCTCATGGATGACTTTTTTCAGGTCAGGGTGGAAGAGGACATGGAGGTGGAGAAAGGATGACTTTTTTTTTTTTTTTTGACACCAAGGTTTCTGGTAGCATATTGGAATCGAGAAGGCTGAGACTATTGCTGATATGCAAGGTGGATTGAGGAGGACTGATTAAAATGAATTTGGATTTAGAGGTGTTTAATTGTAGTAGGTGTTTAACTATCCAACTGTTGTTATAAATTTGTAGGCTGTCACTCACTGCTAATGCCAAATTACTATAAACTGCTTATGTTTTGCTTAACAGATTTTGAGCTTTTAACAATGCAACTAATATATGCCAGATATATGTCTAACATATGCCAGATGAGGCATTTAACAATGTGCCACCTTTGATTGAGATAGCATGGATAACTGGATGAGAGATTTGAAACTGGAACGAAATAGCTTTTCTTATTGTTTGGTGGAGTGTTTGACTCCCGACTGGGGGCTTTTGTTTCCTATGATATGAAGCTAATGGAGATGCTTGGCTTTCTTCTTCTCAAGCATACGATTCAGGATGCTGTAGATCTGCATACTGTGAAGGGGCTGAAGATGCAGCTCTCTACATGCTCCATCACATCCTGTTATTTGCAGATGGAAAATTATTAGAAAATGACAACTCCAATCTGAATGCCTAAAAGTTTGGGCTTTGCTATATAGCATTGTGCTGAGTAAAGTGATTAAATTGTAGTGCATTATGCAACATGTGGATTAGTGAAGTTAGTTAGGCGGCTTGTTAGGGATGTTGTCTTGTTTCTACTGTACACGTTTTAATTATATTTATTTATTTTAGGCTTATTTTTAGGATATCCAGTGTTTCCTCTGTAGGAGCCCTCTGCATCAGGAGCAGGGGTCGGCTGTAGCTGTCGGGTCTGTCCTGTGGGCTCCTGGTGGAGGGATGGTGCCTGGGGTTCATCTCTCCCCTGGCCCCTCTGGTGGTTCCTGGTGGTGGTGGACATCTCTCTGCTCCTGGTGTAGACGGCTCCTCTGATGGTGCTTTCTCAACTGGTTCGCCTGTATTCAGCCTCACACTTTACTATGTGTCATTTTATGTATTTTAGCAGGTTAGTGTGTGTGTGTGTGTGTGTGTGTGCGTGTGCGTGTGCGTGTGCGTGTGCGTGTGCTTGTGTGTTTGTGTGTTTGGGTGTCTGTGTTGTTTGGTTGTGTCGAGTCGGGCAGCTGTGGGGGTTGGTGGGTGGGTGGATATGTGGGATTGTTTTTAATCTCTATGAAGCACTTTGTGTTACATTTTTGTATGAAAAGTGCTTTATAAATAAAGTTTTATTTGATTTGTCTGATTGTGATGTTCTGGAGGAGACCGTGCTGCTTGCGCGGGGTATTGATTTGCACATGCCGTTATAATTTTATGAGTGAGACACTTGTTGTTTAACAGCACTAATCATCTCACCTGTTGTAGTTCTAACTGAGTAAGCTCTTTCTGGTGAGACTGTGTTAAAATAAAGCTCAATAAAGTCTTCTTGAGCTTCTGATAGAGGGGGTGGGGGATGTAATGTAACAATGTGTCAGATTGTGATCGAGGGTACTTGAGTGAGACCTTTTCTGTATGGACTATATATACCTTCCCTCTCTGACTGCACTTCTCAAGCCTGAATTATACTAAAGATACAATTATTTAACAAAAACATAGATAAGCTTTAGTTAGATGGCAGATAACTATAACATAGGCCTACATGGATCATTACATATATAATTCTGTAAAGTAAACTCCAATATTTCAACAGCTTAATAATAGAAACCAGTCAGCTCAGTGCAGAACTGGCAGGCCCTGCCATCTTCCATAGTTATATAGGCCCCTGTCCTCCATCTGAGATGATAACAAGCTTTTTTCTGATTCTGACTCCGGAACAGAAGAGGGCAGCAGAACATATTTAACGCTGCCTGCCCAGCACCAGCAGCAGCACCTAAACCGTGCCGAGAGGTGCTACTGAACGGTGCTACGGAGAACAAACTGAGTACTCAGATCTGACAGCACTGTAAAGGTACGGATATTTTCCGTCTAATGATGCAGTTCGGTGTTGAACAGAGTTTACCTGTGCCTGGAATGTGTCGGGGCTAACCCTCGGAAGTATAAGCTCTGCATGCAGTGTGCGATCTGCGGTGCAGGGCTCGATACTGGTACATGAGGATTTCATGTACTCTCATTAGCCACTATTTATGGCTTAACTCATGAGGTTGTCCTGTGTCCATGTTGTGGTTTAGGCTGTAATTCACTATGCTTGCTCGCAAGGGGAAAGAAATTCAAGATTCGTGATGTGGTGATCAGGCTCATTAAAGCTCGAGATTGAAAGCCAAAACTGTTGAGTTTGTGACCAGAAGTCTAACACGTCCATTGAGATACATTAGCAAAAATGTGTAAAAAGACCGTTGATCGTTGAACAACCCAATCTGTAGGGTCACATCTGGTAAACCCAGTTATCACACTATATTGTCTTAATACTTTTGAATGAACGGCTCATTTGTTTTGGCTAATGAATTTCAGTGGGCGTTTTGCACACGTGTTAACACAAACATGGACTTTACGAATACGTTAGTTTTTTGACATTTGAGCCAAAGAGCTCTATTTATATGCTTTATAAATTATCAAACATTTTTCTTTATTTTTTTTTTTATCCTTTTATTTTATATTTCATTTCTAAAATTACTAATATAATGTTGCAATAGGCCTAATCTGACTAGTAATGTTTTTAATAGTTTTATTTTAGCAAGTATTTCACATGGATAATGTATTGATTTTCTGAAGGATACTTTGTGCCTTTTAGTCTGAATCCCCTTAGAAGCTAATGAATCTACTGTGTTTAGCACATGATGATGAGCGAGCCCAGGAGCCCTGGAGTTCCCCCTGCAGCGCACCCAGACACGCTGAGCTCCGCGGTGGAGATGGACCCAGTGGAGTACACCCTGAGAAAACGGCTTCCTCGCAAACTGCCCAAAAGGCGTAATGATGTCTATGTGAACATGAAAACGGACTTCCGGGCTCAACTGGCAAGGTGTCAGAAACTGTTGGAAGGTGGAGGTCATCGGGAGATCTGTGTCCATGGTCTGGGCTTAGCTATCAACAGAGCCATTAACATAGCCCTCCAGCTTCAGGCCAGCAGCCAGGGAGCACTGCAGCTGGCCACCAACACCTCTACTGTGGAGCTGGTGGATGATCTGGAGCCAGAGGACCCTGATGAGACGGGGGAACCAATGACACGCACACGCAACAACTCTGCAATACACATAAAAGTCTTCTATCCTGACCCCCAGTGAACTTTACTTCCTGTGAGAGAGAGAACTCTTTCTTAAAAAAAAAAAAAGGACTGTGGAAATTATGCCTTATTTTATTTATACACCTGTTTTCCTTTGGATTTATTAGACCATGTGAAGCCTTGGAACAAAAAGAGCATGATAGACTTTGTAGCTGTGTCCAGTAGGTGTCCGTATTGAGTATGGTTGTAATCTTATCAAACACATGGTGATATTGTTAAGTTCTGTGTCCTTAAATGATAAGTGACACTATCAATTCATATGAGTCAGTCTGGTTCTGGTCTATAATGAATGCAGTATTTCTGAAATATGCAATCTGTAGTAGCAAGGACCCCATAATAAAATAAATAATTCAGACTCCCCTTCTGTTGAAATTCAATCTTTTTTTATCCAAGAATAATTATATTTAAATAGAAAATCATGGAAAAATACACAGTGTAAAAACAGGAAATAACAAAGCCAAACATATCAAACAACCTCTTGCTTTTGACGCATGGCAAGACTATAGGCTCCAAAAAGCAAACAAACAGAGCGGAAGCCTGACAGCGTTATGGCCCCAGGACTGTCTGAGAACCTCCAGTTTCAGGACTCACAAGTGGGAAAGGGAAACAGTGCTGACATCAGATGATGGGAAGCTTTGTGCAATCAGGAGCTCTCAGGATATTTAGTGAAGGCCAGCAGCAGTGACAGTCAGCATGGCGCTGCTGTAGTGGCAGATAAAGATAAAGTCCTCTCTGCCCCCTCGTACTCTCAAACATGAGCTGTCATACAGTTACATTCATTCTGCTCAAAAACGGCAGCCATTATATTAGATAATAAATAGTAGTTACAGCCCACAGTTAAACATCCACAACCTCAAAGACAATACAAATATACCACTGTCAATAAGCAGCTTCATATAAATAGTACTAAAAATATTAAAAATTAGAACAAACTAAGACTTACACATGAGGCGTGGCTAAATGTTCAGGCACATGAGGTGAGGCAGCAGTAGCCTAAATGTAAGTCTACACTGTACACAGCAGTGATCCCCCATACAACCTCAGGCCATCCACAATAAAAGTGCAAAGGAGTGCTAGAAGAAGAGCTCAGAGCAGGGTTTACAAGGCCTGTTTCTGCCTCATATCCACCAACGTACAGTCCACCAGGGAGCGCTCTCTTCAATTGACCATTAGAATTCCTTGTGCTAGCTTGACCTAGCATGTCTACAGTGCAGTGCTTTGAATGCACAAGAGCGTCTGTGTGAGGAGGGAACGATCAGCTGACATCATGTTGTTGACACGCCTGTGCGCTGAGCAATAGCAGGCGCACCTTTCCACGCAAAAAGTTCAAGTGAACTTGTAGAAGTTCTGTTGGTGATGAAACTGTCCACGTTCCCTCGAGTCCCACGGTACTTGTAGGCGGACTATATTCCTAGAACATAAAATAAGTTAATGTTTACCCAATAACCATAATATTGATAATGATATAGATCATTTCCATGTTGGATACCTACACAAAGCTGTGTGGTGCACTCTCATGACTAGGCCTGTCACTATAATTACTACAGTGATTTATTGTTCAATATATGAAAGTACATTTTCTTTATAGAATACCGAGATTTTTTTTGTAATACAGTGAGAGTTGAGCTGTGAAAGGCTGAATTGAAATAAGTAACTTATATGACTAACAGGTTCAGCTCAGGTCTTTAAACAAGACTGTCTATTTAAAAATGTTTTGCTGGGGTCCTGATTTGTGTCATAAAATAGTTTCACTTTTTTAGTTTATTCAAATGTTATTATGACAGGCCTAAACATGACTCGTACGTGCGCTGTAGCAAGGAAGGAGGAGCTCACCTGGAGGTTCAGACTCCGCAGCACAGCGCTGAGGCTCAGCAGGTTGCTGATACAAGAGTCGATGTGGCTGTGCAGCTGTGTGTTAGTGACGGATGTGCGCAGGAGATTCAAGGCCTGCTGCAACAGCCATAATCCAGACTGCACCTCCAGGGCCTGCTCTGATGCCTGGAAACGACATGAGATTATCCAAAACTGACACTAAAGACAAAGGACTAACACACTTTCCTTCAAGGACCCATATAACACTATACTATACTATACTATATATACTATATATATATACTATATACTATATATGTACTATATACTATATACTATATAATGTTTGCACATCAAAAAGTTAGCTGGAGTTGTGTTTTGTTTCATTCACACATGTTTAACACAAACCCTGCATATTAAGGCTGAGTTTTTCTTTCAAATAAAAATCTCTTTTCCACCTTGTGATGTCATGTGGGAATACAAGAAGTGCCACACTGTTTTTAAATTCCATACTCCATCACTAGAATGAATCTCCACTGAAAAAAGGTAAAATTTAGCTGTTAACTTGAAAATCACCACTAAATGACACCACAAGGTGGAACAGAGCAGTTTGATCTTTGGAGATGTAGACAGACTAACAATCCAGGATTACTCCTATTTCATTACATGAATGAAACAAAACACAACTTTAGGTATGTTATTATGTTGACAACATTGCAATATGACTTAAAGCTCATAAGAGCCCATTATATGTAATATAAGTAGTGCTGTTTGAGAAGACTACGTGACTTACATTTTTATTTTCCCAGACTTCAAAGTCAACTCTGGTTTGAGGAACAGTGAGAGCCTCAGACAGAAGACATCCTTCTCGACACACTTTCTAAAGGAGGTGAGGGGAGTTAGTGACAGCTTCACTCAGTGTGGATTCAGCACTAATGTTTGTTGTTACTCACCATAGCGGCTTCGGCGTCTCGTGCCTCCTTGATGAAGTGGTTGAGGACCCTGAGGTCACAGATGGGCTTCAGAGGGGACGGTAGGGCGGGTCTGGACAATTCCAACAGCATCAGCAGCAGGGTGAGCAGTCCTGCAGACAAAAGCAGGTCAATACTCTCACAACTTTCTGCCTATTTCTACATGTGTGTGCTTGCTTAACAGCTTAACTAGTTTATTTGCTCTACAAACAGAAGCTCACCCTGCTAGTTCCTACTCACTCCCCCCTCAAACACTCAATGACTGCAACTCTAATCTTTATTTTGCAGACATTTTTAATTTTTTATTTTTTGTCAGCCTGTAAGTACATTTTGACTCAGATTAAGCTCAGCTGATACCAGTGTTTCCTTTCCCTCATGTTGATTCCTGATCTCTAAGACATGAAGTCATTTTCAGTCATGTATTGTTCATATGATTGTTAAATTAGTTGTCATTTCAAAATCAATTTATTGCAGTTAAGCTTAGAAGATTTTTGCTATACTTTCACTCACTGTTCTCACTCTTTCTTGCTCACTTTTACGTCATACCCTCCCCCTCACTCTCTGCTTCTCAAGGCTGGTTTATAGCAAAGCACCAGTCTCTGTGTAGCAGAGTGCAGGCGTTCTGACGCAGATCTGAATCAGTCAAGCTTCCGTGTACATAATCAGGGTCCTGGTGCCTTGTGGGAGTTCAAATGACCTCATGTATTTATTTGGCATAGAAACTTTACAAGACTTTAGGCTTGTATTCTATGCTAAACTTTAGCACTTCAAGCTGTCTTGATCCGTTTTCCATCAACTTATCACAGCATTTGCATTCTGCAGCACTTGAACACATACTAAATTTTTGGCCCGTACACAGGACTCACTCACTCTGGAATTGTCACTCACTCAATCCCTCTCACCCACTCTCTTCTCCTCACTCTCCTCTCACCCACTCTCTTCTCCTCACTCTCCTCTCACCCACTCTCTTCTTCTCCTCACTCTCCTCTCACCCACTCTCTTCTCCTCACTCTCCTCTCACCCACTCTCTTCTCCTCACTCTCCACTCACCCACTCTCTTCTCCTCACTCTCCTCTCACCCACTCTCTTCTCCTCACTCTCCTCTCACCCACTCTCTTCTCCTCACTCTCCTCTCACCCACTCTCTTCTCCTCACTCTCCTCTCACCCACTCTCTTCTCCTCACTCTCCTCTCACCCACTCTCTTCTCCTCACTCTCCTCTCACCTACTCTTTCTCCTCTCACCCACTCTTTTCTCCTCATTCTCCTCTCACCCACTATTTTCTCCTCACTCTCCTCTCACCCACTTTCTTCTCCTCACTCTCCTCTCACCCACTCTCTTCTCCTCATTCTCGTCTCACCCACTCCTCACTCTCCTCTCACTCATTCTTTATTCCTCACTCTCCGTCACTCACTCTTCTCTACTCACTCACTCACTCACTCTGTGTTTCTCACTCTCACTCACTCTTTTCCTCGCTCTCACTCACTCTTTGTTCCTCACTCCCCCACTCACTCTGTGATCATCATTCCCTGCCATCACCCACTCTTTGTTCCTCTCTCACTCCCCCCTCACTCACTCTTTTCTCCCCATTCTCCCTCATTCACTTCTTGTTTCTCAATCCCCCCTTACTCACTCTTTTCTCATCATTCTCACTCACTCTTTGTTCCTCACCCTCCCTCACTCACTCTTTTCTACTCACTCTCTCTCACTCACTTTTTTCTTCTCACTCACCCTTTCTCCTCACTCTCCCTCACGCACTCTTTTCTCTTCACTCCCTCTCACTCGCTTTTTTCTTCTCACTCTCCCTCACTCACTCTTTTCTCTTCACTCCCTCTCACTCACTTCTTGTTTCTCACTCCCCTTCCCTCACTCTTTTCTCAGTCTCTCTTGTTCACCCTTTGCTCTTCAGCCTTTCTTACTCGCTCTTTGCTCCTTATTCCCTCTGTGCTCCTCACTGCCCTGGGTGGTCCTTGAAAAGATTAAATCTGATTTGATCACATTTTATTTCATCTTTCTTTTTTCTTTTTCTTTTTTTTTAATGTCTCTTAGTGCTGATTTCATGAACAGCACAGACCTTTCAATCTGTGCATTTAACACAAAAAAAATATCAAATTTCTTCCTCTAAAATGTTCCTTCTACTCCAAAACACATGCTTTACTGACAGAGGACTGGATATGGAGCTCTGGATTCAAAAACCCCAACCATATCACTGACCACTGGACATGAGTTTTAGTCCTAGCCCCTGATCACTTATCACTCACTGCTCTCTTCCCGCTTCTTTTCTTCATTAAAACAGGATGAAAACAAGGAAGCGTTCTCAGCCATGTTGTGTCTCCTAAGACTTGATGCTGAGGGATAAGTTTTGGGGTAAGTTGAGCAATATTATGAGAAAACTCTTTCTCTCCGGTTACTGGTTAATGTTTAATATGCCATTTAAGCAAATATTTGTCACCAATATTTTTCCGACCTGCCTCAGTCTGTGTGTCCCCGTGTGTCATTTCCAGGTTTTCTCAGTACATCAGATTTGTCTTTTTGAACAAACACATGAGTAAATATAGAAATAGAAGAGGTATTAGGCTAAGAATATAGCTGTACGTTTACACAGTCATGCTACTATTTATTTTATATCACAGATAAATACATTTTGATGCTTGCTGTGGATGTTAACATCTTAGTACTGATGTTGGCAAATATCAGACATGGCAGCAATATCGGATATCTGTATTGGCTCAAAAAAAAATAAAAAATCCATATGTGACTAAATTAAATACAAACCATTCCTAATAATTAAAATTAACTAAAAACCACATCTATTCATACACAACTGCAGACATGTTTACAAATTACAGAACAGAAAAATGAATAGCAGAGCAGCAGTATGAAAAGTTCCTCAAAAACTATTCCTAAAAAAATAATTTGGCCAACATGTAGCCAATAGCCTGTGTGTTGTTTATTGCACCTGTGTGTGCCCAGTTATCTTTAAACTATTTGCGTAAAAACTGATCAACATTTTTCTTCTGGGAAAAGTAATACTCTTCTCTACTTGCGACCCATTCTCTATCATTGAAAACTCTTGGCACACATGTTTCTGTATGATATTGACCTCAGTGTTTTACCAGCATGCTCTTTTGTTTGTTTTTGCTTTGTTCATTTGTCTTTACTCTGCTGGAGGGAACATTTGAATAAACAACGGTTGTCCTCAAAGTAATTTCTGCAGGACATGTGTCGATATGTCTACATATACATATGTGATATGTGACACAAATCATTTGTTTACTAAAAATGAGGGGGGTTACTTCTCCACAGATCTAACCTGTAAGTTAGTCTGGTGGCATCACCTGCTTGCACCTGCTGCATAGAGATAATTAAGTCCAAATTGTGCTGTGAAACATTCTAGGTAAAACAAGAACATCTTCATGGAGATCATTAGGTGGCGGACCCTCCACCAGAAAGGTTTCATAGTGCAAATAAGGTTTAATTTACTATACTGACAATATCATATAGTGCAATGAATATGTAATATATAAGTTAGTCCTGACAGCCAAAGATAAATTGGCTTTGCTGCAGATCTGCAGTATTTACAGATTGTGCTGTTCATCATGAGGCCATCATGTTTCTTTGTATCAAGTGCACTGAATGCACTCTTTCAGAGGCCTGTAAATGTGACGCAGAAGGATCAAATAGAGATAGATCTGTCTGTTTTCAGCAGAACCTATGTCCTACGAATGGGCTGGTGGCACCTCCGGCTCTTTCACAGTGAACCATACCGGTGTTCAAGAACACTCATTTCCTTCTGAAATGTGAACAACTATATGTTGCTGAGGTAAGAGCTTCACTGCCTAAACATTTGACACCATGTGGTGTAATAATGTGAGGAAAGAGCATGGCCAGACGTGTGTGAGAGGATTACCATGGCCCTTTCACCTCGACCCTGCCTACGTGAGAATGCTTCAATCTTCTCCTTGTATACACTAGCTCTCTGTCTCACTACTCTGGTGGAATTTGTAATCTAGGACTGTGGCCAAAGTAAAACCACAAACCCAAGTGACCCTTCAGACCACAAGCACAGAGCACGTGTTTGACCCCGGATCTGACAGCTCACATAAAGCAGCACCATCAGCTACTCTTAACAAGTGTGTCAGTGGCACAGACGAGCAGTGCACTTAAAGGTCAGTCAGGTCCCACAATCTCAACCATGACATGACAAAAAGCAGCCTAATCAGAGGTGACACCGCTGTGACATCACATCCTGTTGGATGCCTCAGGACTATCTGCTTTAGGTAACCTGTGGGTCTTATCTACTAACATATGGATGACATAACATCAGAAGTGCCCACTCAGCGTCTACATAAAGGGCTACTTAGGGAAAGCCAAATACCTTAGCAGTGCCATAACAACGTCTGTTATGTTTTTGAAGAACCATGTGATGCCTGAATAACGTTAAAACGAATTATTGTAAATTGTCCTAGTTAGCTGCTTTCTAGGAACTACTTACACAACTAAACGATCCTTACTTAATCTCAGAACTGCACAGTTGATCTTGATTTTTATTACTACTTTTATTGCTACCTCTAATATATGAGCTGCCATGACCAATGCACTTCTCCAGTGTGCAATCTCTAACGTTCTGTCTTAACCAAATAGCCAGACCTCTCCTATGCGCACGTCCTCCTGGATGCTGCACTGTCTACTTAGTCACAGACACGCACAAAGTCCCCTTACCTCCAGCAGTTTGCTGCAACATTTGCTCTAAAGAAGCCGTCACGTAACAACATTGTGGAAAATGAATAAAAGCCTTACTGATCGAGTTAGAGGGGCCAATCAAATTCGAGAGATCCAGCATCCATGCGCGCCAGTCCTCCAAGGCTGCTGCTCAGAAAGCCCTAGGGGCGAGCGGTCTACCGCACACTACATGACTGCGGTGCTCTGACTAAAACTTCCACACTATTTACCTCCCCTTTGAGTGAAGCGATAACGTGATTGCTTACGAGGAGGCGCCTTTTACGCGCAGCGCTGAGCGGTCAAACATCAACCCATGCATACAATCCCCTTTGTGTAAAGAAGGAAAAAAGAATCATGTCCACAGATAGAGAACAGGGAAAAACATTGGGCATGGTTGTAACTCACTGGGTAAGTCCATAGCGGAACGTGCCCCCTTCACTGGATCCTCGCGGTTTGCTCCATGAGTCCGTCTATTGCCTATTAATTGGATCTTCGGCACTTATCCGGTAGGTGTTTCTAAAAACTGATCCTGTTTGTTTATTGATGACTTCAAAAATTAAGTTGCACTTTCAGTGATAACAATTTGAGCTGCCCCCCTCCGCACAGGGAAATGATTGTCATTTGTATTAAATATAGGTTAAAGCCCTCCGTAAAACATCATCTTCTGTAGACATCCCATGAATCTCCCGTGTTCTTCACTGTGAAGGCCATACAGTTCAACAGCAAATTTAACTTTTACTCCTTTAATGCGTTTAATGGGTCTCGTTATTGCCTATAAACTTTTGTGTTTATTGCCCTTCGCTACTGCTGTTCACACAAGAATTATTTTTCGTAGTAGGACCGCCTTTGTTTTTTTTAGTCCGTTTTTGGATAATATTGCTGTTACTACTGCTCTCCTATCATATGCCATGGTGCGATAGCCTGTGGGGTGTGCGAGCGCGCTCAGCCATGCTGTAGTATTTGACACTGGAGGAATAATAATCACCGCTTCCTCTCTGGGTCCCACGTTTGGTTTTCGTAAACAACAAAAACTCCCCTTGCTTCGACTAGTTTTCAGACTGCCCTGTCAAATTGTGGTTTATGCCTATAATTCAAATTGACTTACATTTCAGTTCAGCCATGTCAAATACTTGCAGGTTGATCATTCTTAAATGAGGAGGGTTATCCAGTCGCAGTGCTCAACGGGACAATTGTGTATGTCTGGAGCAGGGCACTAATTCACGTGCAAATATTAATGGAAGGACCTGTTACAATGTTGGACTTCGTCCACCTAAAAATTCCCGGAATAGTTTGAATAGCAATGATTACTTGTCATATCTTTGATGTTCCCAGAAGATTACCAAAGCGTGCCACTGCATCTAACTGTGACGAAAACAACATAGCCAATGATGTCAAAGATGGAATGCCATTTATTGTAGTAGAAGCTGAAACAGTGTTTTCATGTGTCCTTAATCCAACCCCTGCAGCCGTGTGGAGCCACGCGGAGGAATAGTTTCCTGGAAGTCCTGTGTGTGTGTGTAAAGCTTACAGGACATTTTCCTTCATACAGGAAGTGTTGCTGTGTTTGCATTATCCGCTGGCCTTATGTAGTAATACACACGTGACACAAATCCTGATATAACACAACTAACACATTGGCCACATCCCCACAGTAAAGGGAATACACCAGTGAATAGGCGAGACAATACATTATAATACTGAAATTACATCCAACTTATCCAAGTTATCCTAAAAAAAAAAATTGTATTATAGATGTACAAAACTCTTTAAAAACATTTAATTATTATTAAATTATTGTTTCATCTATCATGTATTAAAGAGATAAGTGGATATAAAAATTATTGTGACAGCCTATGAATAGACTAAAAACAGTCTGATTATATATTTATGTATGAACACTACAGCGTGACTGTTCTCATATGAACACTTCAGTCTGACTGTTCTCATATGAACACTACAGCCCGACTGTTCTCATATAAACACTACAGCCCGACTGTTTGTATATGAACACTACAGCCGACTGTTCTCACTACAGCCCGACTGTTCTCATATGAACACTACAGCCCGACTGTTCTCATATGAACACTACAGCCCGACTGTTCTCATATGAACACTACAGCCCGACTGTTCTCATATAAACACTACAGCCCGACTGTTTGTATATGAACACTACAGCCCGACTGTTCTCACTACAGTCCGACTGTTCTCATATGAACACTACAGCCCGACTGTTTGTATATGAACACTACAGCCCGACTGTTCTCACTACAGTCCGACTGTTCTCATATGAACACTACAGCCCGACTGTTCTCATATGAACACTACAGCCCGACTGTTCTCATATGAACACTACAGTCCGACTGTTCTCATATGAACACTACAGCCCGACTGTTCTCATATGAACACTACAGCCCGACTGTTCTCATATAAACACTACAGCCCGACTGTTCTCATATGAACACTACAGCCCGACTGTTCTCATATGAACACTACAGCCCGACTGTTTGTATATGAACACTACAGCCCGACTGTTCTCACTACAGTCCGACTGTTCTCATATGAACACTACAGCCCGACTGTTCTCATATGAACACTACAGCCCGACTGATCTCATATGAACACTACAGCGTGACTGTTCTCATATGAACACTACAGCCCGACTGTTCTCATATAAACACTACAGTCCGACTGTTCTCATATGAACACTACAGCCCGACTGTTCTCATATGAACACTACAGCCCGACTGTGTATAAACATTACAGCGCGACTGTTCTCATATGAACACTACAGTCTGAGTGTATAATATGGACTATAGTAATGTTCTACACCATTTTCAGTGTGGGTGATACCTACGGCTTACAACACTGTTTACTGGACACTGCAGTGTGTGGTCAAAGGGGCTGTTTGCTTATGTTTCAGTAAAAGTGACACGGGGAGACAAGGTACGTGCTGCGCGACATGCTTCAGGAGCAGGATAGGGCCCTGAGGGGGCTATGAGGGGGTGGCCAGTCACACTGACTCCTCACTTGGAGAGGAACAAAGTCACAGAGGTGAAGGTGATTGAAAAGAAATGAACCCTGAATGCTCTTTCCATAATACAACTGATGAAGGGACTGGGCGAGCCGCCAGCTCCGCACAGTGGCGCGCCGCGAGACAGGAAGCTTGAGCGAAGAATAAGGGACACATGGCCAGGGAGCATGACCATGGACAGGAGACACCCCCCAGGTCGGAAGTCTTTGTTTCTCTGTCTGTGAATTATTGTGATTTTTGCAAAATGTGGCACCTAAACAATCTTCCAGGCTGGGCCAAATATAAGTCCAAGGATACACTGAAACAGACAGGGCCAATACAAACAAGTCGAGACAGAGACTCAACCAAAGTCTGAGACTAGTGCTATTTTTGTATAACTAATGTGAAGTTCAGTGATTTCAGAATTATGCAAATACATTTGTACTACAGAACAGAAATGACATGTAAAGTAAAACACAAAAAACTGGTCAAGAGAAGATAAAAAATGTATGAATGAAAAATTTACAATACATCTGTATAATTCTCATGTATGTTCTTAAAGTCTAAGCCTTATAGTAATAAAAAGACCCAATAGACAACATAATCAAACTTTAAAGTACAATAAGGATGTATTATTCAAATTCAACCGTTTGACACTATGATTGGCAGATGTTTATTTGGACCAACCAGGTGCTGCACTATGACTGGACAATGTGGTTGAAGTGTCTTGCTCAGGAACAAAACAATATGCAGTTGAAGGCTTGAGATTTGAAAGGCCATGCCAGTTACAGATGAGCTGCCCACTGCTCCTGAAAGGATGGGTAAAATGCAGAGGAGAATTTCCCTACAGGGGTAATAATATTTTTTTAAAAAGTACTACTACAAAAAAAAAATTAAAAAATTGGTCCCCACCACTAAAGTTACACAGTGGCTCACACAAGTGTCTCCCATCCAGAAGAAGCCCCTGAACATGTTATCTTCCACCTGCAGGTGAGCGCCACCTTCCCAGATGTCCTCCCTCTGGCACATGACCCTGTCAGAGACACAGACAAACTGGGATAGATGGTGCTTGGAGCTGACTGTCCATGTCTATTGGTTTGGTCAATTTGGTGAAATTGACTGTACAGTATAATTAGTATGATTAACCCAGTTACAGTGTATTTATATCTGCATAGATCTGAGAACCGCTGTTGGCTCAATCAATCAATCTCAATTTATTTGTCAATGAGAGGCACGTTAAACATTGAGCAGTAAAATACAATAATAACAGAAAAGCTCAAACAAAAGTCTCAGTGCAGTTCAACAGCTTGGGTCATCAGATCCTGTGTCAGGCCAGTTTGAGGAGAGACACTTTTGTTGTCTGGCACCACAGCAGTGTCCAGTGGGAGCCAGGTGAGCTCTGGAGACACAACAGGAAAGTCTCCGCTCAGCCTCTCTCTCTCTGCTCTGTTGTTTTGGTCAGTTTTGAGACGGGACATTCCCTCTGAAGCGTCTTCTGTCATATTTGATGTAGAAAGTCTGTTGCATTGTTGTAAAAAGTCTTGCCATTCAGACCTAGCTGGTTAACATAGCTAGCTCCTTGCAGGGTCACTATGGACATAGGAAAACAAACAACACATTTTTAATTTTAAGATAAAAATTGCTCAGTGTGCCAACCAGTCTGCCACAAGAGCAGCCAACCATGATCATGGCAATCATGGAATCCCGTGGAATACCGTATTATCAGTTTATCAGGCTTTCTCCTTGACATGAGTATCACATTCTAACTGTTGCATTAAGATGTTAGGGTGAGTGAGGACTAACGAAAAACATCAGAAAGCACATGTAATTATACACGGTGTAGGCCAGACACAATTACTGTGACAACTTTTCAGTTGAATAAATGAAATCCAAATCATTTTTTTTTTTTTATGATTATGGCTTACAAATAATGAAAACCCCAAATTGGAATATTCTATAAGACCTATTAAAACAATTATATTTTAAATAGAAATGTGTGGCTTCTGAAAAGTTCATTTCTATGCACTCAGTAGTTGGTTGAGCCTCCTTTGGCATGTATTACTGCATTAGTGACCTTCAGGTCATCTGCATTGCTGAGTCTGGTGTCTCTCGTCTTCCTCTTGACTATACCTCAGAGATTCTCTCTGGGGTTCAGGTCAGGCGAGTTTGTAGGCCAATCAAGCACAGTAACACCATGGTCACTGAGCCATCTTTTGGTACCTTTGGCTGTCTGGGCAGGTACCATGTGCTGCTGAAAAATGAAATCAGCACCTCCATAAAGCTTGTCAGCAGAAGGAAGCACGAAATGCTCTAAAATGTGGGTTCTTTGCCTCTCCACTCTTTCTACAGACTCTGGGACCTTAATTTCCAAAAGATGCAAAATGTACTTTCATCTGAAAAGAGAACTCTGGACGACTAAGCAACAGTCCAGTTCTTTTTTCCAGAGCCCAAGTAAGACCATGCCATCGTCTCATGTCCTGCTTTGTCTGTGCATAGCAGCTCTTGATGCACTGATTCCAGCCTCAGTCCGCTCCTCATGAAGCTTCCCCAAATTCTTGAGTGGATTTTGCTTGACAATATGCTTTATTCACACTTACCACTTATGCATGGAAACATGCAACTGAGCATGTGATTAAAACCATTCAGCAGCAGCAATTTTCACGACCTGCCAAAGCTTTCCATGGGGGACGGGACTCTAATTGTATCTTCGATGTCACTTACAGGAAGCTAGTTGTAACAGTGGATCTGCTGAACATAATGGAACACTACTATGACATATATATATATATATATATATATATATACACATACACACACACATATATATATATATATACACACACACACACACATATATATATATATATATATATATATATATATATATATATATATATATATATATATATATATATATATATATATATATATATATATATATATATATTTAGACAAATTATAATATGTTAATTAAAAGGTAATTAATAAAAGGAAAAAAGAAATTGCTCATAGAGCCCAAAGGAAGTCATCATCCGCATGTTTCCAAATGTCTTCCAAGTTTGTGACATAAGCGTGAATAGAGCCTGTCCTCTAAAGGCTGCAGTCATCCCTTTTTCTTGTGCACCTTTTCCTCCCACATTTTTTTTCTTCCACTCAAGTTTTTTTTTTTTTTTTTTTTTTTTTATGAATCTGCTTGGATACAGCACTCTGTGAACATCCCGCTTCTTTAGCAATGATCTTTTGTGTCTTTTTCCTTGTGGAGGGTGTCAGTGACGTCTGGACGTCTTCCCAGTGATTGTGTAGCCCACTGACCCAGATTGAGAGACCATTTAAAGGCTCAGGAAACCTTTGCAGGTGTTTTGAGCTAATTACTTTACCATTAGTTCAGTAGATTGGCAATTCCAGGTCTGAAATGATTCAAATGATTCTAGTGAAGGTGAATATAGTTTAAAAACAGAATGAAGCACATCCTGTAATACCACATAACATCACATAGTGGAGCAGAGTTTGAGAGAAGAACTCATCCTAAATAACTGCACGTAACAATCAGTCAAATCAATCAAAAACTAAAGTCCGACTTGAGAATGACCCCTACAATTGTAAACCCTCTAGAGTGTGATTAGATAATGGGCTTTCTTCTGAGGTTTATGGATTGGGACCTGTATGGTTGCCTATTGGTGGTTTTTGGATTCTTAAATGTGATGACGTCACATTGTGCAATTTCCTATGAAGGTAAATTTACTTACATTAAACCTGATTATTTCAATTTGTAACTAAAGCCTAGAACAATGGCTCTCAAAATGTTCACACCAAGCAAGCAAGTAAGTAAGTAAGATCAAAGAAAAGATTTGGCTGCCACCTGCTACAGGCTTCTTACACCAAATGTGGGAGCAAATGTTGCAGAGAGCCTTCCAGAAGAAATACTTTGAGTGAATGGACCATTACAGGACACAGAGAAGGGACACTTTTGACTCTTTTGCTCCTCAGATTGCCCTACACAGATCTGCTGACCTTATCTGACCAGTCCTCCTGCACTCAGACCTTTGACTGAGACACAAAGGCGGCAAGCACAGTGTAAATGTTGCTGCAGTAAAACCTGAATTTCACTCGGGATCAATAAAGTATCTATCTACCAGATCTAAATCAAGCCTGCCTGAGCAGACAGTCCCTTCTACATTCTGCTGTAATTTAGAAGGGTCAGGAATCGGACCATAGAGTGTGAAAAGCATGTCTCTCAAATGCAGAAGACATTGGCTCACAAAAATTCTCATATTCAAAACAAAATTGATCTCTTCTTTTACCTGAGATAAATAAGAGTTTGGTGCTCCAATTGTTGCTTGTCTTTGTAAAGACAAGCAACAATTGGAGTGTGTGTGGGACTGACCAACGGCCTGGTCTAAAATGGACTATTTTTTCCACTGTAGAAGGACAAAAAAGTGGATAAAATAAACTCTAAACTAGGCAAACTCACAAACTGAAGAGACATCCCTTTACCCAGGACAGTCCCAGTTTTGAGCCCTGTATCCCCTGTCCCAGCTGCTTTATCCAAAACTATTGATTTGTCCCAGTTTTATACAAGAAATGTACCAGGTGTCCCTATTTTTGACCAGTTCAATATCTGCATGATAAAGTAAAGAGGGGGAATATATTGTCATTTGTTTAGCTAAAAAGAAAACCGTCCATGAAAATGACCATAAGGCAAAAAATACCACCTGAAGCAGCTCACGTACCACAGTTCCCCTGTAACCAGTGTTGGGAAGGTTACTTTTAAAATATATTCCCCTACAGATTACAGATTACATAGCCCGCGTATTTTGGGTATAGCCCAAAATGTGAAAACAGGAAAATAGCACCATGTAATCCTTTTATTTCAACAAAGTAACTGTAATCCTATTACCACTCATGGAAACAGTAACTGTAACTGAATACAGTTACTCATAATTTGTACTCTGATTATGTAACTCCAGTACATGTAATCTGTTACTCCCCAACACTGCCTGTAACTCACTCTATTACAACAAAAATCTGCATTTTAAGTGTATTCACTTGAGCTGCCCCCATCCGTGTTATGTTATTGGATCTCCTCCTCCTTATCCCCTTTTGACTTTTTTGGGGATGGCGGAACCATACCGCACCATGAACAACAGGGGACACATTTTGCAGATGCACTCCTGTAGGACCGTCGCGAGCTTGTGTCAGCCGGCGTGTGTGTTTAAAATGCAGAAAGACATTTTCATAGATTCTTTGGTGAGTGCTTTTCTAACAAACGTGCACGTAGGTCTCCAAATCCCAGACGAGCATCACGCGCAAAGTGCCACGGTAAAAGGAGACTACGCGTACTTCCACTACGGCTGCGATGGGCTGGATGACCGGGGCTGGGGATGCGGTTACCGCACGGTGCAGTCCATGGCGTCGTGGCTCTTCTACAACTGTTCCCTGACCAAGGGCAGGGGCCTGGTAGCGCCGAGCCTTCCCGACATGCAGCGCGCTCTGGTCAGCATGGAGGACAAGCCCGCACACTTCTCCGGCTCCCGGGAGTGGATCGGGACGTTTGAGGCTTCACTCGTGCTTGATTACTTCTATGACGTGCCTTGTAAGATCGTGCACGTACGGGGAGGAGGCGCAGACTTGGAGCAGGTGGCGGGGCAGCTCCGGGAGCACTTCGAACGCCACGGTAGCCCGGTGATGATGGGAGGTGGCGCGGATAACTCGTCCAAAGGCGTGCTGGGGGCGTGCTCCGGAGCGCACGGGAATCACCTGTTAATAGCGGATCCGCACTACTACGGAGCGCAGCTGGAGAGAGCGGAGCTGCAGCGGCGGGGCTGGGTGCGCTGGACAGAGCTCTCCTCCCTGGACCACAGCTCATTCTATAACCTGTGCATGCCCCAGACCGGCTCTATGCTCAAGACATTCAAATAGACAAATACACTCTCCCGCGCGCCATTTCTCCCACACAAATCCCTCAGATTCACAGGGGCAAGTCGGTAATAGAGTGGTTATGAGGTTCCTCTGGTTTTCACAGCACAACATGCACATTAACAACAGGCATTTTGTACATAAATAATGCACTTTATCTTGTATTTTAATTTTGTAATTAAGTAACGCTGTTGCAGTAGTAAGAGATGGGTATAGCCAAAAAATTTTTACCCAAGAGATACGTTATTTCAGAGTAACGTAACTACTGAAAAAACACAAAGTAGTAGTTTAAGAAATGACTTAAGAGTTTAAAAAAAAAAAAAAAAAAGATGGGAAGGAATGCACTACTTACAACTGTCTGGATGTAACATGTAACATCAGACTTATAGTTTAAAGTTAATGTAATTTGAAGGACAAAACACTAAATAATGTACAAAATCAGAAATATTCGAAGGAGCGGTACAAGAAACACATGTTCATTAATTTTATATTGTCAACATTAAACTTCATGAGACAGTAACCCCAACCTTTACTGAAGCAAGAGTAGTGTACTATTACTTGAAACTAAATATTACTCAAGTAGGACTAAACTGTGCAGTCTAAAAACTACAATAAATAAATGTTCTTTTAAAAATTACTAAAATGCCACTAAGTACTATGGTAATACTCACCTTTCTACCTGTTCTCCGGTAGTGTTCAAAAATGTAACAGCGCAATGTCGCCACCTTGTGTCCAAATCTGTCACCAACGTTTAAATATACAAATTTTAGACAAGTCTTCCATTGCTTTATATGTAAGTTAGCATACTAGTGCTAGCACTAATATACTATATACTAGTAGTATATAATATATATACTATATACTAATATACTATATACTAGTAAGAAGTAGCAGGCCTACTACTGCTGATGATCAAACCAAAGACTATATTTTAGTATAACAGACTATATTTTTATGTTTATATATATATATATATATATATATATATATATATATATATATATATATATAAAGTGCAATTCTGACCTCTGTGTGGCTTAAATGAAATAAAAGTCAATACAATAAAATAATTTCAGGTGTGCCAACCCACCTTGTGCATGTATTATATTCAGTGTCCAATGTTGATTCTGTAGATTCTGTTCAAACATGTAAGAACATTTGCTGTAGAATTTGTATTTGTTTTCTAATAGTTAACATATCTCTTAGTTAAACAATTTAAACATATCTTATATAACATGACATACTGTATACGTTTTGTAATATGAACAGCAGCTCAGAGCTTTGTGTCTTGAAAATGGTTGCAAGTGTATACGTTTTCTTTTTAGATTTAGATCTCAAATGAGTAGGCTTTACTCTGGTTTGAAAACACAGTTCATGTAAACTGAGCAATGGCTAAACAGAAGCATTTAGATGAAGAAAGAATAAAAGGTGCAGTTTATATGATGATATTTTTTCTCATTGTTGATTTACTGAGATATGTCATACTTGAATCTGAACCCAGATTTGTACAGGCATGTTTTTGGAATTACACTTTTATGATCTGATTGTTATTGCACACACGCATATTAAAGGTGTGTAACTTGTAGAAGAGGGTCCACCCACTGATTGTCTCATGAAGATGTTACTACTTTGCCTACAATATTACACAGTATGGTATTTCATTTATCAGTCTTCCATTGTCTATTTAATTACAGGTAGAGCACGTCTCCATGTCTGTGACCTGTAGCTTAGCCTGATGCCGACATGCCTCATTTCCTAGTGAGCCAGAGCGGCGTTGGAGATGTGTGGAGACATTTAAAAAAAAAATGCCATGCAGTCCTTGTATTTGCAGAGGTCGCTGGTGCATGTCAAGGGCCACTAAAAACAGTCTTACCCGCTCCACAAAACACCTGAAACAAATCTATTATTACACCAGATTGTCCATGTAAATATCTGTGTTGATAGAATAATGTTTGAAATAAAACTAACCTTGCATCGCATGAATCGTCGCATGTTGAGGGACTATTTTCTCATACATCAGTCCGCGGCTGCTGAGCTTTCTATCAGGAAGTACAACTCACTGCTGCTGCTCAGACAGAAATCCTTCAAATGCAAGGTTGGTTTAACTTCTAAAATTATTTTGTCAACACAGACATTCACATGGACAGTCTGGTGTAATAATAGATTTGTTTTGGGTGTTTTGTGGAGTGGGTAAGAATGTTTTTAGTGACAGGATAACTATGGCCATTGACATGCACTAGCTTAGCACCAGTGACCTCTGCAAATACAAGGACTGGATGGAATATTTCAAAAAGTGTCTCCACACATCTCCAACACTCTGGCTAATTAGGAAATGAGGTCCTATGTCCAAAATTCCGAGCTGTCCATTTAATATTCACATGCATTCCTTTGCTTTAGGGCAGCTTTTTTCAGAAAGTGAAGTAAAACTAAGGTGGATCAGTCAAGTACAGCCAATCAGAGAAAAATAAAATACTTTATTAGTATTTTTACATTATATAGTTTGGAGGACAACACAACATTTTGTAATTTACTTATTTGAGAAAAGCTGGGTTTATTTTTTCTTGATATTATTCTTGCCTATGCCTATGGACCTTCTCCTGTCTTCTCCTCAGGTCTCTGCTACACAGTCATCATAAAAGATCTGGAAGTTCTTGTCCACCTCCATGCGGCTCTTGAGGAACTTCTCCAGGTTTTTCAGCGGCGTCTCCACCATGTGATTGTTCATGCGGTCATTCAGGCCGTACGCCCCAAACACAGGGAACTTGTAGCGCACATAGAAGGGAGCGTTCTGGTCGAAGTCCGGACAGCAGTAGGCAGACCACACGTACTCGGGCACGGCCACACGATCCTGGTTGTTGCGGCGGATGGTGTGGCCAGACGTGGTGACGCCGGACACCATGTAGGCTGGCCCGCGGCAGTAGTTGTTGAGGCGTTTGCGCAGCAGCTCCAGGTGCTGGCTCCACGGGCCCATGCTGAACTCTCGTACGTGCGGCACCACATTGGTCAGGGAGTAGGTGGAGGCTTTGTCCAGCGGGTCGGCCTGGTGCTCGTCCGGGTTGAGCTGGGCGCGTTCGTACTGCGCCACGTCGCTGTAGTCTTCCAGAACGGCCTGCGTCTCCTCGAAGTTCATGTGCATGTTACTGGACTGAGGGAATGGCTCCATGTTGCTGGTGCTCTTCTCTGACGCAAGCTGCAACACAAAAGATGTTCATTTAAGAGAGCACTTGTTCAAGGTGCTGTTTTGGATTTTTATGTGTCTTAAAAATGTGAAAAACAGGACTAGTTCATTTAAAATAATTTGCAAGTTATTCCTCACTTTCTGTGCATCATTCCCCAGTATGAGCTCATAAGCAGCAGAGTTTCCTGTGATGGTTAGCTACAACCAGCATTCTAACACACACTTCCTGATTATCTGACAATAAATTCCTTTGTAATTAGATGCAGACTTATTTTTACCTCATGAGCTGCTTTTTAATTTTTTTACTCTTTAATACTGCATAATGGTAACCTGCCTGCTGTACTGAGGAACATTCCAGCCAAAATTAACATTTCCATGAAGACAGATTGGTGCAGCCAGAATATTTATTTAATTTAAGTACAGTTCATTAGCGTTATTAGCTGTCATTATATTTACTGAATGTGAATAAACTAGGGTGACCAGATTTTTGAAATCTGGTTGTTCTCGTCTTGCAGTATTCTGATGCATGGTCTGGAGATATTGAGAGCTTGAAATTCCCTATTGAGAAGCTGTTGGAGCCTTTCTTTTTCGGCACGAGATCGTCCCTGCAGAATACAGGGAGAAACATTGGTCTATTCCAGCAGTTAATGTAGAATTCCACTAAAGAAATCCATCCATTTTCATCTGCTTATCTGGGGCCAGGTCCCGGGGGCAGCAGTCTAAGCAGGGACTCCCAGACTTCCTACATCCCAGACACTTCCCTCAGCTCCTCCAGAGGGACCTCAAGGCATTCCCACACCAGCCCAGAGACGTGTCCTGTGTCTTCCCCGAGGCCTCCTCCCAGTGGGACATGCCCGGAACCCAGAGCACCTCGCGAGGGAGGCGCCCAGGAGGCATCTGGAACAGCTCCTTTCCACGTGGAGGAGCAGTGGCTCTACTCCGAGCTCCTCCTGTGTGACTGAGCTCCTCACCCTATCTCTAAGGGAGTGCCCAGCCACCCTGCGGAGGAAACTCATTTCGAGCGCTTGTATCATTTTGTAATGTCCTTGCGGTCACTACTAAAGCTCATGACCATAGATGAGGGGAGGAACATAGATTGACGGTAAATCGAGAGCTTTGCCTTTTGGCTCAGCTCTCTCTTCACCTCAACGGTCCAATACAGCGACCGCATCACTGCCGATGCTGCACCGATCCACCTGTCAATCTCAAGAAATCAGACAAATAATGCACATATAATTATTTGCATATATTTATCTAATGCCCATGTTCTACCAAAAATATGTTTTATTTCAGGTAATAAGACGCCTCGCTTTTCCTCTGATCTGACTGGCAGACAGTTACATGCACAAGTTGAAGCTGGGGAACATCCAGCTGCCTTACGCCTGCAGCAGTCAAAGAGCACTGTATGACTCAGAGAGAGTCACTGAACACTGCATGCACACTGGCAAAGTTGTGAGCAACACACTTACGAAACACTATTTACAATATTTACCACAGGTTCTAACCCACCAAACCAAGTCAAAATGAGAAAAAAGTTGAAAACCTTAACTAAACCATATGCACTTAAATTACCTAGCCAGTAAAATGCCTGACTGACCAGGATACCGTCAACTAATGCCCTTAATATCTGATATGATATAATATTGATGTGAAATGTTCTCATGCATGGTCCCTGGGAGTTAAACCTACCTGCGGCTCAAACATCCAGGGGAAGTCCACCTTCTTCTCTCCGTCCGACTTCTTGAACAGGTACGCTGAGTAGACCGGGATCCTTTTCTGGGAGTCGTAGAGCGTCACATAGCGGGGCTTGTCCTCGTACTTCTGGCAGATCTTCTTGTAGGAGGGGTTGAGGTACCCCCGCGGAGGAGTGCCTTTGTACAGGGAGTCCTTACAGCGCTCTGCATGGTTAAAGTCAGACACCACACCAGCCTGAGAGCCCCAAGGAGAAGCCCAAACCCAGAGCAGAAAAATAGGCAGGAAAAGGACCTTCTGTATAGACCAGACCACCATCCTCACACCTCTGCTGCTACAGGTACTGCTACTACTACCACTGTGCTCCAGCACTTATCTCATCTTTACAGGGAAAATAATGCTCTACTCTAAAGGCTTCTCAACATGGTTATTCAAAGCAGTACTATCTCTTCTATTCAAATCCTGTTATCAGTTGTATTAGGCATTCATTTTATCAAGACAGAAGGAGGGGCAACATGAAGACACACCAGTGTCTTTCCTGCCACGCTTTCATGAACACGCTTCATGAATAATATTATACATTATTAACAGAAACTGAATTTGATAAATTAAATCTACACCATAGGTAAAATCTTTCATGATTTTATTCTGTTGCTGATGCTGATTTTGGCTCTTGCCCCCTCTGTGGGAGTATGACATCATGACATTCAAGGATCTGAACATCAACAATAAACTATTATATATTAATAAAAAAACATAGTATTATATAGTATTGACCTGTAACAAAACATTCATGTATGAGTCGTAGCATGGGAATGCCAATACCTTTTGCTAACTTGAAATTCATTTTTTCTTAATTGCTTATTTCATGCTCAGAGAATAGATATTGTTTGATACATCATTGTTTCTCAACCGGGGGTAAGGGGACCTGAGCACTTACCAGATTGTATTTGGAATCATTTTATATTTAGAAAAAGAAAAAAGGTCAAACAGAATAGCATTTGAATAGAAAATGTACTTTGAAGGACAATCATACATCCTTTGGATAGATTAATATATAAATTGAAAATATAGTAATCAATAGTATATTTTGTAAATTGATTCATTCAGACCTCCACTGCGTGAGCTAGAGGGGACTTGTATCACTGTGGTTGGGAACCACAATGATGCATTAAGTTAAGGGTTTAAAATGTTTTCATGTAAAATAAATTTTGAGTCAGCTGGCAGGGTACAGTCATTCATAAAGATCTGGATGTTCTGCTCAAACATGATGGTCTTCAGAAAGTCCTGCAGCTTCTGGACGCTCAGCTCCACCACCTCATTGTTCTCCTGCGCGTTGAGGCCGTAGTGAGCGAAGGCTGGGAACTTGTATCTGACACTGAAGGGGGCGCTGTGGTCATAGTGAGGACAGCAGTATGCAGACCAGACGTATGTGGGCACAGCCACACGCTTCATGTGGTCTCCACGCATGGTCCGTCCATAGGTGCTGACCCCGGTCACTATGTAGGCGCGGCCCCTGCAGTAGTTGTTGAGGCGGGTGCGGATGGCCTGCTCCTGCTCGCTCCACACCGAGTCTATAAACTCTGGCATCAGAGGGACTGTGTTGGTCAGGGTGTAGGTGGACGCTTTGTCGTCTGGGTCCTCCTGGTGCACATCGGGGTTCAGAGGGGCTCGCTCATATAACACCGCGTTCATGTAGTCATTAAGGCCGGCCTGCTCGTACGGCTGGGTCCCCTGGTCCACCTGGAGAACAGGCTGCATTTCATTTGTTGCACCAGATATGAACAGCTGCAAGCACACAAGATGAAAGATGAGATTTTAGTTCAGCAGGGCAACCTACACCAACAAGGACATCTATTAGCAGAATGTTATAGAGCAGGGGTCTCAAACCACCGGGTCAGGGCCCAACCGGTCCCTGAAAAAAACAGTATCTTTTTTACTGATCCTTAAGAGAAAAAAGGTAAAGGCCCAGGGAGCAAATCAGTGTAGGATCTGTGTATGAATACATTTTTTTAATTTTACTTTAAAAATTATTATTATTAACTAAATTAATGTCTGATCAGGAAGTAAAGTTTTATATCTTTAAAATGGTCATACTGGGGAAGAAAAATGTCAACATCTTAATAATATTAATAATATAATTATTAGAGTCTGCTCTATTTAGTAAAAATAACTGGTAACCTGTCATAGTCACGTTACAAGAAATGTAAAAGTCAACCTATAAGTCGGCCGTAACAGTGAAATTGAAAATATTTGCATATTTGTTCACGTATACTAAGACCTGAGAAAAACTGCATTGGAGATACGTTTAATGCCATACAGTGAGACACTGCTGGGAAAACAATAACATTTCCTTTGTTTCCTAATGTGTGCTTTAATTATCTAAATGCACGTCAATTGTGTTGTGATTGCACTCTGAAGGGGGAGTGACTTAGCATGAAGAGCATCAAAAACATATTAATACATTGTTTATGGGGAATATAGGATTTTTAAAACAATAAAAGGTAACATGCTGATCTAAATATGTGTTAGCAGTTAATATCCCATAAAAGAAATTGTGTTTGTTAGATGTGTTGCAGCACTGGTGTCTTGTTTTTAATGTTGTGTGTTTCTGTAGACTGCAGATGGCGCTGTTCCTACCTGAGGCTCATACATCCAGGGCACGTCTGCACACACGTCTCCTGCTGAGCGCTTGAAGATGTAGGCCGAGTAGACGGGCGTGTGCAGAGCCGTGTGGTACAGCGTAACAAAGCGGGCTCTCTTGTTGTAGTACTGACAGATGAAGCACAGGGACGGCTCCTCCAGGCCCCGTGGAGGTACTTCCAGGTAAAAGAACTGTCTGCATTCAGGAGGGAGGTCCCTGCTCACCTTCCCCCAGACCATCAAGATGTTTGGAAGCAGCGTGAAGAAGACCCTGGTCCAGTCCGACACAGCAGCAGCCATGGTTCCTGAGAGACTACTGTGGAAGAGCATCGCGTTATCAGGTGCAGTGTGTGTGAGATACAGACTGCACAGAGGACTGCCCTCACACATATGCATACTCAGACACGTGAGGGAGCTAATGCAAGCAGGGGCGAGAGTCATAGAAAATATATATCAATGTGCAGCTTCTTTTTAAAATTCAGTAGGTTGTGGCAGAGGTGGTGGAGTAGAAAAATGTTTGTGCTCAAGTAAGAATAACGGTTCTTCAAAATAATATTACTCAAGTAGAAATACATAGTAGTCATCCAAGAAAATGCAAGTAAAAGAATATTTGGGAAAACTACTTCACAGTTAAGTTCCTGAAAATGTAACTGTCAGGATGAAGTAATTTATATGTTGATGTTTATCAAATTGATTGGACAAAACATCAAATAATGCACAAATTGTGGTATAATCAAAGAGACAGACCATTAAAATGCACAAACACAAATGTTCAGATACATTTTTAATATTATAAATTATGTTTTTGTCTATGTCGATTTCACTTTGGGAAGAGAAACCAAAAGTTTTAGTCAAGTAAGAGTACTATTACATGGTAAAATATATTACTCAAGTAGGAGTAAAAGTATAGCCCTGATGAAGACCAGTTAAGGTCAAAACATGTTGGCTTTGGCCATTCAAATAAATGCCTTTTAACTATATTTTTCCTCATGCGATTTTTTTACTTTTTCTACTTGTTTGGAGTGCCTAGAGTCTGTTGTGTTTGAGTTTTGATCCTTTTTCCAAGAGCACCCTCTACCTGCTCCTACTGAGTGGAACACCTGCAGCAAACAGTCACATTTATGTTCTTTCTGTACAAGAGTAAAAGTATTATTTCCAAAAACTACTTTGACATTTTCTTCAAAACGAGAGAGCAGCAGTGGACCTCAGTCTGCTGCACATCTCCACTTAAAAGCCACGGGCCACTCATTTGAGGACAGTGAGGTAGAGATCTGAGCCAGAGAAAAGAATTAGTCTGAGAGGAGAGTGAAAGAAGCCATTTTTTTTAAGATAGAGAATCCTTCTCTAAACAGAAATGGACTCAGACACCATCTGTCTCCTATTTACAACTCCATCCTCAAACCTAAATCAAAACAATCAAGAGAACAATAGGTGGTAGCCAGGTCAGGTCCAGAGGTGTGGAAGCTCCATTATGGACATGAATTGTTCTGCTAATTAGACCCCACACCCTGTACAGGTCAATAGGTCAAACAAACAGAAACTGTAAACAAGTGTGTGTTAGTTTCAGTTAGTTCGCTCCTACCTGCAGACAGATATAAATAAGTGTCACCAGCGTCTGACCAGAACTGAAGGAAGCAGCTTGGATGAACTGTGAAACGTCTTCAACCAAACTAACTTTTGTCCAGTCGTCAAACTGAATTTTCTCCTCACCAAAGTTTCTTCAGAATGTTACTCAAGTAAATGTAACTGAGTGCTACACATCTCTGCAGCTTCCAGGAAAATATATTAAGATATCATCATTACAAAGAACTTCTCTCACTTCTGATAATAGTCCATGCAGTCCAACAGTGTCCAAGTTCAGTCCTCTGTGAGTTCTGTTTTTTCTTTTTTTCTTTTCTTTGCATATCTGCTTTTGCTACAGCCCTAGTTCAGCCTTAGTAATGTTAGGATTTTTATAGTTTTGTTATAACATTTAAAAGAAATGTCCATGAAAAGCCAAAAATGTGTTTTAATTTCAGATCTTTGTTCCATAAGGTTGGTCACATAAATAAGATATACAGTAGCTAATATTTACAGTGTCCATAATCATCACAGTTACAAAATGACAATATATTTTCAACACATCCACAGAACTTTACTGCAGTTGTGATAAAGCACCAGAGCTGTTCCCCAGGTATTCAAATCTTGCTCCTGTCAACAGGCGTGGCCGATATCTCCTCTGGATTTTACCATTCACAGGAACTCATTTTCATTTAAGATATTTATTCGATGAAACTGCACTTTCCTAATTAGCTTTTATGGAAAGATCAAAATAAAAAAACTCATGTTTATTGGGAGCACCTACCAGCCTCATCCTTGAAGAGCACCTGTGTACTATATCCCTCCGTCGTTTTCTTTACCTCAGTGTCATTATTGCTTATAATAATGTCTCACTACTTTTGCCAGGTAGCACCATGTCTCACTAATTTTGAGATATTTTTAATTTCATTTTGTCGTATGCTCACTTGTTTTTGAATTAAAAAAACGTGTTACTTAACAGAGACTGAGGAACTTTTATTTGTATAGCACTTTTTACAGGTAAAAAATACTTAACATGGATATACTCAGTGTTGGGGAGTAACGGATTACATGTACCGGCATTACGTACTCAGAGTACAAATTATGAGTAACTGTATTCAGTTACAGTTACTTTGTTAAAATAAATGGATGGTGGTATTTTCCTGTTTTCACATTTTGGGCTAAACCAGGACTACAAGCAGGACTAAACCAGGTTTAAACCAGGTCTAAACCAGGACTAAACCAGGACTAAACCAGGTCTAAACCAGGACTAAACCAGAACTAAACTAGGACTAAAACCAGGACTAAACCAGGTCTAAACCAGGACTAAACCAGGACTAAACTAGGACTAAAAAAAGGACTAAACCAGGTCTAAACCAGGACAAAACCAGGTCTAAAACCAGGACTAAAACCAGAACTAAACTAGGACTAAAACCAGGACTAAACCAGGACTAAACCAGGTCGAAACAATATGACACTAACAGTAGGTGGACATAATTTCAGGCAGCAGTGATCTCATATAAAAATAATTTCTCTAACAATAATATTTTTTATATGGTTAAATAAAGTCTGGGCTTTTTATTGTCTTTTAAAAGACAAAACATCTTATGTTAACATTTCCTAATCTTTGTTTCTCTACAGTAAAACCTGTTCATGGAGACTTGGGCTCAACAGGCAATTTGAAGAGAACAAACAAGAATTTTCAGGATGTGGTTGGTACATTCATGTCGTTTTAAAAAGCATGACAATATCAAGTAATCCAAAGTATTCAGATTACGTTACTCACTTTAAGTAATTTAATGGATTACGTTACAAACTACATTTTGGGGTATGTAATCTGTAATCTGTAGGGGAATACATTTTAAAAGTCACCTTCCCAACACTGGATATACTGAAATACAATACAAAACAAAAAATTATAATGACATATATCATGACATACAATGATAATCACCTTTTTGTTTCCATGGAAATTGTATTGCAATAGTCTGACCAGCACCAGTGAAGGGTTTGTCAGTTGCAGATGACAAATCCAGGCAAGAACAATCAACTGAACTTGAGCTTTCCCTGGAACGTTCTACAATATAGCATCAAACTTATCTGTTCAAAAATATCTGAAAAACAGGCATTTTTACTGCAAGCATGGTCACCTCTCCACAGATCTGAAATGTAACTTGCTTGTCTCCATGTAGATAAGTAAACAACTAATGTGGAACATTCCAAGCAAAGCAGTAACCGTGAAGACAAGCAGGTGGCGGACTCTCAACCAGAAAAGTAACATACAAGGTAGCCACGAGGTCTTAAAAGTCTTAAAAAGGTCTTACATTTCATCTTCCTAAACTAAGGGCTTAAAAAGTCTTAAATTATGTTGTCCAAGTCTTATTTTTTTCACAAAGGTCTTAAATTTCATTAGCCTATTTTTAAGTTTACTCAACCGGGCTGCAGTGCAATGTTAAATTGAGGGAGGAAAAAAACAACAATGTAAAATAACGTAACATGAATGGACGTTTAATTTGGAGCATGCGCAAGAAATACTTTAGTTTTTGGCATTGGTGGCAATGAGTAAACAATCAGTTTTGTCTACACTGCCCAAGATGCAAAACTCTGGTCAGATCTGCTCAGGTCGCGTACACGTTTACGTCACACACATCACAACCTACATCACCACGAGCCATCTGACATGCATACACAATCAAATTCCACGCACTTTTGTATCACCGTATGCACTCAGATTTCCTCCTGAAAATGCTTATCTGAACGCGAAATAAAAAGTGAAGACGCTGTGCCACTTTTGTGTCTTCTGTTCAGACCGACATCATATAAACGTAGCTTTAGATTCTAGATATAATACCGGAGTTGGTTGGGCATTATTAGAACACACGCATCAAGAATCTCAGACTTCCGGTCATTGCGCAATCCATACTGGGAAGGATTTTCTGAAAAAGTGAGCATCAAACTGCCATGTTTGTTTTCCCAGTGGGATGTGTCTATTGACAAAGCCGATCTTTTCAAGTCTTTTGAACCATATCGATTTTGTTTCTGGTTCTGATATTGTCATATTTTAGTTTTGGGATTCAGACATCGTTAATTGTGTGGATGTTGGACGTCCCAGCAGTGGAAAACAGCTTGAGAAATGTCTTTGCGATCTCCATAAATGCAAAAGGGAATCAGATGTGTGTGACTGTAAACCTCCGTTCAAACTGTTTCCCTTCCCAACGGAATAGAAAAATAGTGAAAGGTGAAGGCGATGGGCAGGATTGATCCATGGGAAGGACCAAAAAGGAAACATTTGACTGACTAAATCATCCTGAGTTTGCAGTGAACATTTTGTATGTGGAGCGCCATTTTGTATGTGGATCCCGTTTGTTAATCGAGAGGTACAGAAGACAAACAGACTGAGCTGCACTTTCTTGTTCTTGTGGTTTTACAGCAGCATCACGTCTTGGTCTCTTTGCAGTGGAAGGTGTTTCTTGGTGAACAGTTGGTGCCTTTCGCTTTGGCGTTGACTTTTTAAATTCATAACTAAGGTTGAGCGAGGGATTGGGATTTTGCTTTGATGTCGCTCCACATACAAAATGTTCGCTGCAAATTCGTGATGATTCAGGCAGTCAAAGGTTTCCTTTTTTGTTCTTCCTGTGGATCAATCCTGCCCGTCGCCTTCATCTTTCACTATTTTTTAATTCCGTTGGGAAGAGAAACAGTTTGAACAGAGGTTTGCAGTCACACACATCTGATTCACTTTTGTATTTATGGAGTTTGCAAACAAATTTCTCGAGCCTTTTTCTGCTGTTACGATCCAACAACCACACAATTACAATGTCTGAATTCCAAAACTCAAATATGACAATATCAGAACAAGAAACAAAAGTGATATGGTTCAAAAGACTTGAAAAGATCGACTTTGTCAATAGACACATCCCACTGGGAAAACAAACATGGAGGTTTGATGCTCACTTTTTCGGAAAATCCTTCCCAGTATGAATTGCGCAATGACCGGAAGTCCGAGATTCTTGATGCGTGTATTAGACCTAGTGTTTTTTTGCCCGCATACTGGGTGCGACGTTGGTCTGAAATTTTCTTTGAAGTGGTCTTAAAAAGGTCCTAAAAATGTCTTCAATTTGGGGTAGTCAAACCCGGGGATACGCTGTATATAGTGCAACTTTAACACCGTGTTTTCCTATAAGTGATGTTCAGTCAGGCAGCCTTTGTAAAAAATCACCACATCAACATCTGTGTTTGACTTTATGAACGACTCCAGAGTCTTGAGCGGGACTTCGACAACTTCATTTTGGCCGTGTCCATTCAGAGCATAGGCGGCATACGAAGGAAACATGTATCGCACCTCATAGGGAGAATTCTGGTCAAAACGTGGACAGCAATACGCTAGCCAGATGTGTTTAGGGATTCCTATTCTATCTCGATTCTCTCTCCTGATGTTATCCCCCGAAGCTGTCACGCCTGACACCATAAAAGCTTTACCAAGGCAGAAATTATTGAGTCGCCGGCGAATTCTGTCCAAATATGGATTCCAGACATTGTCCAGGAGGTCTGCTCTGAGCGGGACCACGTTAGTTAGGGAGTAGGTGGAGGATTTCTGTGGAGGGTCAGCCTGGTGGACATCGGGGTTGAGGGGACAGCGTTTGTATTCGATGGCGTCCGTGTAGTCCTCCAGCACGGCCTGGGTGTCCTCAATGAAAGGGGGCGTGTCTTCAGAAAGAGGGAGGGGCCGCATGTTACCAGTCTCATCAGCAACAATCAGCTAAGGAGAGCAGAGAGAACTTTAGTTATTACATTACACGAGGAGAGAGGCAAGCAGTTTTAATTTAGCGAAGAGCACCTTAACCTTACACAGCAACATACATACACAAGCCCAAAATGATTCATACCCCTGACAAATTTTGACTTAATGTTACTTTTATTCAACCAGTAAGTTTTTTCTTGATTGGAAATGACACAGGCGTCTCCCAGAAGATAATAAAACTATGAACAAGAGGCAACATTGTGGAAAAAAAATATTTCTCAGCTTTTATTTACATTTGAACAAGAAATGGCATGTCCAAAATTATCCATACCCTTTGTAAACTGTAAGAGTCTATGGAAAAATCCAAAGTTCTATACCATTCCAAAGAGCACAAACTGTTCTAAAACTTCCTTATGACTCTGATTCATTGGGAAGAGCTGTTTTAAACAACTGAACAGGTGAAAAACAGCAGGTCTTTGCAGTTGGTTTGTGAACAGTCATGGCTAAGACAAAGGAGCTCTCTGAGGATCTACGGCTGTGTATTGTAGCTGCTCACAAGTCAGGAAAGGGCTATGAGACCATATCTAAATGTTTTCAAGTTCCAGTGGCTACAGTGCAAAGAATTATTAAAAAATATAAGAAAATCTCAGAGGATGTGGTCGGAAGCCAAAAGTGACACCTGTGCTGACCAGGAGGATAGTGAGAGAGGAGAACACCTGTCAGATGCACTTGAAGTCTTTCTCTGACCTGAGGTTCATACATCCATGGTGTGTCCACTCGTCTCTTCCCGTCAGACTTCCTGAAGATGTAAGCAGAGTAGATGGGCAGGTGTCTGTGGGTGTCATACAGCGTGGCGTAGTGCATCTGGTCCATGTACCTCTGACAGATGGAGCTCGGGGCCCCGTGCCAGAGGCCCCTGGGAGGAACCTGCATGTGGAAGAAGGTTCGGCAGTCCTGGAAGTCCTTGGAGACACTGCAGAGAACCACGAGGGGCCAAAGCAGAAGAGCGAGGAGCAGACTGAGCTGGAGCATAGTGAGGTTGTATTCACAGGTAAAACAATTGGCAGTGAACTGTAATCTCCATACACATGCAAATACTCACCGCTGACTCAAGTTCTCCTGTCAGCTTTCCCAAAGAGCATATTACTTAAAGATGCACTATGTAACATTTCAAAAAAACAATATGTATGACACATGCAATGTCATACACTCACACACCACTTGATTTTATAAAGAAACAGGGATGGGATAGACAGGCTATATAAAATATTACTCTAATACACTTGAGAACACAGCACAGAAGTTATCTGCCTCAGGTCTCTAGCGGGCTGGGTCCTCTCTGCTGTCGCCTGGTTGTTGGGTGTGGGGGTCCACCTACAGGTGCCCAGGTGCGTGCTCTCCCGTCCCCTCAGGGCCTCCCCTCTGTGCTGCTTCCCTCTCTGCTCTATCTCCAAGCTCCTCACCTCTGATACTTTTAATGCATCACACCCAACTTTTTTTAATGCATCACAAGTCAAATATGGATGAATGTGGGTTCATGTGTGTGAGTGTGTGAGTGTGTGTGCAGGCTTGTGTGTATGTGGATGTGTGTGCACATTCCTGTGCAGGTAGGTGCGTGCATGCATGTGTGTGTGTGTGTGTGTGTATGTACATGTACATATATATCAGGGAGGGGGAGTGTTCAGATCAGGAGGTGGTTCTTCGAGGGGCTGGCCGGCCTGGGTGGTGGACAGTCACATGCAAGGCCCTGGGGGTGGCCCCTGCACCTGCCATGGGGGGCGTGGGTGTGGCTTGATCTGCTCTCTACTTGAGTGGGGATCTGAGGCAAAACTCCAACACACACTTAACTTAGTTTCAATACTTAAATTAACTAATAATAATACAGGTCAGCAGTAAATCGTCCGCTTAGCCTGTCTATTCCCCCCTGTGCACACACACACACGCATATGCACACACATCCACACACACACACGCACACACACACACAAATGCACACACATCGACACATGCATATGCACACGCACACACATATGCACACACGCCCATGCACACACACGCATATGCACAAATGCACACGCACACACACACACACATATGCACACATGCCCACACACACACACACGCATATGCACACACACAAACGCATATGCACACACACATGCACACATGCCCACACACACACACACACACACACACACACACACACACACACACACACACACACGCACACACACACACACACACACACACACACACACACACACACACACACACATAAGGTCCACACTGTCACCAGCCCCTGTCACCTTTGTCCTTATTTGTGTGTAATCTTCAATTGAAATGTCTTGTCTTGTATCTTATATGTTGTTTGGTTCCTATTTGTTATAATCTATGTAGTTTGCAAATAAAATTATAAAAAAACAAAAAAAACAAAATTATACCTAGCTTTTTTCAATTACAGGTTTTTAAAGGTACAGTGTGTAACTTTCTGGAGATGGCATGTCACCTGCTTGATTCCATGAAAACAGAACGTTAAAACCATACTCCAGAACATTCTCCACGGAGATACATTTTATTCCATACTGTGGAGGATTAGAGCCAAAGGAACATTTCCAACAAGCAGGAAACAAGCAGGCCCTAATCCAGGCCACTTAAGAGTCAGGTTTGTGGAGATGCAAGCCCACTCACAGTAAGGGCACATGTTTTTCAGAGCAATAAAAACAACAATAATGAAAAGTGAGGTTAAGTTTTGAGGGTGGGATTAGTGAGTTGGGGGTATTAAAAAGAACAAAAACACGACTATTTAACTACTAAACACGTGCTTTTCTTTAAAATTTTCTTCAACATTAGCTTTTATTTTGTACGATCATAAACGATAAACCTTTGTGCCTTCGTTAATGTTAGTATTAGTTTGTACGACCATAAACGAAAAGAAAATATCCTTGTATTTTTTTTGTTCTCAATGTGGTTTACTTTGCGCGATCATAAACGATAAACAATTGTGCCTCCGTTAACATTATTATGAGTTTGTACAACCATAAAGGAAAAAAAGTAAGAAAGCGATTGTGTTTCTGGTCGAGGTTTTGGTTTGTGAAACAATCGAAGTGATGATTTTAAACAGTCCAACACTGTAAAAACTTTTTAAAAAGAGTATGGGGTGTTGTGTTTTGGAAAATACAGAGCTCTGGAGTTGATAAATTGTGCATTGAGTTTTATTTTAATTTATATTTTGTCTCCTATATGTGCAGTGAGTGGAGTTGTGAATGCAAACTTGTTGTTCATGCGTTGTGTGCCTTTGTTTCAGCTCGATCCCTTCCAGTCATGACCCATGTAGTCCTAGTTTATGTTTTGTCTTGTTTTTGTTTTGTAATGCTGCAAATGATCCAATTAAAAAAAGAAAGAAATGGATTTTATTTTAGTCTATTTTTTGGTTAAGAAGTTACATACTGTGGCTTTAATATCCAAAACAAAACAAACTTGGCGACGCTGATAGACGTACTTCAGCCTATTTTAGTGAATGTACTTTTAGTGATGTAACAAAAGTTTGATTTCTTGCCTTGTTCAGCTGTTGTGACGCTTTGGCCAATCAGATTTAAATATTCCTCAAAAAATGTACATACTGTGGCTTTAATATCTTGAAAATCTTGAACATGCATTCTTACTTTAACAGGGGTCATCTCTTCATAGATTTGTCTGTCTCCATGGAGTTTAAAGTACCAGAAAAGTTCAGAGTGCACCTTTAAACTGAATTACAGTTCTATTGTCTACATATTACATTATTACAAAAATATAAGTATTGAAGACTATAACTGAAGTATTTTCCTACTGTGTGACAAATAAAGGTCGTCTTATTTCATCAATTCATACTCACAACTATTCTGTAGTTAGGATAAACAGTTAGTCAGCCTATATCCATTCTATAGTTCATCTACTACTACAAATAATAGCAGGTTTTTTTTTTTTTTTCTGAACACAAGTAATAATGAAATAATAATAATGCATCAGTTTTATACAGCGCTTTTTTGGACACTTTACAGAGCATTATTCATTCACTCCACACTCAGTGGTGGTAAACTACTGCTAAAGCCACAGCTGCCCAGGGACAGACTGATGGAAGTGAGGCTGCCAATCTGCGCCATCGGCCTCTCCGACCACAACCATCACTCACACACGCACACCACTTTCATACTAGGCAATGAGGGTGAAGTGCCTTGCCTAACAGTTTTTTACGACTGGCGCCCCCCTGTGGCTCCTGATTTTCCCGGTGTCTCCCATCCAAGTACTAACCAGGCTCTAATTCTTTTGTGCCCTCTGCTATTAAATTGTTAAATTCTAAGGGTACAGTTTTCTGAATGTTGTGCACTGTAAATTGTAGTTTATTACTTAGTTCCACTTGTGGACTGTAATGGACTGACACTATGTGTGTGTTTGTTTTTGTGTGTGTGAGAGTGAGAACTGCTGTAAGATGCTGCTAATGAATTGCCTTATGGGATCAATAAAGTTTTCTGAATCTGAATCTGAATCTGAATCTGAGGCATGGCCCTGCTGAGCTTCTGAGATCTGACCGGATCAGGCTTTGACAAGCCGGTATGGCCACTAGTACTTGTAAAGAACAAGTGCTAACCAAGTAGGAACACACAAGAGGAGGTAGCAATATAAAAATCAAATACAAAATAAATACAAAAATAAAAAATCATACTGCAACTATCTCCTACCAGCCACTCGGGGTAGATTAAAGGTCCCAAACTACAAGCAAAAAACTGGGCTTCATTTTTGACTCTGAGCTGACTTTTATCCCACACATTAAGAACATTACAAAAATTGGTTTCTATCACCTAAAAAACATAGCCAGAGTCCTCCCCATCCTCTCTCGGGCCAACACAGAGACACTGATGCTTTTATCACCAGTTGAATAGATTACTGTAATGCCCTGCTCTCTGCTCTTCCCAAAAAGAGTATTTCAGGTTTGCAGTTATTACAAAATTCAGCAGCACGTGTCCTGATGAGAACCAGAGGGCGGGACCACATTACACTGGTTTTAAAATCACTGCACTGGCTCCCTGTGAGTTTCAGGATCGATTTTAAAGTTCTTTTACTGGTTTTTAAATGTCTTCATGGTCTTGGGCCTTCTTATCTTTCAGAACTGCTTTCAGATCAGTGTGTGGATGCAAAACAACTTTCTCCAGCTAAACTCAGACAAGACAGAAGTTATAGAAACAAAGCCCACAGAAACAAAAAGACAGTGTCAGCATCACTTCCAGTTTCTCTCTCTAAAACCTTCAAATCAGGCAAGAAATCAAGAAATAATAATGGACTCAGACTTGAACTTTAACAGCCACATCAAATCAATAATATCTGCAGACTTTTACCATCTCAAAAAAAAACATCAAAAATCAAAGGTTTACTGTCTAAATCAGACTTGGAGACACTTATCCATGCGTTTGTCTCCAGTAGGTTAGATAATGTAATGTTCTGCTCACTGGTCTCTCTCCAAATGAGCTGTGAGATGCTGCAGAACTGCACTGCCCCCTGTGGCTCAGAGACTTTAAAGCAGCTCTACTTGTACAAGTCTGTCCATGGCCGAGCACCAAAGTCCATCTCTGACATGTTGGTGCCACATCTGCACTCTGAGGAGCTCAGGGACCGACCTCCTGCTGGTGCCCAGAGTCAGGACTAAACAAGGGGAGTCAGAGTTTCAGGTTCATGCAGCTAAAACCTGAAACAGTCTGAACATGTGAGACTCGACTTTGACACTGTTTAAATCCAGGCCCAAAACGGTTCTTTTTAACTGTGCATGAAAGGTTTTCATTCTGCACTCTTCTCTCTAATTTATGTAATTAATGTCTCTCTCTCTTTTTTAATTTTAGTCTTTAATTTTGTGATGATTATTTATGTTATGTATGTTATGTATTTGTTATTCTGTAAAGCACTTTGAATTACTTTGTGTACAAATTGTGCTATACAAATAAACTTGCCTTGTCTTGCTTTTACCCTACGAGCTCTCACAGATTTTGCGCTCCTCCGGCAGCAGGTCCTGGTCATTCCTAAAATCAGGACACACAACCACGGAGAGGCGTCTTTCCAGTTCTACGGCTCTCGTCTATGGAACTGCAGTCAGAGGAACTCAGGGCCAAAGAGAATGTTCATATTTTTAAGACCAGGCTCAAGACCCACCTTTTTAGCTTAGCTTTTGAATGAAATCTTATACTTTTACTTGTTTCTATTGTATTAATTTTATTATATTTATTTATTTTAAGCATATTTTCCTCTGTAGGAGCCTCTGCACCAGGAGCAGGGGTCGGCTGTAGCTGTCGGGTCTGTTCTGTGGGCTTCTGGTGGAGGGATGGTGTCTGGGCTTCATCTCTCCCCTGGTCCCTGTGGTGGTTCCTGGTGGTGGTGGACGTCTCTCTGCTCCTGGTGTAGACGGCTCCTCTGATGGTGCTTTCTCAACTGGTTCGACTGTGTTCAGCCTCTCACTTTACTATGTGTCATTTTATGTATTTTAGCATGTTAATGTGAGAGCGTGTGTGTGTTTGTGCATGTGTGTGTGTATATTTGTGTGTCTGGGTTGTTTGGTTGTGTGGGGGCTGGGCTGGGGCTTGTGGTTGGGCAGCTGTGGGGGTTGGGTAGTTGGATGGGCGGAAGGAAATGTGGGATTGGTTTTAATCACTTTAATCATTCTTGTATGAAAAGCGCTTTATAAATAAAGTTTGATTGATTGATTGTTTGATTATGCAAAATTGAACTTTAAGCCTTGTTAGAATGTTGTTAGGCCTACCTCCCCAAAAACATACCTGGACTTGTGTTTTGTTTCATTCATACATGTTTGTGTAATCCTGCATTATTAGTCTGTTTACATCTCCAAAGCTGAAAAAGATGTTCCATTTTATGATGTCAGTTTTTAAGTTAACAGGTACTTTTCCCTTTAGTTCAGTAGAGACTGGCAAACACAGGGCTGCAATGATCCAAATGATTCTAGAGAAGCTGTGTGGAACATTTCTGTTTGAGAGAAGAACTCAGTTTAAATATATGTAGTTAATATGATGAAGTGAGATTCAGGAGCAGGACCAGGCCTCAGCCGTCCTCTCCTCTCACCAGTGAACCACAACTCACCTCGACCATGCCTCAAATTTCCCAGAAGCCCATATGTAGCAGCCTTTCCCATCATCCCAGTTTGTCTCAGCGAACTCGACCCCAGCCTCCCACCCCTTATTTTGTCTTTCAGTCAGAAGACCCCTACAAGAGGGGTCCCGTTCCATCTGGGCCAATTGTAGACTGAGACGGAGCCCCCACCCTCAGTCTCAACCCAGCCGTCTCTGCCCCACTTCGTACATTATCAATAAAGTTCTTCGCACTATGTCGTTGTTGGCGTGGTCTGAGCTAGTGAAACAGGTTTTAAGTACTAAGCATGTGTGAATGAAACAAAACACGACTCCAGATCTGTTTGTGATCAGTTTTGGGGAGTAACAGATTACATGTATCGGAGTTACGTAATCAGAGTACAAATTATGAGTAACTGTATTCCGTTACAGTTACTGTTTCAGTGAGTGGTAATTGGATTACAGTTACTTTGTTGAAATAAAAGGATTACATGGTGGTATTTTCCTGTTTTCACATTTTGGGCTATATTTTTTTTTCTCGGTAATTCCACTCATTGCCAGAAACTAAACCAGGTCTAAACTAGATCTAAACCAGGTCTAAATCAGGTCAAAACCAGGACTAAAACCAGGACTAAAACCAGGCCTAAACTAGATCTAAACCAGGACTAAACCAGGACTAAAACCAGGTCTAAACTAGATCTAAATCAGGCCTAAACCAGGACTAAAACCAGGTCTAAACTAGATCTAAACTAGATCTAAACCAGGACTAAACCAGGACTAATCCATGCTGCACGGATGTGTCTCCCCGTTTTCTATCAATAATATTTTTAATACGGTCAAGTAAAGTCTGGGCTTTTTATTTTCTTTTATCAGACAAAACGTCTTATGTTACAATATCTAGTCTTTGCTTCTCTACAACAAATCAAGTAATCCAAAGTATTCAGATTACGTTACTCACTTTAAGTAATTTAATGTATTACGTTGCAAACTACATTTTGGGGTATGTAATCTGTAATCTGTAGGGGAATACATTTTAAAAGTGACCTTCCCAACACTGTTTATGATGAAGAAACAGCATTAGAACATAGATCAGAGAATATGGGCCCTTGAACAGAAAGTCCCCAGTGGCGCAGAGAAAAGCGGTTGCACACCTCGGCTGCAGAGGGCGCCATGATTCTCGCACTGGTTTGTCGTTCACCTGGTGTAAGCGAAGAAGAAGGGCACGTCGCTACGCAATCCGGATGCGACGAGCGCTTTTGGTGACAGCGAAAATAATTACAAGAAACTGCGGTCGTCGGACCTGCAAACACATTTTACGTTTAGTTTTTATAAAGCACCAATTACGCGAGTCTCGGATGCGCGCAAATCTGCCCCGCGCGCTTTCCGATCTCTGCGCAGAAGATCGTTTTGACCAAACCAAACCAGGAGGAACATCTGGCTGCTCTTCTTAGCTTCAAGAGTCATTGAATGAGACTTTAGCATCGGCTAGCATTGTTTTAGTTTTAGACCACCGCTGCTCGGAGAGGCCGGAGGACGCGAGGGGGGCACACAGTCGCTTAAATCCGCGGTGGAAACGGTAAGAAGGCGCTACGTAATGGGCGCACATACACTGGAATCCATGCACCACACCACCGCGGCTCCGGTCCGACCATCCGCGGACCGAGGCTAACGACAACACGGCTAAACTGTGGCCAGAGGAGCGCACAGGTTGTTGTATCCACAATCAGCATTTTGGAAATGCGTAATTCTGTTTTACGGTCGTGGTTACAGATATTCATGTTAACAAAACCACTCGATACATAAAACAGAGTCACTGCATTGAAGTAATTAATAATCAACAACAAAAGTCCACATTACCTGTACATTTGATCGTGTTATTGTCTTACATTTGCGCACGAAATGGATCACAGGTGGATAGATCACTTCACAAATGATTAAAATAATAATTAAAGGTGTCCTAGCTCAGCTTAACGTTAGGGGGACCACCACCTTCTTCTTGTATCCATTGAGCTGTAACTGCCATGACTATTGACTGGCTAGATATTCCACAGGGTGACATTAAATTCATCTATCTTACTGTTTTTCAATCACAAGTGTTTTTATTGCTCAAACATACATTGAAAAACATGTATTTTTGCTGTTAGTCAGCTTGCTGCTCCACAGATCTGACTTGTAGTTTGGCCTGGTGGGTTTAACGGTTCCCATGCAGACAAGGAATCAGATGCACTATACATAGGCCTGTCATGATAATTACTATATTGACCTATCGTTCAGTAAATGAAAGATGGAAGTATATATTTTGGGGCTCAGTATTTATTGTGTGGACAATTTCTTTGCAATAACAGGAACTTTTTTTTGTCATTTTATGTAATACCCTCAGATGTGAACTGTAGTGGGTAGAATAAATATCGTAGTATCTGTTTATCTTCCTTCCTGGCTAATTATAAGTTCATTCTGCTGTTTATGTCTTGCAGCTCAAGGCTTTTAATGATACAGTAGATTTAAAAGTGGGTTTATGGGGATTTTCCTGCTTTGTGTCAGTGGCGTAAAGTAGTTTCATTATTATCAAATTTTTCTGATAACATGTTAAAGATGCACTATGTAACATTTCTGCTGGAGGCTCCTGCTTGTCTTCATGGAAGTGATATTGTTTTGTCTGGAATGTTTCACACAATATGGCAGTAAACTGATCAATCTCCACACAGACAAGCAGTTGGCACAATCAGGCAGTCAGATCTGCCTTGCTCACAATCAGAATACACATTTTGAAAGGTATTTTTGAGCAACAAAATCACCTGAAATTTATAAATGCAAGTGTAACGCCATATTGTGCAGCATTCTAGACAACCTTTTAATATTTACAATGTAAAGCTGTGCACAATATATCAAATGTTTCTGTAAAATATTGAGTTTCCCACAGGTGTATATGGACACCATGGTGACATAACCCATCCATGTTTGAATCATTTTAGTATATTTTGTATCAGTATAAATCACCATTATTGTCTCAACTGATAAAAAAGTTAGTTGCTGCGTAGTGCTGTCAGAAACAGTAACAGCAGTAACTACAAATACAGAATTGTGACAATAATGAGAACTCACTGGATTTGTACAGCACCTTTCAAGACACTCAAAGCTCTTTACAGCACTATTCATTCACTCCACACTCATTGGTGGGAAGTTGCTATAGTAGCCACAGCTGCCCTGGGGCATAAGTGTGTCTTGCCTAATGACACAATGACAGATCCTTAGTTTTGAGGCACCACTGCTCTGATCACTGAGCCACTGTTGTAATCCCATGTTTTACTTACTTTACTTGTTTGTTGACTTCTGCCATCAGCTCTTTTCCTCCACGTGTGCCCGTCTCATTGGCCTTACAAAGCGCAGGTTAAGCAGGTCCGTGTTGTGTCCGTGCTGTGTGCAGGTGCCAGGCTGGCGCAGATCGTGACGTGCCCGTGGATCATGCGCGACACTGGGGGGAGCCTTGCCCAGAACCGCTGGCAGGGAGACCTGGGGCTGACGGCGGTGGGCCAGGACGACACAGGGGGAGGTACGTTCTTACAAACACTGCTGTGCTTTCATTAATTTTGTCTGTCGTGTACTATCTGCATCTAAGCATTTTAATCATCTGTTCATTAGCATGCTAGTTGTTGTTGTTAGCTGTGCTGGTCTGGTCTCTGGAGAGTTGTGAAAAGTGCTTAAACTGGTGAATAATGCACTTGCTCTGAATGAATACTGTAATTGAGGAATAACTTTGGACCACTGCAAACTGTTACAACTGAACTAGTTCTGTTTTTCCTGTCCTAAAGACTCACCTCTCCACAGATCTGTCCTGTAGTTAGCCTGTTGGAGGCACGTGCTTGTCTCCAAGGAGATAAATTAGTGAACTGTCATACAGTGTATCTATTCAGGTAAAGCAGTTTCTCCAAAGCAAGATCTCCATGGAGATAAGCAGGTGACAGACCCTCCTCCTGAACAGTTACATCGTGCTCCTGTGAATTTACATTTCGATGTGGTGCACAAACCAAAGCAGAAAAATCATAAGAAAATGTATGAGTTGCAAATAAGTGTTCACAAACATGGAGACAATTATTAAAGCCACATTATGTACATTTTTGCCAAATAATAGACAATTTAATAAGCAATATAATAAGCTTTTTTTTCATTATTGGTGTGTTTATTGCACTGAAACAAATCTCAAGTATTCATCCTTACTGTGAGCGGGCTTGCATCTCCACAAACCTGACTCTTATCAGTATCGTAAAAGTGCATCTCCATAGATGTATGGTTTAAACTTTCTATTTCCATGGAATCCTGCAGATGACTTTCCACCTCTAGAAAGTTTCAATCTCACTTTAAATACAAATAAATATTAGATTTCTAACTCCCTTTCTTTTCCTATTAATTAATAACCTGGAAAAAAACTGCATTGATTTCAGAATTACTTATGCATAACTTTTGCTACAAAAGCAAGATCTTTTTCAATTGAAATAATGACATAAATGACACAAAAAAGTGTGAAACTCCTCCTCCTTGTCCCTTATCTCCAGGTGGGATCCCAGCTGACCACCTGATGGCCCCAGTGTCAGGCCACAGCATCCCCAGCCCCATGCACCTGAAGCTGGGCCAGAAGGAGCCCGTGTGGATGGGCGAGTACGTGGAGGACGACGACCAGGACAACCTGGCCAAGATGGAGAGCATTGATGGAGAGGAGGAGATGGAGGAGGAGAGCCGGGAGCAGGGCCCCTGGGATGAAGGAGACGGTAGGGCCAACGCTAACCATATATACATGTTCACATATACACATGTCCATAATAAGAACATGTAAACATGTCTCCTTTGTTAAAGGAGCTGAGTTATGCAAAATGGACTTGGATGAGTCATGGTGCTCAACAGTCCTGTACACTTTGAAGCCTGCTGCACTTCCTCAGGCCAATTCCCCCATACATGCTGGAAAAATTAAAATATTGCTTGTGTCCATGGGTTTCTGAATGATGATGTTAGTTAATGATGAGTTAGGACTCTTACCACAGCAATTAACAATTCAAAACAAAATGTCATATACTCATATATCATACAGAATGTCTTTTCACTGGTCTTCAGAATGGCACCATGAATAACAGCATGACAGAAGCTAAGCAGCTTTGTCATAACACTCTGAACTTCTGTTTAAAAAACATATTTGAAACTTTAGCCAGAGTTAAATTCAAAGTTCCCTCACTAACCCCCCATCCAGCTTCATAGTGCAGGCCTCTGGTCACACATTTGGGGGTTCAAAATGTCACACAGACATGAAAGCCCACCTCTTTCTACAGTGAAAAGTCTTTGGGTCTGTTTCTATTATGAAGTTGTTCATGCATTTTGATTCTGGTTTAATTCAAAATGATATTGTCATTATTGTTTTAATACTTGAGGCAGGGCTAAACTCACTCAGGGCAGTATAATGTCCATTCAGATTGAAAATAACTTCTTGAGGGCAGCTGAAACATCTTGATTTCAAAAAGCTTGTCCAGATGAGCTTCTCTACCTTAAAATGCCTCATGTTGTTTGTTTGTTTGTGTGTGTGTGTACAGCTCTAGTGGATGAGGAGGAGTACCACGTACATGCTCAGTGGCCTGTCCCTAAGATGCCCTCCCAGGCTGCTGCATACTCACACTTCCAGCAGGTTCCAGAGAAGTCGGACAGTGAAGAGGAGGAAGAGGGGGACGAGGAGGAGGACGAGGAGGAGGAGCTGGACGGGAGTCTACAGGTGGGTCATGTTTAGCAGGACAAAGGTTTATTTTTTGAACTGAAGATGTTTCTCAGCTCATCCAAGCTGCTGTACCTCACTCTCCTCATAGCAGTGGGAAGAGATTTTTGAGATGGAGATGTACGGTAGACTGAGGCCACTGTTGCTCTTTCATCTGTGTTGGTACATCCAAACCCTTGAAGGTTTGTAGTGTTTCTGAAAAGCTCCAGAGGATTATCAGACAACATGAAATCCCAGTCTATTTTAAATCTACAAACACTGTAAGGCCGAAACTGGTCCACCCAAAGACAAACACCGAGCCACAAACAAAGCCATGTGGTTTACTCTGTTCAGTGCAGTGAAGACTGCAGTGAACGCTGCATTGGAGAAACGAATCAGCCACTTCACAAGAGGATGTACCAACACAGATGAGAGAGCAGCAGTGAACCTCAGTCTGCTGTACAGGAAGAGAAAAGAATTGGTTTGAAAGTTAAAGAGGCTATTTTTGTTGGGAAAGACAATCCATCTTTGAACAGAAATGGAGGCCTCAGACATTATCTGTCTCCCATTTACAACTCCATCCTCAGACCTAAATCAAAACAACAGTGGTGGCCTGTAGGCTCAGAGATATAAAAGCACCCATCAGGGGCCTCAATGATTCTGCTAATATATTTCATGCAGAGTCCCCACTTAGTGCAGTTCAATCGACCGAGCAAACAAACAGAAACTGTACAGAAACAAGTAGAAACTGTTAGTTTCAGAGTAGTTTCAATGTACTTAGCTCGTCCCTTCAGACAGATATAAGCAGTGTCACCAGTGTCTGAACAGAACTGAAGAAGCAGCTTGGATGAGCAGTGAAACATCTTCATGATAAAACTTTTGTCTAGTTGCCAAAATGCACTTTCTTTTGCTGTGGATCCTACCTGGACAGCTGTGGGATTACACAAACATTAGTGGACTAGCCAAACAATTCTATACTTACATTTTTAATATACATTTATGAACAAATTTAAAAATACTGATTGTCTGCTACAAATACAGTGAATTAATGACATTTAATTATGAAAATGAGAAATTATGAGTCTTTTTCATGACATTTCAATTTAATAATGGCTCTGTCTCTCTCCTAGTTATAGTGTAGTGTATTTTCTTCATTTATGAACTTAATAGTTTGATGCAAACATTTCACATAAAACTATGACTGAAGAGGTTTAGGCTGAAGTGAGATCACTTATAAACGCCCAAACCCTTTGTCCATGTTCTAAAAGGTCTTTGGAGATGTTTTAGAGTCTTTAATTTTTAGGATGAACAGCAATAAAAGTTAACTCCGCCCCTGCAACCAGGTGTTTGTATACTTGGATACACCTGACTGTAATCAGGACAGTCCAGCGTGACGTCATGTAGTACTGTATTTTCCGCACTATAAGGCGCTCTGTCATTGAATGGTCTATTTGTAAACTTTTTTCACAAATAAACTGCACCGGACTATAAGGTGCATTAAACGAAACACAACAGTGTGATGGGGAGTGGTTTTGTTTGTTTGGCGCGTTCACGGTGACTCTGGGCTTTGTTCAGTTGTGGCGTGTAGGGAGGGTGCTGTCTGGGACCAATGGATTGTCGGCGTGTTCGAAGTGACTCAGTTGTTCAGTTGTGTCTAGAAGTGGCACATTGTAATCGTTTTTTTGGTTCGTTCCTCCGTTCCGTTCCTCGTCGGCGTGGAGTGATGAGTGTGTCTGTGGGTGTTTTTGGCTGTGCGCTGTCTGCTCCGTGTGTGTTTGTGTGCGCTGCGGGTGGTGCGGCTTTGTAGTTTACTGAAGTCGTGCTAGGACACCCAAGTGGATTCGCGTATAGGGCGCTCTGAATTGTGGGGTGCGCAGTCGATTTTTGATGGGATTGGAAGCTTAAGAGTGCGCCCTGTAGTGCAGAAAATACAGCACTTGGAAAATGTGGTATCTGCTGAATGCAACACACACGCAGGTTTTGACTGTTTTTGACAAAAAGCTGCAAATGTACCAAGGTTGTACTAGTTGCCATGACAGTCAATGATTCTTTGTAACCTGACTGCAAGAAAAATGTGCCTGTGTGTGTTGTGTAATGCTACAAAGTGCTGTTCAAAACGTCCTTATGATGCTATTTTCTGATCTATGTTCTCATGTAGTTTCCTCATCACAGACCTGGAGTTGTGTTTTGTTTCATTCACATGTTTAATACACAAACCTTGCACATTTAGACTGAGTTCTTCTCTCAAAGAGAAAACGCTCTGTTCCACCTTTTGATGTCATGTGGTAATACAGGAAATGTTCCACTGTGTTTTTAAACTCCACACACCTCCACCATAATCATTTGGATGATTTCAGCCCTGGAAATGCCTATTTCTATTAAACATAAGCAAAAATATTGAAATATTGATATATCATATTGTTTAATTTGATGATACAGTATTGATATCATGGGCTGCTGTATCGATATATCGCTAAGAGTATTTTTAGGCTCTTTTACAAAATTATTTTGTATGGTATTCTTTTTACTTGTACAGGGACAGTGTACAACAATACATTAACCAAGACAGAAGTCCTAGGGAGACGCTGGTGCCAGGTTGTATAAAAGCTACCATTGTGTTGACATTTTCACTGTTTTGATGGGTAAAATAAGTCTCTTTCATTTTAACTTTAGTCGACTTAATCAGGGTAGCTGCAGGGTTTTAAAAGTCTTTAAAAAAAAGTCTTAAATTTCATGTTCCTAAATTAAGGCCTTAAAAAATCTTAAATTCTGTTGTCCAAGTCTTATTTTTTCAGAAAGGTCTTAAATTTCATTAGCCTATTTTTTGGTAAACTCAACCAGGCTGCAGTGCAATGTTAAATGGAGGGAGGAAAAAAAAACGACAACGTAAAATCGCGTAATGTGAATGAACGTCTTATTTGGAGTATGCAACAATACTTTGGTTTCTGGCACGGGTGGCAATGAGTAAATGATCAGTAGAGTGGAGGAAGACGTTGGATGGATCATGGGGAAGTGTAGGTTTAATTCACAGTGGCTCTTAGATTCTAGATATACTAACAGTAGTTTGTTGGTCGTTCTTAGAAATGGATCTGTTTTTTTTGCGATGTTGGTCTTAATTTTCATTTAAGTGGTCTTAAAAAAAGTCTTTAAAAAGTCTTACATTTGGGGTAGTCAAACCTGGGGATACCTTGTTAATGAACACAGCCATGATTTAGCCTTTGTTTTTCACTGAACCATATCAAATCGATTTGAAATATATCGTATTGAATCCAAGATGCACTGTATCGGAAAACGTATCGTATTGCAGCCTATGTATCAAGTTATTTATTTTTTTATTAATTTGTTTATTTCATTCATATAGTATAAAAAGACATCAACAGTGTCACAACATCAAACGTACAAGAAATGAATGAGAAGGAGCAGAAAGAAGAGTCATCTTACGTTCTCTGCCTCCTTTTCCAGATAAAACATCAACACTGATGGTTACTAAACATTTCAAAAGGGCGCATTTCAGTTCAACCACAATTATTAAGCAATTGCAAACAGAAATCTTCACTATTATGCACAACAATGCACAATCATTTCCTTTTTCATACATACACATTGCATTTGATTTTATGTGTTTTTTTAAATGCCGTCATTGTACTTGATTCATTTATATCTTTGTCAATTTATGGAAGAGTCTTAACTTCTTTCACAGCGATGCTTCGCAATTCTCAATTCTCAAAATATATGTATTGTGTCGGCAACTTCTTAATGATACCCAACCCTAAACATAAGCTAAAAGGAGCTGTTAACTAAGCATTTTAAGATTTGGAGATGTAGACAGACTAATAATTCAGGATTACTCAAACATATGTGAATGAAACAAAACAACTCCTGTTTGAGGAGGGAGCAGCATTGTGACATGGCTTAAATCTCACAAGAGTCCATTTAGGTCCTTTTAAAATGAATACGTTATGCTTTTCAATCTTTTTTTTTTTTTTTTTCTTTAGCAGCTTTTACCATATGATGCGTGATTCTTGACTAGAATACCGTATTTTCCACACTGTAGGTCATCGAATGGTCTATTTTTGATCTTTTTTCACATATAAACCGCACCAGACTATAAGGCGCATTAAACAAAACACAACAGTTAGATAAGTCAGTCAAATTTTATTTAACACATTCACAATAACTCTCAACTTTCTTCAGTTGCAACACGTAAAAAAAAATATTGTCTGAGATGCTGCTGTTGGTGTATTCACAATAACTCATAATAGTTCAAACAGTTGGGCAATTCCGGCATCCAGCACGTCCACATCCCTCTCGTCATTATCCGAGTCAGTGTGATTACTGTTACCTGGCAGTTCAGTGATTAAGATTCAGTTCAGTCTTGGTGAAAGCTCGGACCACAGTTGATCCTGATCCTTAGTCCAGGCGCCCACGATCCGTTGGCAGATCGTGGCGTAAGTGGCTCGGCGCTGTCTCTCCGTCTTGGTGAATGTGTGTTCTCCTTCTCTCATCCACTGCTCTCACACAGCTCGCACTTTCACTTTAAAACAACTTGAGTTTAAAGTGGGTGTTGTAAGCGTGTCTCTTGACAGGTGCATTTTGATATTAAAAGGAATCACAGTATGTATTACTCCTGATGCTCCTGACTACGGGAGCCGTAATGCTGCAAGTGGAGCGGCTTTGTAGTTTACTAAAGTCGTACTAAGACACCCCAATAAATTCATATCTAAGGTGCTCTGGATTATAAGGTGCGCAGTCATTTTTTGATGAAATTAAATGCTTTTAAGTGCACCCTATAGTGCAGAAAATACGGTAACCCTTTAATTTCTCCATCTCTTATGCCTCACCCACAGGACTGTCCCCCGGCTGCCGTCCCCTGCCTGAGACGGCCCCTCAGCTGGACCCGCAGGACACGCCGGAGCATGGGTCTGGCTGGGCAGTGGAGGCGCTGGCGGCAGAGGGCCCAGTGGCTGCACAAGTGGAGGAGAGGGAGAGTACGGTACAGCCTCTACAGCCGAAAGAGGAGGGGCAGAGTGTACGGGCCGCGTACAGGGAGGGGCGACCGCAAGGGAGGCCTCGACGGGCAGAGAGGTGTGTCAGATGCCCTACCGTCCTTCTGCATCCCTGTGTATCTCTGATCCTGCTCTATCCTTGTGTATTCAGATGTCCTCCCGTGTGTCCTCTTATATCCCTATGTGTCAGATGCCCTCCCATGCTTCCTGTTACATTCAACATGTTCCCATTCAAAAGATATACTTGTTTTAAATTGTTAAACGCTATGGCAACTGTCCTAATTTCTCATCATTCCAAAAGCCATGGATATCTGTGTGTCAGATGCCCTCCCATGCTACTATTCTGGGTTTCAGCTTCCGGTTGTATCCAACATTTTGAGGAATTAAATTGTTAAACGCTACGGCAACTGTCCTAATTTCTCATCATACGGAAAGCCACAGATATCCCTGTGTGTCAGATGCCTTCCCGTCCATCCTCATACTGTATATCTGTATGTGTCCGATGCCCTCCCCTCTTATATCCCTGTGTGTCTCTGATCTTCCTATACCCTCTCATGCATTCTCTTTTACTGGTCTAAAAGTGTTTTTCTGAGCTGACTTTCCACATATTTGTCTGTATATTCTCTGACAGATAAGTATGAGGTGGGGGCAGAGGGCCGTGACAGATGCCTGGGCCTGGCAGAGAGACCAGTGCAACCGGCGCTCACAGAGGAGCACGTCAGCTGTGTTACAGGTAATACACCAAAGACTTTATGTATTGTGTTCACAGTGACAATAATTAGCAGATCTAGCAGCCTAAATGTGGAATGCTTGTGTAGGTTTCCTGGAGGAGGCGCTGCAGCAGTACGGCAGTCTGATCCCGGTGCATGTGGACGACGTCACAGAAAAGCTCCAGAGTGTCTTTAGCGAGAGCTTCTCCCAACCACACAGGTCAGAGGCCCTCTCCATCACAGCCTTATTCTCATCAGCAAATTTGCATAAAGAATGAATAAATAATTTATAATTGATCTTTAATTCAAATAAACTTGCATGTGACATTTCAAATATTCTCACACAGTTTTAAATATAAAACACTGACTTGCTCTTTAGTTTTAATTTGAATCAGTTCAAATGCTTAAACTCTTCATAGACACAGACTCAGATGCTGGTTTGGAGCTCTGAGGATGAGCTGCTTCCCACTGGGTTCTGGCTGTTCCTTCCTTCATTATTACATCTGTTTCTCTCCTCTTTCCTTTGTGTGTCATTAGACAAACAAATATGCCCTGATTTGATTGGCCAATCAAATTCTTGTTCTCGTCACATGCAAAGTTCTCCCCATAGTCGGCCCTATCAAACTATTGGTCGACGCTCCTCTTGTTTAGTCAAGTCATAAAAACATCATCACTGATTGTCCTTTTGAATCCAATTTCCGTGATCTCACTGCGCCATAGATCTGGCCTTGCTAGAGTCACCAGGAGTGCACACAAAGCGCAGCTTAAACCTCAGGCCTGAATTTATGTATCACAATCTTTTCCTCATGAACACCCTGAGGAGATGCTGTCTTAATGCTTGCACATGTATAGTCTCTGGCACAGACTTGCCTGTAGTAGTGACTCTGTGTGTGTTTGTGTGTGTGTGTGTGTGTGAGCAGGAAGGCCGTGGTGCAGCACTTGATGCAGTCGTTCCAGCGCTCGTCGGGCAGTGCTCTGGCCAAAGGCTTCAAGGTCAATTACAAACGCCACGTCCTCACCATGGACGATCTAGGCACACTCTACGGACAGAACTGGCTCAATGACCAGGTACTCCCTCCCTCTGTGGTCCTCTGCACTAAACTGCACTAAACTGCACTAAACTGCACTAAACTGCACTAAACTGCACTAAACTGCACTAAACTGCACTAAACTGCACACTAAAACTGCACTAAACTGCACTATACACACTATACACACTGTACACACTGTACACACTGTACACACTGTACACACTGTACACACTATATTACGCTACAAAACTACATCCCTGCACTGTGGCAGCTACAAGACAGACCTGGCTCAATGACCAGGTACTCTCTCAGATCCTTCTCCCTGCACTGTGGAGAGCTTTAGCCTGTAATGTTTGCAGTACCTCCTCTTATAACATACTTTTCCACACACACCACTCACATTTGATTGAAATGAAGAAGTGAACACACTACCAAACAAACTCGCATCTGGTCCATTTGAAATCAGATCTCAGTGCAATATACTTATACATTTATTATTTTTAAAGTATTCTAGTTTCTTTGCTAAAGACTATTACTGCTCCATACAGGACACACTACCCTCTCCTGGTGAGTGGTGGTACTGCACCCTCAGACAGTTGAGTTCATTAGACAGAACAGAACAAGAAGCGTCCTCTACTACTACATATACATATAGACTCAGTGTATATACATAGACACTCATATAATTATAATGCTGTAGGATTGTGTGAGTTATGGAATTACATTATGTTTTTACAGATTATGAACATGTACGGTGACCTCGTCATGGACTCGGTACCAGAAAAGGTAATCAGTTTTTCATTAAAGGTGCTTTATCTATTTTACTGTTTTTAAATGTGAAAAACAGAACTAGCTCATTTGAAATGGTTTGCACTGGTCTAAAGTTAGTTTTCACTTATCTTGTGCATTCTGAGCATCTTAATTATTCAGCATCCCAGGCCAGTACTGTTGTTCTGCTTTTATTTGAGCAAGACACATTTTGACACATTCTCAAAGTTCGGACACACATGATTATTTACATTGGAATGACACATATGGAATGTAGTAAACAAAAATAAACTCAAAATAAGTCAATTTGTTATAGAAAAAAATAGCCACCCTTTGCATTGAACCCCAGTTTGTACTTTTTGTATTTCTTGATCGAAGTACAGGCTCTTTAAATCATGAAGTCTTGATTTTTGACTGAGTTCTGAAAATTTATTGTGACTCTCCCCAGGTCCACTTCTTCAACAGCTTTTTCTACGATAAACTAAGGACAAAAGGATACGAAGGAGTGAAGCGGTGGACCAAAAATGTAGGTTTGCTTTTTTAAAGTTCTCTCCATCAATACCCCGGGGCCCTCGCTGAGCCCGTGTGCCCGTTTCAGGTGGACATCTTTAAGAAGGAGCTGCTGCTGATCCCCATCCACCTGGAGGTGCACTGGTCCCTGGTCAGTGTGGACATCACGCGCCGTGCCATCACCTACTTCGACTCCCAGCGGACACTCAACCGCCGCTGCCCAAAGGTGACGCCTCCTACTGGGCTCTCTGTAACAACAGGTTCCATAGTGTGGTGACAAAAGTGATCGAAACAACACCACTTTCTGCAAAATCTTTCTGGTGCTTTCTACCATATTAGGTTTTAGATGTCATCCATGCGTGTTTCAGTATTTTAGCAATCTCTCCCCGGCCCTATTCAAACCCTCCTTACGCTTAGTTATAAGATTCTGTCCAAGGCTCCGCCCACAAGCCTGAATCACCCATACTCCCACACCACAATTCTCCATACATTTGGAAAAACATGACTCAAAAGTATACAGCGACTTGACAAACCTGATGCAGTAGCTGATTGTGACTGTGTTTGTCATTATATGATAGCACTCTGAAGGTTGAGTAACTAAGCGTGGAGAGCGAAGGGATGGGATACTCAGAGCATTAAAAACAAAAATATGAAACTTGTAAAGCATGTTAATATGCTGTTTTTGGCAAATATAGCATTTTCAAAACAATAAAGATGGCGATCTTAAGATCTTACGCGTTAACAGTTAACACCCCATAAAAGTATAAATAGAATTAGAAAGTCCATATTTTAACCCTGTGTCCACTCTGTTCTTTTGTAGCATATTTTTAAATATCTCCAAGCAGAGGCAATCAAGAAAGATCGACGAGACTTTTTGGACGGATGGAAAGGCTTTTTCAAAATGGTGAGATTCTGTATTTCGCTGACATACAGGTGGGAGCACTGGGGCCTATATTTCACTGACATACTGTATTTTTTGGACTAAAAGTCGCTCCAGAGTATAAATCACACCAGCCAAAAAATGCGTAATGAAGAAGAAAAAAACATTTAAGGTGCACTGGACTATAAGTCGCCCTTTTGGGGGGCAGTTTTATTTTATAAAATCGGAGACCAGGAACCAGCGTTTCATCTTGAAAGGCAAGTTAGAGAATAGAAGAGAGAACAACAGACTGTTAACGTCACATATGAACAGGTCTTCAGATAAACTATAACATAAACAACAGAACAGAACAAGTTTACCAAACTCTCCATCTCACTCCAAATCACTAAATCCTTTGAATTCTTCATCCTCTGTCACTTCTGAGCAACTCAACCTCGACTTCCGGAGGTAAACAGAGCGCCGCTTCCTCTCCTGTGTCGCTGTCGTCACACTAGGCATCAGTTCCAGTTAGAATTTTTCCAGCCTTTCTGAATCCTGACCGGATGGTTTCAGTGTCACTGAAGTCCAGACTTTGTCCATCCATCCAGTGACTTCAGGAAAGTTGCAACTCGGTTGTCACAAGTTTCTCACTCACTCCAAACTTTCTTTCTGCTGCTTGATTACAGTTTTCGGCTGCAGATTTCGCTACTTTCAGCTTGTAATCTGTAAAATATGATTTTCATTTGTGTTCAGTCTTCTCAGTCATCTTTATAAGTTTGTTTAAATGTTAAATGTTCAGTGGTAGAGAAGTAATGTTGCGATCGACTGACATGATACAGACAGAACAGAGGCTCTTTCTGCAGGAGACATGTGCAGTAGAGTGAAGTGATAGTGGTACAGGAGGAACGGGAGCAGCAGATACTCACACACAAGACTAGAACCTCTCGCGACCATCAGTGTAAAAATTTTAATATATAAGTCACACTGGAGTATAAGTCACAGGAAACACCCAAACCATGAAAAAAGTGCCACTTATAGTCCGAAAAATACGGTACAGGTGGGAGCACTGGGGCCAATCTATCAGAATTATTATTTTTGTGGGTGTGTGTTTTTCAGTACAATCTCTGCGTTAAGTTTACATGTTCTCTCTGTGTCAGTAAATCCATGTATAAGAAGGTTTGCTCTGGGACCATGAGATTCTGCATATGTTTGGGACTGTCCAGGAGAAATGCATAAAAGCAGTAAATAGTTAGCGATGCTGTGGTTTGGACTCATGAGTCATGTGCTGCACATGTGTGTCTGTGTGTTCCAGAATGTGGGTCGCCAGAACAATGACAGCGACTGTGGAGCCTTTGTCCTCCAGGTGAGTTTTGTCTTGTGCTGCGTTTGTTTACACACAGGGACTAAAGGTCGCCACACACTACAGGAGAATTTGCCCGATTTTGGCTGCGATTCGATTCTCCCTGAACCCGGGAAGGTGTGGGAAGCATGACCGCTGCGCTCCTCATGCGTGTGGTGTCAGTGTGACTCTGAGCTGCTCTGTCAGGTCGTAACCACCAAACATCAGCAGCTCTACACCAACAGACAATAAAACAGAACGTCAGGGGCAGAGGAGTGACGGACACAGAGACCCGAGATACCAACTCAGCAAACAGCAAAAAGACTTATAATAATGATGAAGACTTTATTACTCACCTCTTTTAAAGTGGTAAATTTAAAGTGCAGCATCTCATCCACATTCTCCAGAGAAATTGTCCCCTGCAAATGACAACCCCAGTCCACAAAACAGCGCTGTGAATCCAGTTTGAGATGTCCTTTAAAGGTAAAAAGGTGAGAGTAGTTCCTCACGTGTGTCTGTTTACATCCACACAGCGCACAGATGGAGGTGAAGCTGCAGATTAGTGACAGTGACTCTACTTCCTGTGCACTTTATTGCCAATCTGTTATGCTTTAAAAATCCTGTATCTGAAGTTTTGCACCATATTTTACAGATAATAATAAGACAGTTTTGACTTGTATCTAAACTAGAAATGCAGAGCTCTGATCTTTTGAACACTTAAGAGGCTCAGAGCGAGTGGTTTTACTGTAGACAGGAAACAGCTGATGCAATTGCACTCACAACTTTATATCCTGTGCTTTGCAGAAGAGATCCCACTGCAGTCTTTACGATCAGAGATTTCAAGTCTCATAACATTCGCCTCGTGTCTGTGGTGGGCCCTTTTTGTTGCACGTTTAAAAATCAGAAAAAAGTCTGAAAAATCCTGTAGCGTGTGGCGGCCTTAAGTGTGAATGTGCCTCTAAAGAACATGTAGAAGTGTTATTACACAACAACATTTAATCACAGGTAAAATGTATTCAGTGTTAAAGGGGTACTTTTCCTACCCTGGTGGTGTCACCCACTAGTCTCCATGGATGTAGATAAGACAATTCCATACTTAAGAATATTTCAGGCTAAGCAAAAACTTCTACATGAACAAAAGCAGAAAGAATATCATCCACCAAAGAGAGTATTATGTAAAATTTAAGTTTTTTTTAGAGCTTTCGACCATGTTATAACCAGTGTTGGGAGTAACGCATTATAAAAGTAACAAATTACTGTAATGTGTTGCTTTTTGCTGTAACACAGTAATGTGACATTACAGGTGAAAAAAAATAGTAATATTTGACTCGGTACAGATGTAGGTAACGCGCGTTCCAATGCTTTTTTAACCTGGATTGAAGTGGTGGGTTTTTCTTCATACAAATTCACAAAAATTACTGCAATATCAGGAGCGGTGAAATGCCAGAGACGCGCCCGCATAGACCGTTGGGTGACCACGAGCAAAAGTACAAATGCAAAACTCCACGCTCCACGAGGCTAAACGCAGCTGACGCCCAATCGCACCTTGCAGACACCCTGTTCCATGGGCTCGGGGTTCTCTCAGGGGCGGTCCTAGATTCCAAGTTCTAGTCCAAGATTAGTCCTGGTTTAATCCTGTTTTAGACCTGGTTTAGACGTAGTTTTTAGCCCTGGTTTAGACCTGGTTCAGGCCATATATAGCTCAAAAGTTCAGCATCTTATTTTGGTGAGAGTAACTTAAAAGTGCTGCAATAGTCGTGTAATGTCGTTACATTGTAAATACAGTAATATTGTAATATAACTAATTATTTTAAAATGACAATAACAAGTCATAAATAACACGTTTTTTACAGTTTCTAAGTAACTTGCCCAACAGTGGTTATAACATATTTCCCTCAAATTTCTCCTTTTACCCCCTCTTTAATCAAACTGACCAAATTAACCTGATTTATTTTCTACGATACAAGTGATTTGTTTTTGTGTGTCGTCCCTCCGCAGTACTGCAAGTGCTTGGCCATGGGAGAGCCCTTCACGTTCGGGCAGCTGGACATGCCCCGTCTGAGGAGACAAATGTACAAAGAACTGTGTCACTGCAAACTCATCCTGTGACCTCCGACCCAGCCCGACTCCCTCCTCCACCGCCACCACCTCCACCACCACCAAAACCACCACCTCCGGACCAACCGCTCGGACTGCCCCCCTACCCCCCCCACCCCCCACCCACTCCCCCGTCCACTCCCCCCTCCACACAAGGGACAGATACAGTAAGGACACGCGGCCATCCCGTTCTCCGCCCTCTCCGGACTCCACAACCTAACAGCACTCATCGTCAAGTATAGGCGTTCGAAAACCTCTCATCGAAGGAAGCATGGCTAAACCTAACGGCCCTCAAAACAAGCTCGCGAGTGTTAGCGGGGGTATACAGTGAATTGTCGATGTAAAACTTTGATATTCAATTCATTGTGTTGTTCATACAAATAACAGTATCAGATTTTTGTTTTGTTTGTTTTTTTACATTTTTTGGGGTGGAAGCGTACGGATACGTCACTGTAAAATGGCTTTTGTTTACTCAACGACGACAGGACAAGGCTAAAACTAACGATCCACAAAACAAGCTAGAGTGTTAGCGAGGTATAACGCTGATATTCAAAACATTGTGTTGGTCATACAAATAACACGTTTTTACTTTTTGTTCTCTGGCGGACATGTTTGAAGCACTCAGATTCGTCACTGTAAAAAGGCTTTTGTTTACATGACAACAACAGGACATGGCTAAAGCGACACCCCTCAAAACAAGTTAACCTTAGCAGCGAGGTATACGGTTGATTGTGAATAACTTTCAAATGTTCATACAAGTATCTTTTTTTTTTTTCTTTCTTGGTCAGACATGTTTGAAGAGTACGGATATGTCACTTGTAAAAAGGCTTTTGTTTATTTGACGACAACAGGATATGGCTGAAGCTAACGCCGCCTCAAAACAAATGAGGTGTTAGCGACGTATACAGTTAAATCTTAATAACTTTCAAGTCACTGTGTTCATACAAATATCTAATTTTTTCAGCTTTTCTCGGTCGGACATGTTTGAAGCGTATGGATATGTCACTGTAAAAAGGCTTTGTTTTACATGACGACAACAACAACAATAGCAGCAGCAGAACGTGTCCCTCCACCTCCTTCAACCCAGTCCACTGCCCAAACCGAACAGTCTAAAAGCGTTGTGTCAATCGATTTCTGAAGAAAAGCCGTTTTTTGTTTTGCTTTTGTTTCTGGGTTCGGTTTTGTAAAAGATTTTGAGAGCTACGAGGACCACAAATACGCCAGTGCTTAGAGTCGACGACACCTGTTTTATATCTTCTATATTATTATTCTATGGTTGCTCAAATAAATGTGACTTTTTTTCTCTTTTTTTTCTTTTTTTTTTTTTTTTGTATCTTTGACCTTTTTTGCATTGCGCAGCGCCTGTTGTATCATAGCCTCTCAGTCCCCAGTATGTTCATGTAGTTTCGGTTGTACACGTGTGAACTAAATGTACAAACATGAAAATAAACTTTCTGAAAAAACTTGCTGCTCTTTATATATAGAAATACATACACAGTTCAAGATGCTCCATTCCACTTTGTGATGTCATTAGGTGGTAAACCAAGTGGTGCTTCTGTGTGCTTTTGAAACTTATACACTTCACCAGAGTCTTCATGGTCATTTGGACATTGACTAATTCGCCTTGAAGGTATCGGCTAGTCCAGGGGTGTCAAACATACGGCTCGGGGCCCGGATCCGGCCCTCCAAGACCTTTAATCTGGCCCTTAGCTGATTTTTCTACTAAAATATTTTAACTATTAGTATATTTTTAAACCTGAAGACAGAATTTGCAATTTTTCACACACCATTCACAGTCAGAACCTGTGATGTGCCTGCAGACATGCAACTAGAAATAATAGATTTACAGATACTACCTTTGTGAGCAGGTTTTCTCACTAATGAACATTAATAAAACAAAGCTGCACTCAAAACAAACACACAAGCACTTGAATGACATTCTGAAGACAGCAGCTCCTCAGGACATGGCGCCTGATATTGATGCACTTGTACAAGCTAAACGATGCCAAGTTTCAGGAGCAAAAAGAAAGCATGACTAAATTCTATGAAATAAATACAAGTTCATGTTAAAACATTGTGTTGAAATTGAATTTTTCTTAAAGTTTCAGGTTGTTCATAATATTATAATATTTTGTAAAAGAAAGTTAATCAATTAAAAAATATTTCTGTAATAGATTTGCATTTCTCTGCACAAATATTTGAACTTATTGGTATTTTTGGGTTTATATGCCATGAGTTTTCTGATTCGGCCCCTTTGGGATCAAAGTAGGTTGGATACGGCCCCCGGACCAAAATGAGTTTGACACCACTGGTCTAGTCCAATATGGATTTTTTGCAGCTGATGGCATCATGCTCCCTGGGAATGTGGGATGCCAACTGTAGGCCGTGCTCTATCTGAAGCTCTGTTACTCAAGTTAGACTTTAGTATGAGTTTGACACAATCTGAACACAGAGACATGACTTAGCTGGAACTACAACAGGTGAGATGATTTGATTTGTGCTAAACGAGTCCCACTCAAATAACATTAGGCAAAAGTTTTTCAGTTAGTCACTTGTGAACAATAATCTTATTGTACTCATTTCTTACATAACAGTTAAAATGCAAAATGTTCTGCTCAGTAACCTTGAATGATGAATGCTACTCTGTTTTATGATACAAACTGCAGAAGCTCTGGAATATTCCCAGGATAAATCAGCTCTAAGATAACATTTATAAATGGACAATACAAAGGCTTTGTTAGAGCCAGATTTTCAAAACTCTAAACTGGGACACACCTGGGTTGGGATGGTTGACAGAAATAAAGTTTCGAAAAGCGAGTGGAAGATCGTGTATTCTCGTGTCGTCATAATCGGAGGGACTTCTATTACTGCATTTCTTTTGCTTTATGGTCATTTACAAACATGGATTTCGGTATTTTGGCAAAACAAATGAGAATTTATGCTCCTCTAGTGTTAGCAAGGATCTGATTAGTCAAAAATTGATAGTCCTGTTTTAGTCCCGGTTAAGAGTTGATGTAGTCCAGGTTTAATCTTAGTTTAGTCCTGGTTTAGATCAAATAGATGCATCAAGAATTTTGGTCATTGCGCAATTCATACTGGGAAGGATTTTCTGAAAAAGTGAGCATCAAACCGCCATGTTTGTTTTCCCAGTGGGATGCGTCTATTGATAAAGCCAAACTTTTGAAGTCTTTTGAACCATATCACTTTTGTTTCTGGTTCTGATATTGTCATATTTTAGTTTTGGGATTCAGACATCGTAATTGTGTGGTTGTTGGATCCTAACACCGGAAACTTCCTACAACTGTACAACAACTCACCCTTATGTAACAGATAATACTCCCTACAACTGTACAGCAACTCACCCTTATGGAACAGATAATACTCCCTACAACTGTACAGCAACTCACCCTTATGGAACAGATAATACTCCCTACAACTGTACAACAACTCACCCTTATGTAACAGATAATACTCCCTACAACTGTACAACAACTCACCCTTATGGAACAGATAATACTCCCTACAACTGTACAGCAACTCACCCTTATGGAACAGATAATACTCCCTACAACTGTACAGCAACTCACCCTTATGGAACAGATAATACTCCCTACAACTGTACAGCAACTCACCCTTATGAAACAGATAATACTGCCTACAACTGTACAACAACTCACCTTTATGCTGTAACAAAATAATGTAGTAAAATATACAAAAAATAGTCTTGGTGATATATATTGATACAGCAGCCCATGATACTGATACTGTATCATCACATTAAACGATACGATATGTCGATATTTCAGTATTTTTGAACACCCTTGATGGTAAAACAAAAGTGCTCTACTGTGTTTCTTCACTATATTCATTTGGATAGAACTGGAACTGGAATTACTAATCCCTATTGAACAAAGCTAAAAGGTAGATGTTAACTTGAAAACTACCACTTCATGACATCACAAGGTGCAACAAAGCATCTTGAGCTTTGGAGATATAGACAGACTAATAATAAATGATTACTCAAACATGTGTGAATGAAACAAAACACAACTCCAGGTCAACAATATTATAAAATGGCATAAAGCTCATGAGAGTCAATTTTGTGTAATATGGGACTTTTTATATTGAACCAAATCTGTGAACACCTGATATCAACAATACAAACACCAATACTTTGACTAATATATCCCTCATCTCTATTACTGACCACTGTTTTGAGTTTTTAATTGAGTGATTAATATTCTAGATTTCCATGGAAAGTGGAAGTGGAACTGTGTCACGTTGTTGTGTATTGCACAGTCAGAAAGAAGGTGCTGCGGTCACTTCCTGGAGTGTGCTTGTTCTTGCCGTGTGTCTGGATGTGTTTCTTCTGGACACACCCATTTTTCCGGTATCACAGCACTTCCAGCTAAGGTAAACTCTCTAGACAATGCAGATACACAATGGGTCAAATACAGGAGTGAATTTTCCTTCTTCAAAAAATGTCTCCAATAATACAATAGAAAAGAAGAATATGTATTGTTAGTAGTTTTCAGATTCTAGAATGTGATAATGTTATAGTCCCAGATAGGGGCAAGACACAGGTTTCCCAATTGATTACACCATTAAATATCCAAAAGGTATTTAATTCATAATGTTGAACCTGATCATTTCTGTCATTGACTAGATCCATTTATTTTAGCTGACCCCCGTCTGTATTAAATATTATTGGATTATTGATAGAGAGTTGTGATGTCATCTGAAACCCAGCCATTGTACCTGAGAAGAAATAGCTTATGAGATATAAAGTGAAAATGACAATGATAAAGTGTGTTTTGAGTTACTCACCTTTATATAACAGATAATACTCCCTACCAGAGGTGGGGACTTGTGAGTCGTGACTTGGACTTGAGTCAGACTTGAGTCACTGTTTTTTAGGAATTGAGACTTGACTTGATAAAATGAACTAAGACTTGGACTTGAAGATCAGTGACTTGGGACTTGACTCAGACTTGAGGCCTGTGACTTGAGAAGACTTGATGCTTCTCCTAAAAATATATGTTTTTAGAAAATACTTTTCTCTTTACACTTGATAAATGCAGTGCTGAATTTTACAGGAACAAACTGGAACATGTCCCTTCCACTTCTCTATTTGTTACTTTGGATGTAACTGAAGTACTGTGATGTGGTATCCTCAAATGTACTGCAGTAATACACAGTACAATACAGTAAAACAGAGGGAACTACACAGAACATAGAGAAAGTCCACCTCTGTGCACTTTCACACTGCACTTGAGCTGTGGTTGAAGGACAACCAAGTCTGGACACTTTTAATTAGTACTTTTACTGTTCTGTGTTACATCGTTTTCTCACCTGCCACAAGAAATGACAGATCAGAGACTAATTTAGGGTGACTAGATTTTCAAAATTAAAAACTGGGACGTCACTGGTTTGGGTTGGTTGGTAATATTAAAACTGTGAAACGAGTGCGTAATTAAGGAAAATTGTTATGTACTCAGCACTAATGTGAGTTAGTATGGTCACATTTTCTTTGCGATTTGTCATTTTAAAGCAGCTTTTCTGTATTTTACCTTAACAAATGCCTCTCTTTACTGCTGGCATGAGTCATATTGGTCCAAAATAGGGACACCTGGGACATTTCTTGTATAAAACTGGGACAAATCACTGGTTTTGGATAATGGGGACACAGGGCTGGGGCGGTTTGCAGCCGAGTGTGAAGCGGCTGTGATGAAGATCAGCTCTTCTAAGTCTGAGGCCATGGTTCTCGACCGGAAAAAGGTGGCTTGCCCTCTCCGGGTGGGTGGGGAGTCCCTGCCTCAAGTGGAGGAGTTCAAGTATCTCGGGGTCTTGTTCATGAGTGAGGGGAGGACGGAATGTGAGATTGACAGGCGGATTGGTGCAGCTTCGGCAGTGATGTGGTCGCTGTATCGGACCGTTGTGGTGAAGCGGGAGCTGAGCCGAAAGGCGAAGCTCTCGATTTACCGTCAGTCTTCGTTCCTACTCTCACCTATGGTCATGAGCTCTGGGTAGTGACCGAAAGGACAAGATCGCAGATACAAGCGCTCGACATGAGTTTCCTCCGCAGGGTGGCTGGGCACTCCCTTAGAGATAGGGTGAGGAGCTCAGTCACACGGGAGGAGCTCGGAGTAGAGCCGCTGCTCCTCCACGTCGAGAGGAGCCAGTTGAGGTGGCTCGGGCATCTGTTTCGGATGCCTCCTGGACGCCTCCCTCGGGAGGTGTTCCGGGCATGTCCCACTGGGAGGAGTCCCCGGGGAAGACCCAGGGCACGCTGGAGGGACTAGGTCTCTCGGCTGGCCTGGGAACGCCTCGGGATTCCCCCAGAGGAGCTGGAGGACGTGTCTGGGGTGAGGGAAGTCTGGGAGTCCCTGCTTAGGCTGCTGCCCCCGCGACATGAAGAAAATGGATGGATGGATGGAAGGGCTGGGACTGTCCCAGGGATGACTGATCACCCTAGACTTCTACTAGATTACTTTTGACACTCAAGGGATTTTACAATGGGTACAATGTTTTTGTTTTTTTTTTTTTTTAAGCGCACGTTCTGTCCAAAACCGCAGCCAATGAAAAACAAAAGAAAAAAAAACTAATAAAATATGTGAACATTATGTAGCTTACGAATACGATTGCCTAATCACCCGGCCAGCGTGTCTGTACGTCACTCGCGACGACCAATCAGGAGCCCGCGCGGCGTTTGGGCGGGACCAGAGCTGATGACGCAGGCGGGCCGTATGAGCTCCAGTCTCTGCCTCTGAGTGCACTCATACACGCACCCACCCGCGATCATGTCCGCCGAATACGACCACAGGTAAGACCCCATCCGCGGATCACACCAGCCACCGGGACACGACCACCCTCGGCCCACTCACACCGCCGGCATCCATACGTATTTTCGCCCGGTGTAAAGTACGAGAGCCGGTTTGCTCTTATTAGCTTCGATTAGCTCACTCGGCTAGGCTATGCTAACGTGAGGCTAATAGTGTTCTATGAGAAGAAAAAAGCGTAATATCTTCTAAAATAATGTTTACTGTAATTATTGGCCACGTGTCATATTCTGAATACATATTAAAGCTTTCACGGTATAAGCCATCCTTGATATTGTGATGATTAGGTTTAGTTTCTAGAGTTAAGGGTCGCTTTAGCAGATGGAGCGGTGCTGTGTAGCCGCTAATGCCGGGTGGACACGTGAACAGCCCGGCCTGGGTGCGGCCTACACCGATCCGCCGCTTTTCTCTTCGGATCGGTCGGTTCTGTTGTCAGGAAGCGCATATCTGTTCCCCGTCGTGTAATCTGACCGTGTATAAGGCCGTTCATCCCTGTTTGCCCGCTGTGTCGTGTCTCCGCGGAGAGTCGGTTTTGTGTGCGGGCACCGGCGCACATGGTTCATGAAAGCGTCCATTTTAGCTAACAGACCGGGGCCGGTCTCGCGCGACATTCCACTAAAACTTAAGTGCCTTCTAGTCGAGATTAGTGGGTCTATTCGTGTTATAGTGCCACGTTTTGAACCAGCTTCGTCCAAATAGTACCATATTTGTCGTGGATGTGCGTCTTGGTGCTTGGCTTTGACGCGCACCTCATCAGTCTATTCTCAAGCAGCCCCCGCTCGGTTACCTCAGGGTATCTTCTAGCAAACCCGTTGGAACTAACTGTTTGTCGTGAAAATGGCGGATTGTTAGGTCATATTGCGAAGCCCCGTGAGTCATAAAACACTGTGCTGTGATAGCGCGGCCTTGTGTCCCACTTGGGAACACTACGGCAAATATTACGTTAGACGCTATATTCATTTGTTCTTTTTCTTCCAGTGAAAATGGCCCCGATGGCATGGAGCCAGATGGAGTCATTGAGGTAAGTTTCCACCCAATAAAAAAATCACAAGAGGGGGAGTGGGATTCAGAACGGCTCTGTTGGAAGTGGGTCTAAAGATTATGTCCTAATAATCATATAATTACGTTATTATCTGGAGTCAAGAAAACATTTTCATAAAAAATGATTCTGGTATTACTGGACCTTGGAGTACTAGCAAAGACCCCAACTGCTCAAGTTGGCATTTAGTTTATGTAAAATATTGGCACAAGTATTTGGTTTTGATTCATCCATCTCTGTAACGTTATGATAAAGCCCTATTGAGAACTATGTCAGTGAATACCCCAAGTCTTCTAAAATAAAAAAAATAAAAAAGTTTTTTAAAACTTTAGTTTTGTAATAGTGGAGCTGCTTTGGTCTAGTGAAGGTGGTGGCCTAACATCTGTGTGATGCCCACAGGGAAACTGGTCCGAGGTTGTGGACAACTTTGATGAGATGAATCTGCATGAGAAACTGTTGAGAGGAATCTACGCTTATGGTTTTGAGAAGCCCTCTGCCATCCAGCAGAGAGCCATCCGGCCGTGTATTCAAGGTGAGCATGTTCAAAGGGACACCTATTATTAATGACTCATTCAACAGAGGCAGGACTAACACCTTGGTACAGTTTCTATAGGCTCACTTCAGTTGTAGTAAAATTAACTGTAACATTGCTGTAATATAGACAAAGTATTTGTGTCTACTGCTCATAGTACCATATGTGTTCTAGTACTCATTTACGACTGTGTAAAATGTTAGCGTAGTGGAATATTAATAAAGCAGTGCTCAGAGTGTTATGTAATAAACTCGGTAGGACTGTCCTGGTGTCTCATGTTTCAATCCTTAAACAGATACCTGCAGTGTAGATTAAACCAAATATAAATGTGCTGAATGAGATGGAGGCCCCTGTGTTCTGATACCTACTGGGCTCCATTGTTGTAGTTCTTTACAAACATTGCCTTGAGGCTGACCTCTGACTCCCTCCTGAGGTCAGCACATACATGTGAATGAAGACAGACAGTAAACAGACCATTCAAACATCTTCACCTCACCCCTGTGGTTCTTTGGAGCAGATCAGTAATGTGTGTGTGTGTGTGGTTTGTCTCTCAGGCTCTGATGTGATCGCTCAGGCCCAGTCTGGAACTGGAAAGACAGCCACTTTCGCCATCTCTATCCTGCAGAAGCTGGACTTGAGTTTAAAGGCCACACAAGCTCTGGTGCTGGCCCCCACCAGAGAGCTGGCTCAGCAGGTGCATGTGCCCCCTGTTTCTTTTGCTTCGTGCAGACCTGTCACCATCATGTTTGACAGAACATGTATTTCTCTGATAACTGTGTACAAATTGAACCTCTCAAAAAAGTACTTATTCTAAAGCCCCAGAGCTAACTGTCCCCCTGTCCCCTGCAGATCCGCAAAGTAGTGGACGCCTTGGGGGATTACTTAGGTGCCACATGCTACGCTTGTATCGGAGGAACCAATGTTCGACAAGAGTCCCAGAGGCTGACAGAAGACGTGCCTCACATAGTGGTGGGCACCCCTGGGCGAGTGTTCGACATGTTGAGCCGCCGTATTCTGTGTAAGTGTGAGACCTCTGCTCCAGCATTACTGCACCACTGACTGCACACACCATGACTCATGACTCAGGTGTCATGTGTCGTGCCAGGACACAGCACCTTTCTCATCCCAAGTCTCGACCATACAAACTAGGGCTGTCAAAAGTTTCCAATGGGAAATTAAAATTGATACTCATTTCAGCAAATATTGATCTAAAATAAATCACACAGAAGAAATTTGATGTTTCCTGACACTTTAAAATGATCTTGAACTTTGTTCTTATTTTTGTGGTTCTACATTACACAAAGTTTTGATAGTTTGACATTTGCATTTGATAGTATTGAAATAAAGTTTTAGTATGTGACAGCACAAACCAGAACATAGAGGAGAGGTGTTCAACACTGAAATGAAATTTGTTTATCATAGGTGACAGACTGCCACACTTACACCAACCATTGTAGCACATGAACCTATTGGTAAATGGGACCACAATCTTCTGTAAGCCAATAATATTTGATAGATGCTGAGGGGGAGAGGTGGAGGGGTTTTGTGGTATAGTCAAAGTAGAAATTAGTAGAAATGATCAAGTTCAGCATTTGAATTCATCCTTGAATTTAAGACAAAATGCAATGTCATTAATTGGAAAACTGTCTCTTGCTCTCCACCTGGAATTATGACATCACATTTTGGAATTTGAAAACCACCAGTTTCGAGAGCAGTGTCTCGTGCACACAGAGGTATACTGGTTGCTGTGATGAAACCCATGCGTGTCAGCTGACTGTGGGCGTCTGTGTGTGTGGCAGCTCTAGTGGATGTTCTGTCCACCAGTGCCCTCCTTACACCCAGCGCCCTCAGACATGATCTTACACACTTCTGATGCAACACTAACTGCCACAACATCTTAGAACAACTATTTTGACATGTATAAAAATCTATTTATAGCTTTACATTGGAGATGGGCAATAGATATGTAATGGCATCAGCAAATATCCATAGTCTCATCCCTATTGGCCAATATCAGTACTTAATACTGATATTTTTTGAGTTTCCCCATTCTGTGTGTCCTTTTTGAACACATTAAAAAGTCAAAATAGAAATGGTGTTATGTCTGTTACACCAGTTAAATTATTATTATATCCCAGTAAAATACATTTGATCATTTTTACTAAAGTGAAATTGGTTACTTTAAGATACATTTATGGACCTTGCTATAGATTTTAAAAGCTAAAAAAAAAAAAGAAATATGTTTTTGCCAATTCTGATTATTGGCCACAACAACTGGTCAAATACCTGATATCCATATCTGCTCAAAACATCCATATAAACCCATCCCTACTTAACATATTGGTTTTTAACAATTTTTCTTTTCACTGTAAAATCCCATTGAAATCCTTTGTCTCATATCTCACTTTCCTGTTTTCTTCACAGTATCCAAGTCCATAAAAATGTTTGTTCTGGATGAAGCTGACGAGATGCTCAGTCGTGGGTTCAAGGACCAAATTTACGATATTTTTCAGAAGCTGCCTTCAAGCACACAAGTGAGTGGTAACGGCCACAGGGCTTTAGCCATTGTTTTAATAGACACCACAATTTGCTACAAAATGAGACTGACAGCTGCCCTCTTAAAACAAACTACTTTAATTTGTCCATGTTTTTAAGTAGTAAAAGTTAGTTGCAGTGCCTTTAAGTGCTTTTCGCTTAGCTCTGAATGGAGCTACCTGTTAGCGTTTTGGCTGCAAAGCTAATGGCTAGCATGTTAGTGCGCACTTCCTGCTTATTGGACAATAAAATGCTCGCCTAGATGCAGACAGCAAGCTGTGGACTTATTTTGACCCTAAATACAAAATATCTGCACTGTGCCAAGACCAAATTTGTCCAGTGAAGAAATATGGTACAGGCTCTTTAACTTTGAACTTAAATTTTAAAATGTGTCATTTTGGGTGTACTTTTCCATTTATTTTTTTTCAAGATATGAAATGGGTAAAGGAGCACATCAGATCTACTACTTCTATAGTCACCCATTGCATTAGCCACTACCATATGGGTAATTTCAGTGTCTTGAACTGTTTTATTTTATTAAGGGGAAAGAACAAGACTTGAGATTGAAGTGAACTCGAGAAATCGTGATCTGTGACTTGCCCATGTCTGAAGTCGAAATGATCAGAATAGCAAGAACATGAGAAGGTTCTTACTGGCTGTGTGTCATATGAGCATAGCCTATGTGCTCGTTGCTGTGATGAAACCCATGCGTGTCAACTGACTGTGGATGTCTGTGTGTGTGGCAGCTCTGATGGGCGTTCTGTCCAACAGTGCCCTCCTCACACCCAGCGCCCTCAGACATGATCTTACACACAAGCTGATGCAACGCAGAAGCACTCAGGAACTCTGTCAGGTGACCATGTGCATCACTGACCGCTCTCTCTGCCCGCTCAGGTGGTCCTGCTCTCCGCCACCATGCCCGCCGACGTCCTGGAGGTCACCAAGAAGTTCATGCGCGACCCCATCCGCATCTTGGTCAAGAAGGAGGAGCTGACCCTGGAGGGCATCCGGCAATTCTACATCAATGTGGAGAAGGAGGTGAGGGAGTGGAGGAGACGTGGTGGGGTGTAGGCATATAAATATCAGAGTGCACTACAGTAAGATTTAAGCTGTACAGCATCGACCAAGTTTTCCACTTGTATAAAGAAAGTACTTGAGATAAAACAAATTGTTCCATCTGAGTGGTTAGATGAAGTTGTTGTAATCATTTGCCAGGCCTGCTGGTGCGGGTGGTTGCTTGTGGGGGTAGTTGTGTGGTGAGTCGGTGGTGCGTTTTGTAGTATGAGTTCTAAAGTTGTGTGGTCCCTCAGGAGTGGAAGCTGGAGACTCTGTGTGACCTGTACGAGACCCTGACCATCACACAGGCTGTCATCTTCCTGAACACGCGCCGGAAAGTGGACTGGCTCACCGAGAAGATGAGCTCCAGGGACTTCACTGTGTCTGCTCTGGTACGCCCCCCCCCACACTCTGTTGTGTACTACACCAGTCAAGTGACACTACTGCCCCTGACACCTGTTTCAAAGAGCTGTACCTGATTTGAATGTGTACTTGTCAAGATGAATGCTCTTTGAACTGTGTTTACTGAAAGATGCCTGATGTAGAGTTTTGAGACTAATTTATAATCTATTGCGGATGGGGGATATCACTTACAGCAGGGGTCTCCAACCTGTAGCTCAGGAGTTTCGAGTAGCTCTCAACTCCCTTCCAAGTAGCTCACAAGAGATAAATAACATTTGAATAAGTTATTGGATTAATTGGTTTTGGATTAATTTAATGCCTTTTACCTTGGTCCAGGTATCATTTTGATGCCTAGCTTTGTACACTAATAAATGAATAATGGTTTGTTTTATACACATCTAACTGTACCTCCTCTAAGGCTTGCCGTGGTTTTTATATAGCTACTACATTTCTTGTGACCACTAAAACTAGTAGTTCTCTGGTATTTTCATTTTGTAAAGGTAGCTCACCAGAGGAAAATGTTTGGAGATCCCCAAGTTACAGTATTGCCAGACTGGAACAAGATTGTGACCCTGAGCCCCATGGGAAACTAAATTTCTGCCTCACTGTCCTAGACAGTAGTTTGTTTGTGTCATGGTGCAATATCAAAGCAGCAGAAAGGAGTGGGTGGGGCTCAAAATTCATGGTTTGAAATGCAGTACAGGCGCTTTAATATTTAATCACTTTTGTTAGAGTCTAGATTGAGTTCGGTTTATTATTGTGACACCCATGGGTGCTGACTGCCTGTTTGTGTTGCAGCATGGGGACATGGAGCAAAAGGAGAGGGAGATCATCATGAAGGAGTTCCGCTCGGGAAGCAGCAGAGTGCTCATCACCACTGACATTCTGGTGAGTGGGCCACACTGGGCCACACTGGGCCACACTGGGCCACACTGGGCCACACTGGGCCACACTGGGCCACACTGGGCCACACTGGGCCACACTCAGACCACATGCTCAGTCTGTGGAATGGTGCTACTTTTCTCTTATTGAAACTTTTCTGTGCACTAGTTAATTGATTGTAGAAAGCATGTTTGATTTTAGTACAAGTTTGTAAATGGGAGCAGAGCTGATTATGTGTGTCCCTTCAGGCCCGAGGCATTGACGTGCAGCAGGTGTCTCTGGTCATCAACTATGACCTGCCCACCAACCGAGAGAACTACATCCACAGGTAACCACACGCCGCACCAGACCCTTTCATAGCAGTTTTATCACTCCATAAGAACTCTGTTAAAGCTTGATTGACTCACTATACTTAAGTGTAGAGTGAATGTAGCTACAGTAGTATTCATGGATTCATCAGTCGTCCTCAGTCTTCCACTGGCATCACACATCAGACATACTAGTTGGTGTATTAATGACAAACTGGTGCAAGCAAGGTTTGAACCACATAGCAACCACACAGTTGCATAGGTTGCATAGTCATTATGGACTATGTACACTTCATATTTGCAGTTGAAGGGTTTAAGGCTCACCTCTCTGCCTCTCCCTTGATGTATCAGTGATTGCTGTAAACATCCACTGGCATACACTCATTAACCAACCAAGTGCAGCACACAGATCCACCTAAATGAACCAGGGATTTTGATGGATTACAAATAATTGTTATAAGCTTTTCTACCGTTAGCTTTGACTAACAACATTTAGAATGCATTTAATGATCACATACACGCAGGCTTGGTCACATGACTTCATTGTACACACACTTTGGTTGGAGTCTTCTTTTGACACTCACTTCTAGAGAACATGTTTTGAAACCATTCTTCATTTCCTTTTGTGAGCTGCCAGTACTCAAACAGCTGGTTAGACATGTACTGCAGACTTCTGTATTTGAAGTGTTTTTCCCTGAGTCCAGTTGTGAGTGAGTTTTGCTGTGTCACAGGATCGGGCGTGGAGGACGTTTTGGCCGAAAGGGCGTGGCCATCAACATGGTAACAGAGGACGACAAGCGCACCCTGAGGGACATCGAGACCTTCTACAACACCACCGTCGAGGAGATGCCCAACAACGTGGCTGACCTCATCTAAAGAGGGCACCTACAGAGCACCCGCCCAGAGCACCCAGAGCCTGTGGACCCTGACCATGGCCCCGGGGTGCCAGCGCTCCTCTGGGCTCTCATAGAACAGATAAACCTGGTCTTCTGCCTGCCATGTTCTTGTGTAGAATCTGAATCATTAGTAAAGACTCTCTGGCCAACACAACGCAGTGTTTCCTGTTCATACAGACTATGGTGGCCCCTCGCGGTCAAAAAAGCAAACTACATTAAATTCAGCAGGAGATGCTTTTAGCTTTTATATTATAAACATAAAATAGCAAAAAAAATTAAAATAAATGAATAAATAATTGCCCGAAGATTAACTGTAAGAACTGAACTGAAACGACCTTAATCATGTGAGCAGCAGCGCCACAGTCTGGCTGAGCAGGGCAGTGCACACTGTGGCGTCGCTCCTCTGCTCCTCTCACCACCTCATAAGTGGATGTAGTGACAGGAGTAGTCAGCGGGGGGCGCCAGTGTGTCCCTCTAAAGTTCCATTAAAGGGTGTGGGTTAATCTTTTTTTTGTTTTTTTTGTTTTTGTTTTATTCTTTTCTGATGTCACTTTTCTCAGCTACCTCACCACACTGCTGGGAGGAGTTTTGTAACACGGACCAAATGGACCTCTCGACGATGGTTTGACAGTGTAAAATTCTATCTAAGCATTGAGCGGTGTGGGGCTTCGACACTTACTGTTGGAGAGTGCTATTTTTAAGTGACTTTATGAACTTGTTAAACTTTGGGACAGAAGCGGTGTAACAGATTTTCTACATTGGATTCTGTATAGTATTTATTTAATGGTCTTTAATAAAAATAAAGGTTGCTCCTTTATCGGTTGTGCCAGTGTTTTTGTGTTCAGAGCAAGAGGATGTTACAAAAAACAGATCAAATTGTGCTAAAAGAGCAGGAGTTTAGTGTTTAGTTGGTTGAACTTGAAAATCTTGAGTAAAGTAGCTAAAGGGGCTGTTTTAGGTTGAACTAAATTCCTTATCTCTGAGCATACAAACGCCATGTCACATCTGAGCAGATCGAGTCCATTAAGCAAATCCACTTCCATCAAACCTGTACATGAACTTTAACAGCCAAACGTAAGTCTATTTTTTGAAAAGATGACCCCCCTTTGGCCTGGAGAATGGAGAAACACACTGAATATTGTCATGAATAAAGATTATAAAAATGGGTAGTGTTTAAAGCGTCCATTGACTTGGTCCTCGGCCGCCCTATGGATTTATTTTATGGATTTAACAGCGATCCATCTAAACTAGTAATGTATCACACAAGAATGCGCAGGTTTTTGGCTCTTTAAAAAGACATCCATTGAACTGCAGCCCTGAGACCGTTACTCAATTGAAAAGTACTTTTTACTGTAAATACACAATTCAAACGATGTGATGCAGAATTAATGTACATGTCCCAGGCATTTTTAAAATCAGAAATCGCTCAAGGAAACGTACATCAACTTCCTGGTCACGTATCTGTGGCGATGAAATAAAGTTCGGACAGCCCTGACCTGCTGGCTTTAAGGTGGGTAGTAGTCAGGAAACGAGGAGACAGTATTGAAAGGTAAAGCAATACTGGCCAAAATATTACCATATTTTCCGCACTATAGGGTGCACTTAAAAGCCTTTAATTTCATCAAAAAACAACTGCGCGCCTTATAATCCAGAGCATCTTATATATGAATTTATTGGGGTGTCTTAGTACAACTTTAGTAAACTACAAAGCCGCACCACTTGCAGCATTACAGCTCCCGTAGTCAGGAGCATCAGGAGTAATAACATACTGTGATTCCTTTTAATATCAAAATGCACCTGTCAAGAGACACGCTCACAAAACCCACTTTAAACTCAAGGAGAACACACATTCACCAAGACAGAGAGACAGCGCCGAGCGATTTACACCACGATCTGCCAACGGATCGTGGACGCCCGGGCTAAGGATCAGTATCAACTGTGGTCCGAGCTTTTCACCAAGACCAGAATCATCACTGAACTGCCAGGGAACAGTAACCACACTGACTCGGATAATGACGAGAGGGATGTGGACGTGCTGGACGCCGTAATCGCCCAACTGTTTGAACAATTATGACTTATTGTGAATACACGAACAATTTAGCGTCTCAGACAGTATTTTTTTTACAAGTTACAATTGAACAAAGTTGAGAGTTATTGTGAACGTGTTAAATAAAGTTTGACTGACTTATCTAACTGTTGTGTTTCGTTTAATGCGCCTTATAGTCCGGTGTGGTTTATATGTGAAAAACGTTATAATAAAAGTTACAATAACTTATAATCCAGAGCGTCCTATAGTGCGGAAAATACGGTGGTCTGAAAAGTATATCCCATTTTCTGCACCTTAATCTTCAAATGATTCTCTTCCTGTGGGCCAGAGTTCACTAAATCATTTAGTGAAGCCAGATGTTTCAAACTTGTCAAAATGGACCCTGATCTAAAATTTTATCAGTAAATTAGTTCTGTTATAAAGTTAATTTTTTTTCCAGCTAAGACAACCGGCCAAAATTAAGCTTATTTTTTCAGCAGAACATTTTGAAACTGTCATACATGCATTTGTGACCACCAGATTGGATTATGGGCTCTGTTCATGCTTACATCACAAACCAGGAAGACGCTTGAGATGACAACTTCCGACGGGCTCTGTTCGCGGTAGTAAGTCTGACAAAATCTAAGGAAAATGAGAAAATGTCCCAGTTTTCTTCATCTCCTTATCATTGTAGTGTTCCCTTGTGTTTGGCTCATCCACAATTCCAACCACACCTCAGTTTTCATCATTTCCACACTGACACACAACTCAGAACGCATTGGGTACATGTGATTAGAAGAGATGAGGCGCCAAATACAAAATAATAAAATTTGGCTCCTCTTCTCCTCTTGAATTTGGAATTGAAATCTTAAAAAAAAAACTGTTGCAGAACAAAAACAATGGAAAAATGTTTCAGTCAAAGGATGGAAGTGTCTAAATTTAAAATAAGTGTTTAAAATAAATGTCAAACATGATATGCTATAAAAGTATGAAGTATGAACTGCCCTTTTGTGTTAATTAATAAGATTTTAATATTGTGTGTGTCACGTAAATAAGTTGCTTTTCAAAGTAGTTGGAAGTGTTAGAAATGTTTTACTTTGTGTGAAAAGAGGGCAGATATTACAAGTCTTCTTCTCCACATTGATGCATGAAACATAAATATTTTGTGTTCATCTTTCCCGAATGAAACAAATCAAAAAATGAAAAATGAAATGAATTGTGCACACTAAAGAACCTTTAAATGTGAAATTGGTCAGAGAAAAGTTAAATCTGATCTAAAATAAATCTGATAAAGCGTATTAACTGCCCAAAAAGTGTTTCCTAATATTGATTCGGTTCTATCTGCTCAAACTCCTGGGTGTAATTGCCCTATCACGGTGAAGGCCCGGAGACTTAGCGGTGATGCTTCTTTGCTCCTCTTTCTTCCTTGGGCTAAGTCATTGTGCGTCGCCGTGGAAACCATTAGTCGAAGCCCAGTGCCCGTTGCTAAGAGAGAGAGTGTAGTGGAGCAGAAAATCTAACTGCCCCCCTCCCCTTCTACCCCCTCCCCTCCTGCACCCGACCCTCCCACCGACACCCCCGGACCCCTCCTCAACATTTGGGCAAATATAAGGACTCGGTGCGAAGGGATTAGGGTTGTCAAAAGTATCGAAAAATCAGATACTATTCGATAATTTAACTAGTACTGGAACTAGAGATGCATTTTTCACAGTTCAAAATCACGTTCTGTTGTCTAAAGAAACTGTCTTTTTAATTATCATTGTGGTATCGGAATCAGTTTTGAGTCTGTTTCTCAATATTGAAATCGAGTTTAAAAAGTGAGTTAAACTTTTTTGATTCCTAATGATTCACCAGAATGAGTTTATCATGTTTTTTAAGTCCTAATGATTCACCACGATGAGTTTATAAAAGCTTTTGCAACTTTTTTGAGTCCTAACAATTCACAATGATGAGTTTATAAAAGGTTCTTCAATGTTTCCAAGTCCTAATAATTCATCATGATGAGTTTATAAGAGGTTTTTAAAATTCTATAAGTCCTAATGATTCACCACAATGAGTTTATAAAAGCTTTTGCAACTTTTTTGAGTCCTAACAATTCACAAGTTTATAAAAGTATTTTAACATTTCTAAGTCCTAATAATTCATCACAATGAGTTTATAAGAGCTTTTTCATCTTTTTTGAGTCCTAATAATTCACCAAGATGAGTTTATAAAAGCTTTGTCATCTTTTTTAAGTCCTAATCATTCACAACAATGAGTTTATAAAAGCTTTTGCAACTTTTTTGAGTCCTAACAATTCACAGCAATGAGTTTATAAAAGGTTCTTCAACGTTTCTAAGTCCTAATAATTCATCACGATTAGTTTATAAGAGCTTTTTCAACTTTTCTAAGTCCTAATGATTCACTACAATGAGTTTGTAAGCGCTGTTTTAATTTTTGCGGACACAGAAAAGCTAATGACAACTAACTTGCACTACTTGTTACTCGGACAATAAAAGGCTTTTGTGCTTATGCGTGGTTATTTTGACCTCAGCACTGCCGGAATAATATTTACATCTGTGTGTAATCCCTCAGTTGTCCAGGTAGGATCTGTAGAAAATAAAAAAAAATAAATAAATAAAAAAGAAGAAGAAGATATTTGTATTCTTTACCCTAAATCTTCATCTCATTTCTACCAGGGATCTCCAACTTTTTACATCCACTGAGTTATCTTTAGAAAACGAAAATGCCGGAGAGCTACTGATTTTTAGCGTTGTGAGAAATGGAGAGGACAAGCCTTAGATGTTCCAGTTAAATGCCTTTAAAACATAAAACCATTATCCATTTATTAGTGCACAAAGTTCAAAATAACACATTTACCATAGTAATTAATCAAATTTGAGTTATTCAGTATAACTTGTAATTCAGAAATCCTTTGGCGAGTTACTTATAACGGGATGGTCCTGAGCTACAAGTTGGAGACGCCTGACCTAGACTCTAAAACAAGAAACATTGATCCCAGAGGTCAATTTGTGAGATTTGAAATTAAAATCTTAAATGCAGCTGATATACCTTGACACAGTTAATTTCCCGCCAAAAATATAAATCTTTACTTTTGTCACGTCAACATTAAAGGTCGTGTGTCTCTTGTGAGCTTTAATCCGTGTTACAATGTTGTTATCTCGTCAGAAACAGACCTGGAGTTGTGATGTGTGTGATGTTGTGTGGTGGTAGTTTTCAGCAGCTCTTTTTACCTTTAGTTAGGTCTCAGCGTTTTCTGTTTGAGAGAAGAACTCAGGGTTTGTGTGTTAAACGTGTGTGACTGAAACAAAACACAACTCCAGGTCTGTGTGTGACGAGGAAACTACACGAGAACATAGATCAGAAAACAGCGTCATATGGGTCGTTTAAATTGTCACTTTATTTTCGCACATGTCCCTGAAGTAAATTTAAATGGACCTACACTCGTCTCAAAACAGTGAAACAAACATTATGACGTCATTTTAAAGGGCCATTATGTAACTTTTCTGGAGGAGGGTAACACCACCTACTTGTCTCCATGGAGATGTTATTGCTTTGTCTGGAATGCTCCACAGTATGGCGTCAAACTTAAACAAACGGGCACTGCCACCGGGCCAAGTTGCATGTCAGATCTGTGGAAAGGCAAGCCCTTTCACAGTAAGAAAGCATGTTTTCAAGCTATTTTAGAACAACAACAACAACAAAAAAAGCAAGATAAGTAAGTTTACAACATTCCAGGCAATGACATCTCCATAGTGACAAGTGGACATCTATAACCCCCAAAAGAAAAGTTACGTAGTGCCTCTTTAGCTCCAAACTGTAGACATGTTTGTAGTCTACAGCTTTCACTTTCACTGGGAAATGCGAGTTCTCTTTTTTTACCCCAATGTCATTTTTGATGTTTGGGGAGTCCCACTGCCCCCCTCCTCTCCTCCCCCTCCTCTCCTCCCCCTCCTCTCCCCCTTCCTCCCCCCTCCCTCGCCCCATCCTCATTTCCATGAGAAAGCTTGTGCCGGCGAGTGAAAGGGTTAAGCCTGAGCCCGGGAGAGAGTCCCCTAGAAAAAAAAAGTAGTATAGCCCCCCAATTTGGGTCTCCACGGGGGTTGGAGGGGCACGGGGGTGGAGGGGGTCCGGCGAGGAGGAGGGGGCGTATGGTGTGGTGGGGCCCCCGGACAATAGGGCCCCGGGGGGAGGAGCGCGGAGGAATCCTTTACGGAGTGCACCTGCGGACTGAAAGGGGACAGCCACAATGGAGGAGCGAAACGGCCAATTACTCAAGAGGAAGGGCAGGGGGGAGGAAGAGGAGGAGGGGGCGCATATCAGGGGGAGGTTTAAAGATCAGGCCAGGACGACGCAGATATATGAAGAAATCACCCTGTTTATGTGTGGAAATGTTTTCCACAGGCCAGAACCCATGGGAAACAGGCCGTCGGTTTGGAGCTGATGCTGGAGTTTCAGACGAGGCTCATGAGACAAACACAAGTCACAATGATCAGTCAGTGTTAATGTGCAGCTCTAATGTCCCTGTGTCTCCATCAGGAACAGAAGTTTACAAGTATCAGTGTCACTGCAATAAGCAATGACTTGTTTGCCTGGCAAATCCAGACTGATGTGTGTGTGTTTCAGACAGAGGGTTATTAGTCTGGTCTCCACTCTCTCTGTCGCGTCTCAACTCTGACCAAATGTTATCTTGCAATCAGAGGTGTTTACTTCAGTGTTAAACAAAGGAGCTCACTGCTCATCTGTGATTCACAATCACATTTATCTCACCTCAGCTTAACAGTTTTTCTCCTATACAGACAGACCATGTGTGTCCCTGATTGACTAATCCACCTGTCAATCACACTCATCTGAGCTCTGGGAGCTTCACAGGTGAACACACTCATGTTCAGAAAGTATTCAGTAGTGAGTATTCTGGACCCCAGGCAAATGGCAATCCTGAAATCTCATATGGTACCAGGGGGAAAATTGCCCACCCTTGTACTACGCCCTGTACTACACCCTGTACTACGCCCTGTACTACCCTATACTACACTGTACTACACTGTACTACACCCTGTACTACACCCTGTACTACGCCCTGTACTATTATACTACACTGTACTACACTGTACTACACCCTGTACTACACCCTGTACTACGCCCTGTACTATTCTATACTACACCCTGTACTACATTTATACTCTGCTCTTCCAAATCCCCAAGTGAATCTGTGGTACATGTTGTAGGAACATCGTGGTCATTTGGATTTGAACCAACATGAACCAGAACTGTGCAGTGTTCAGAGATGTAGACACACACACACACACACACACACACACACACACTGTTTAACATGGCTAAAAACACAAATGTGATGCAGGGAACACATTCAACTGAAATGGGGACTTTCACTTAAAGATGTCTTAGAAAAGAGTCTTTATTGCTGAGACTTGCTCCACGTAGAAAAATTACCAGATATTTTAACAACTCAAGACTCTAAATAGAAAAGCGATAGAGCCCGTCTGTGTCAGAGCCACTGCTAAAAGTGTTTCAAATATATGCTCAAAATATTAAAATAACAGTAGATAGGGCAGCTTTAATAGGCTCTGTGCACAGCATTGTGTCGCAAAGTTTAAGCATAAAATAAAAAATGTATTTTAATTTTAATTAATTTTAATAAAGACTACACAATTATTTGTACATGTAGAATACTTCAGTTTGTGGCATTGTAATAATTATACCTCAACATTAGCATTAGTATTGAGACACAAACATCTTTCTAAACTCAGAAGTGTCCATCTTCTCTTTAAATATTTATTCATTTTAGCCCGACTGAGCCAAAAACCTCAAATATCAAATTGGACAGGAAGCAGTGACACTGAGGTTGCCGATCGCTATTGTTGTGTGCTGTTCTGTCAGTGAAAAGAGCTTTCATTAAAAACTCTTAATCATGGAAAAATGTCACTTGTACATGTGTCCCTCAGACGTCCAGGTAGAATTCACGGCAAAAGGAGAAATTCAATTTGTCAACTGGACAAAAGTTTATTTTGGTTAAATACGTTTTACAGGTAAGTCAGTATACTTCAGGACTTAAGAAATGTATTTGACCAAAATAAACTTTTGTCCAGTTGACAGATTGAATTTCTCCTGTCCCTTGTACATCATTGGTCGTCTTTCAAAAGGCAGAAGTGCACTAAGACCCCTTCAAAACTGAGTAATAGTCCTATTTAACGTGGACAAAGCAGTGCTTGGAGAAAGGTGACTATTAAAAACACTTAATTTTATTAAAATATACATTTAGGTCAAACTCACTCTTATTAAGAGCGTCATCACAGAAAGTTGAGACATTTCTACAAACAAAACATGGAAAAAAAAACATGGTGGTGGGTCCAGTGCTGATTGTCCAACAGAAGTTTGACACAGTCTTCCAAAAGGACACAAAAAAAAACATACAGGACACTGTTCATGCTGTCTAGGAACCAGGAAGTATGAACCAGGAGGTAGGAAGGAAATCCATGTCTCTTCCTGCTCAGTTCTGTCCACACGATCTTTAAAACCTGTAGAAAACGCCCGTCTGACAAGCATACAAGTCCATACAACGTCAGTCCTAAAAGTCAGGAGAGGGCGTGGTCAGTTTGTAAGTGGCATGGTCAATGTACAATGCACATGGTCAGTAAAAAGAAAAAGTGTTGCACTCCCATCACATGTGAACACTTGGATGAGGAGTCAGGCCTATGTACAAGTGAAAAACAAACATACAACACAGATTCAAGTTGGAAGTGTGGGCGAGGCCAGTGTAACACTTGAGGTGTCAGGTGTACACGTGGCAGGAGACACCTGAGCACTACAGCGAGAGTCAGGGCGACAAATACAGTCCAGAAAAAGTGGGCGTGGCCATCCTGCAGTAGGTGTGGTCAGACAGCAATGGGGCACTTAACAGAACGCTCGGATTATGTACCAAGCCTATAGAAAACTAGTCCCCCTGACGTGTAGCCCACCTGACCACTCCTGCAATTCGCCGTCCACACAGGCAGAGTCCCGGAAACCAGTGGGCGGGGTCAGGACATGAGGGGTGTGGCCTGTCTGGCAGTGGGCGTGGCCTCCTCAGATGTGTGTGAGCGGCATGCTGCCCGGGGTCAGGTAATGCGGCTGGACCCCGCCGTAGCTCCCACGATGGTGCACGGCCGCCGCCGCCCCAGGAGCGTCGGGGCTGTCCCCCGCGCCGCCCGGGATGTACATGCTGATCATGTCCCGCAGGTCCCCCTGCAGCGCCCCCCGATGGTGGGAGGGGGGAGGGGAGGCGGCCTCGGGCTTCACCATGGACATGGTCATGGGGGCAGGAGGGGGCTGGGGGCTGTAGGACAGCGGGCTGTGGACACAAAGGTACGGGGTTACATACACACTGTACACAAAACAGATAGAGCTAACTCACGAGCAAACGTGTTCCAAACAGGAAGTGAGCATGAGTGCACTTCTGGCTCCATGGACTCCATTCTTTCCTTAAATAAATTCCCATTCTTAATATGGAACTCAGCTCCAAATTCACTTATAACTGCTAGCCTCGTGAGCTTCATTTGACTAGAACCAAACGCGGGGGTGACATCACACTCTCTCAGTCCACGTCTGTCTATGGTCTGTCTACACTCTGTGGTGTCAGTGTGGTAGATTTAAACTACAGACAACTAAACCTGAACACGTCACTTAGATGAAGCCAAATATATTCACACTTCAGAGTGTAGCGTCCCAACAGTAGATTCAAATAATAATGAAGAACATGAAGAAAGGAAAAGGTGAGTGCATTTTGCTCTGTTTAGTTTCATTTGGAGAGCCAAGATGTTGTATGAGCCAACCAATTACCTAAAAATAAGAGTTTGATTTGAGCACTTTGGTGCCAAGAGGACAGTGCACTAAAGGGGACTCCACTGTGGCCCATGTGGACGAGTCCGTGATGAATTCAAATGGGAACATTTGGGGAGAAGAACAGCAGAGCTTATCGGACTTCTCACTTTGTCTGGATTCTAAACAATCTGTCGGCATCAGCCAGGAACAAAACCCAAATCTCTAGTTTTATTTAGGAGCTTCTCTTTTCATGAAGAGTTTACACCTGATGCCCTTCCCATCACACCCAGACATGTTAAGGTGACAAGACTGGGGATTGGGAGGGTGAAGTGTCTTGCCCAGAGACACAACGGAAAACAAACAAGCAACCCGTCCATATAAGTCCCACATGCTGAACATGTTCCCATTTTACTCAAGACATTTTAAAAAAAACAAACTTTAAAATCCTTGACATCAATAAACGAGTCCATTTGAAAATCAGAGTTAACTAATGGATTGTGTATTCTGGTTGGAACTTACTTTAACTTTAAATTTTACTTTTGCTAAGTTGGGTTAGAAATTGTACTTTGTACTTATTACAACCATTTAGTTCAAATGGTTTAAAGAAAGTCTGCAACAACATTTAGCTTAAAATGTTCCTAAAAATGTCACATTTCAGATGTTCTGACTCTCACATCGGTCGGGGTGCTGGGCTCTGATTGGTTCAGAACACACAGGTAAATGAGCGGCCTTGGGGTTTTTACATTGTCCTCTGGGGTGGGCCCTGCACCACATTCACTCCGCAGGGTGAGCGGAGCAGGGCATTGTGGGTAGAGACCACACACAGCTGTCCCTGCCTCATCTACATTCTGGGCACATCTCAGGCCAAGCATCTCCACATGCACGCTCACATGCAAGCGCGCTGCTCAACGGGGGTGGCGAGTAGGAAGGCTACTTACTTAAGTCATTTTTCAACTGATTCTAAGTTTTGTGTTTTCCATCTGGGAGGAAGTTTACACGTGACAGAGCGTTTTGTGGCCATAATGTCCGCAGAAACACTGGACATTTTTACCTCATCTGTTCTTTGGAAATCTTAGATTCTCTCTCATTAAGACCGAACTGAGCACAGTTTTAAAAGTTTACCGTATTCTACTTTTACTTGAGTTTCATAGTTATGTGCATATGAACCAACTCACAGTGTCATAGTCTGACTTGTGAGTTCTAGTCCAAGACCAGAGTTCTACTCGAGAGCGCAGGTCCCTCACACAGAAAACACCAAACACTTTCACCTCTCAGTCTGAACAGTGCCCGTGTGAATGCAGGCCCATGGTTTCGTGCGACTGGCACCTGTTGCTCCTGCTCCGCGTGTGTGCGCGGTGCGCCTGGAGGTGCGTGCGCGGTGTGTGCGCGGTGTGTGCGCGGTGTGTGCGCGTGTGTGCGCGGTGTGTGCGCGGTGTGTGCGCGGTGTGTGCGCGGTGTGCGTGTGGTGTGCGTGCGGTCACCTGTAGGAGTTGGCTCCGTTCATGTAGCTCTGTGCCGGGCTCATGGTGGGGCTCATGGTGGGGTACTGGAGGGCAGACAGGTCGTAGCGGTGCAGCTGCTGAGTGTAGCCCATGGAGTCGGCCTGCATACCCCCGTATCCTCCAGCTGGGGCCCAGCCGTAGCTGTCCATGCGCGGGCTTGTGCTCTGGCCCTGAGCAGCCAACAGGCCCCCAGGGGCCAGAGGGAACTTGCCCACGGGAGTGTCCTTCTTGAGCAGCGGCTTGCTCTTCCTGCGGGGCTTGTACTTGTAGTCGGGGTACTCCTTCATGTGCACCGCGCGGAGCCTCTTGGCCTCGTCTATGAAGGGCCTCTTCTCCGTGTCACTCAGCAGCTTCCACTCGGCCCCCAGGCGCTTACTGATCTCAGAGTTGTGCATCTTGGGGTTCTCCTGGGCCATCTTCCGCCGCTGGCCCCGGGACCACACCATGAAGGCGTTCATCGGCCTCTTCACCTTATCCATTGGATCGCTCTCCGGAGTGCACGCGCTCTTGGAGCTGGGGTGCGTGGGGCCGCTGGCGGTGAGCGGGGACAGGCCCTGACTCTGGCTCTCGTGCTCCAGTAGACTATACATGGTCCTGCGGGGGTCCTGCGGGGGAGAGCGGCTGCGGCGCGCGGCTGTGCCCGATTATCTAATCAGAGTCTGTCACAGGTTCACATGTGCGTGCACGCGGGCCTTACACTGGTGCGGTTATTTTCGGTAAGTTTGTGGTGAGTTTGGTAGAGAAAAGAGAGTGTCCGGGCCAGGCGCATGCTCCTCTCGTGAGTCCAGCGGTTTGACTAAACTCTCCTCACTCCAGAGCACTTGTTGTGTGCGCGCGCCCGGGCCTTATTGTCATTCAGGCCGGGGCTCTGGACCAATGGCAGCGCTCCACCCCATGTGCGCGTGCATTTACAACTCAAAAGAGCTGTGGCGCGGGACACAAGTTGACGTAAGTGATTCATAGCCCCCCCGCGGCGCTGACCGGAGCTCAGGGAGCAGGACGGACACAGGCGTGTTCATGAAGCCGTCCATGAGGACATATGACAGATGGGAGACCGCTCTGGTGCTGTTCTGGTGCTGCTCCGGGCCCGCGCTCTGTCCCGGGCCCGGTGTGCACGCTCTGAGAAAGTACGTAACACCGCGCGTTCGGCACATCATGCGCACAGCTAAGAACAGTGTTTGGCACAGGGCATTTGGCACATAGACTAATTGCAGCTTTCAAATAATTAGGTTTTAATGGATAAACAATTTATAGGGTTTCAAAACATCATTTGAAAGTGCAATAACCTATTGTGCTTTGCAAGGCACCAAAAAAAGCTCATTTGAAGTTTGTAGGCTAAATAAGAGCACTGCAGGATGGATACAGAATTAACACAGCAACATTTATTTACACAGAAATAACGTCACAATCAATAACTGAAAATGTATACATAACCTAAATGTAATTAGATGTAAATTTGAACTAAAACATCTTCTAAAACTGGACCAAGGCCCCAAAGAAAAACAGCTTTGAGAGAAAGGTTCTCAAAATGTAAATTTTTCACAATGCCCAGTGCGTGGTGGCTCTACTGCAGGGGGACAGCGGTCTGCTCGAGTGCTTTGATTTTGGTCCTTAGTCTTGGTCCCAGGTCCTGGTCTTGATCCCAGGTCCTGGGTCTAGTCTGCTTTGGTCTCAGTCCCGGTTTAATCTGCCTTGTTCTTAGTCCTGGTCTAGTGTGCCTGGGTCTTGGGTGAGTCCTGGTCTAGTGTCCTGGGTCTTGGGTCAGTCCTGGTCTAGTGTCCATGGGTCTTGGGTCAGTCCTGGTCTAGTGTCCATGGGTCTTGGGTGAGTCCTGGTCTAGTGTCCATGGGTCTTGGGTCAGTCCTGGTCTAGTGTCCATGGGTCTTGGGTCAGTCCTGGTCTAGTGTCCATGGGTCTTGGGTGAGTCCTGGTCTAGTGTCCATGGGTCTTGGGTGAGTCCTGGTCTAGTGTCCATGGGTCTTGGTTGAGTCCTGGTCTAGTGTCCATGGGTCTTGGGTGAGTCCTGGTCTAGTGTCCTGGGTCTTGGGTGAGTTCTGGTCTAGTGTGCCTGGGTCTTGGGTGAGTTCTGGTCTAGTGTCCCTGGGTCTTGGGTGAGTTCTGGTCTAGTCCGCCTTGGTCTTGGTGGGGGGCCTGCTGTTCCAGTAGTAGAGCAGCTGTAGGACCAGGATGCCGTTGCAGGTCGAGGAGATGACGTAGGTCAGAGCCATCAACGCATCTCCCGTCTCCTACAAAAGGACACACACACACACACACACACACACACAGACCATTAAAAACTACCAATCAACAGCACGGCTACTGTCAAGATGATACTAATAACTAGTGGATTTGGACAGCACTTCCTGGTTTCAGTTACATCTGTCTGCATTAAAATGGAAGTGAACACACAATAGCATTTTCTACACTTCCTAGTCACTTTGTGCCATTTTTTGAACACAAGGTACATTTGCAACTTTCTGATCAGAACCAGTCAAAAACTGAGTGTGTGCTGCCTCCAGTGGCCACTGCAACTTCAAGTATTATGTGACATCACACAGGACTGCCCTAATTACAGCCAGCTGTTTCCACCCCAGTCTGGCTGTGCATCTGTTGTAGGGAGTATTATATATACCTCTGATCATGTAGGCCAAGAGGACTGAGCTGGCAGTGTGGGGCTGACACAGCACAGCTCTTTCCAACAGCATTAAAGTGGATAAGAAAGCATGTAAAAGCTGATTTAAGCCATCATGCTCCTTTTACTGTGTTCATTTCATCAAGTACATTTTATGTCATAGTTTTCATTAATGACTGACTAAAATAAATAAAAACTAAGTAATACATCTAGTACATACACCAGAATGACTAATAATAGACAATTACATTTTGCTGACTAAAATGATTATATATATATATATATATATATATATATATATATATATAAAAAATCATGTGTACTTTCTTTGCAAAAGTGGGGATATACAGTATATTTCGACACTGGTTTACTGGGATTATCCTGCTTTGTCTGGGGCATAAATTAGTGTCAACAGAATCATTTATAGCAGGATATTTCTATAGCGATATATATTGCGCTGCAAACTTTATCATGACAGACCTATATAGAATCCCAAACCAGACCATCAACTCTTTATCATAGTCAAAATGCTTTGACTTTTGACTAAAACTATTATGTATTATTCAAGTAAATTAGTAAATCCCTTTAGTCAAAAGGTTCATTGCCAAAACTAAATGTAAATGATCAAAATGAGCAGATACCTGTAGAGATGTAAATATCCGTGCGAGTGAGCCAGCGAACAGGAGAAAGGCAGAGATGGCCGACAGCTGCCCCGTGTGGCCATTCTGATAGTTAGTGACTGCCTGGATCAGCTGTAACACACACCACAGTCCAACACTTCAATCCTCTTCAATAGTCATAATAGGCCGTTATTTAACAGCTACATCTATGACAAAAATGGCCAGCATTCATTCAGTCATCTCCCCTTTTTTATGATGTAGGAGAACTTAGGGCTGGGAGATATGGATCAAAAAATATATCTCGATATATTTTGCTATATCTCGATATACGATATATATCTCGATATATGTTCAAGAAAAAATAACCCCCTAAAACTGAAAACTGCAAAAACAAATCTGCCAATTCCACAAGGTCTTTTTTTTTATTGAAGTGTAAGAGGTAGGCAGTTCATATAGGAACATTTAAGATTACAAAAAATAATAATTTAACTGTAAAATAAAAGAAATAATACATATTTCCTTCTTTTCATTCATAAATAAAACAACTCAACACAAGCTCATCTTTGCATTAACTCTGTTATCCAGACCAGAACCATGAGCTCATTTAGCAGAAGAAGCTCAGGATGTTCCTTATTTTAATAGATCCATGTTATTATCCAGCAGTAAGGAGCTCTGAGGTTTCCCACAATCCACTGCAGATCAAACTGATCGTTTCCAAACACTACTGTACAAGTGACACTGCAGCAGATTATTAATTAAAATCTTCTGCATAAATAAACTTTACAATATATAAAACATAACGAACTCTAGAGCCACATCAGCCCGTTTGTGATAATAATGTGTTTAATGCAGTTTTGCGCACGTGTGTTTACATTTTACAGAAAGGAAACTTAAGCGCATGGCTCATTTGCATAAACAGCGCACTTCTCGTGCAGCTCAGCTCGTTTAGCTTCTTTCTGGCTAAAGGACGCGACTCGGTGGAATATGAGGATGTGCTGCTGGTGGTCTTGTCTGTAAATGATGGAAAAGGTTCGTGGTGCTTGAAGCTTTTCACTGGCACCAACTTTCGGCGTTCAGGGCAGTAGTGAGGAGTGAAGGAGACACGAGCGAACAAACTCAGGGAGGCGGAGGCGATGAGAGAGAAGGTAAACAAGTGAAGCAGCAAAATCAAAATTGAATATAAGCATTATATCGATATATACGATATGTCAGAATTCATATCGAGTTTAAAAACTATCTTGATATATTTAAAATATTGATATATCTCCCACCCCTAGGAGAACTTGGATCATGTGAAACTTGAGCTTGGAGAGTGGTGTATACACGTGAGTGCGCAGTGGGCAGTGTGCCGTGTGCAGTGAGCGTACCCTTCCTATGACGATGGCGGGCATGTTGGAGGCCTGCAGGGTGGTGATGAGGACAGGGGGAGTGACAGGGGACAGGAGCACAAACAGGAGCACCCCGTACACTAGCACGAACAACACACCTGAAAAACAAACACATGTACTCATTACTGTATGTGCACAATCCATGTATTAGACTAGACATGTTAGGGTGGTGTGTAGTGTTCTGAAGCTCTATTAAGACATCATGCCAGCTGCTGTACATGACATGGTCAGAGGGGCTGAGGACGACGATTGGAGTATTTGCAGTTCATGTTAGAGACCTTAAATATTGTACACGTGGTGGTTCACAAACTCCTATAATTCACTCCATTTCTTTAAATATATCACCAAATAACTGGTGTCAAGAGCCATGTCTCGTACGAGGTTCTTACTCATTTCTATCCTTTTTTGGGTCATAATAAAAATCATGAATATCTTAAATTGACACTTTGACACTTTGTTTACACACACAGCAAAATTTCTGGACCTTTAAAGGAAGTGTAAGTAGCATGCGCTCAATCACAAGTGAACCTGTGTTGTCAGAGCCTTAACCTGCACAAAGAGGACATGTTTTTCTCCAGCAGAGGCACTGATACATTATTACTGCAGTGAGGATTGAGATCAGAGAGAGGCTCTACTATCTGACTGGATAATCGTCTTGAGAACCAAAACAAGGGCCCCGATCTTGCCCCCAATCTTAGCACTAGTGCAAGTGTGGGGCATGGAGTTCTAAACAGTCGGTGTGCCGTGTCTGAACATCAGGTGGAGTGGAGCAGACTGAGGGTGTGGTGTGGCGCATTTAGTGAATTGCCAAAATAAAATAAAAAATATCCAACAAGTCCACTGAAAAACAACATGTAACATGCTCAAGCCTTCTTTTATTTAGAAATATATTAGAATGCTACTTAACATTCATAACATGTTTGTGTGCTGTGTGGGAGTCATCCAGATGCCCTTCCGCAGCAGAGCACAGCCTCTCTATAGTTTGGTTCGATCTGGATCTGTACAAAAGCTGCTCATTCACATGAGGCCATTTACAGCAATGTCCTAAAGTCTGTTTTCTTACTCTGTCTGTGTCCTAATGCTGCGATGTTGGATTTCCTCACATTTGCGTACCCTTTCTGTCATCAGCTCCATTTAATTTTGTGACTAAATTATTGTCATTGTGCCAGTTGGGTTGATTTATAAAGTGAGTCACCAGTAGGTAGACGACCACCAGAACCGTAGGAAACTGCACGGAGCTATGGAGCGGACACGGGACTCTGACAGAGATCAGCGTGTGCATTCATTAAGCTCAGGGATGTAACAGCAGAGCAGACATATGTCTCGTACATGCTGCTCTCTTGGCAACAACGGTCAGTAGAGCTTTGAACAGCGGCTCAAGAGACATAATGCATGTGAGCATTGTACAAACCTGAGCATCCTGCTCTGTGCTCATGCTGCGTATCAGTCCTACATTTGCCCCTTGTGTGGGGCAAATGCAGGTCGTGCAGTCTTCCTCCCCATGTTTTAATGGTTTAATCCATATGTGTGCACAACGTGGCCGGTAACATCAGAAACATTTATATAATAATAAACATATTCCATAATCCGCAAGACATCCACCTGTGTGGTACCAAATGCAGTGGAAACTCATGAGATGAGAATGTGAGCGGTCAGCAGTAGCAGTGATGGACACTCGCACACTTGGAACGCAGAGAAAACTAAAAAGGTTGATGTGTGTGCACATGCACGGGTTTACAGGGATGCACTTGCTTGAGAGGGGCGCACGTGCGAGGAGTGTTCTGAACACAAATCCAGCCGGTTCTGTCACGGCTCATCCAAAATTCTATATTTCTATATTCTATTCTTTCTAAATATTATTTTTCTAAATTCTGTATTTCTGGTGGTCTACTGGTGTGTACTTGCGTCGTGGGGCTCCGGAGCTGATTTATTGTACACTTATATAATTTTCCCCACACTCCTCTTTGCTGCCTGTAATGAGGTAAAGATTACAGACATTCCCCACACTGGCAGCGCTTTTAAATGCCACAGCGGTGTCAAAAACAGTGCTGGAGTTGTGTTTTGTTTCATTCACACATGTTTGAGTAAACCTTTATTATTATTAGTTTAATTACATCTCCAAGGCTCCAAATCCTCTGTTTCCCACTGTGATATCATGAAGCGGTAGTTCAGTAGAGCTTGGCAATTCCAGGTCTGAAATGATCCAAATGATTCTAGTGAAGGCGTATGGAGCACCTCTTGAATTATCACATAACAGCAGAGGGTGGAACAGAGTGTTTTCTATTTGAGAGAAGAACTCAGTTTAAAAATACAGGGTTTGTGTGATAAACATGTGTGAGTGAAACAAAACACAACTCCAGGTCTGTTTGTGATGAAGAAACTAAATTAGAACAGATCAGAGAACAGAGCAATATGAGCCCTTTAAGTGTTGCATTCTGTTATTTATTGCAGCTCATACATTTAATAATATTGTACAGAATACTTACAGAATGCAGTATAGAATAGTTTTTGGAGGATAGTTGTGCTCTATGGTCTGGTTTCAATACTATCATTTATCATCTATATTTACTTCCCCAATACATCACACTTCAGAATTTGGTCTAATAGTCCCGCCCTCCCCGCGTCGTACCTCTGCTGGTCTTCTGGTTGTAGTGGAGGATGAGGAAGCCGATGGCCAGTGTCTGCAGCATGAGGAAGAGCGCTTCACCCCAGGCACTGCGCACAGCACACACACAAAGCACTCATGTAAATAGGTTTAACACTGCACATGCTTACAGCGAGCAGATGGGGGCGCCGTGTACCTGAAGGGGAACCTGTTGACGATGCTGTAGGCCATGGTCCCTGTGATGGCCACCAGCTCCAGCAGCACGGACTGCAGGCTCAGCCCCTCCGCGCTGGACGCTCCCACCAGCTTCAGGATCTGAGGCATCTTCACTGAAACACAAGACCACCAAGAGTCACAAAAGGTTTACTCACCAGAAATTCACAAACAAAGGACGTGTGTACTGGTAGAGCTGAGCAATTATTCACCTTTGAATTGAGATGGAGATTCAGTCATTCCTAATTGTCACTGGTCATTGTTAAAGAGTTTTTCAAATGCTGTATAGATGATTCTTTGTCTTATTATTATTATCAAAGGGTATTTCTCAAAGTGTATTTCTCACGGATAAACCAGCTCCTCATTATCTGTTATCTTCCGCAAGGACAGTCCTCCCTACGCACATCCCTTCCTACACCTCAGCAGCTGGCACACACACACACACACACACACACACACACACACACACACACACACACAATACACACTTTTATTTTCTGTGTTTTTTACTGTGATAGAAAAATTTAACCGCCCATTTATTCTTGTAACCTGTGTGATTCAATAAATACATGGTGTTGGACGGTGGCTCTTCGGCAGTTAAGAGCTGTAGCAGCGCCTCTGTCCCTCGCTGCGAGTAAAAACCTGAATTATGCCTTCTGAGTTTCTTTGTGTTAATATCTCTGTTATTTTATGATAGTCATCTTGGGTCTTTATATTAATGGAGGCAAGAGGCAATTTGGAGTAATATAGGACCTTCAAAGGTGCATTATGTAACTTAGGGTGATCCAAAAATATATAATTTTAGATTCTCTAGAATAGAGCCCTGCATTTGGTTCCATAGCTGTCCAAAAATATTTGGGTCCAAATTTTATGCAAATGAATTAATATTTTAAGGTTGAGACACTTGAAAATTGCAGTATAGGGTCTATAATATAACATAGAACCAAATAAATAAGGCATATTTGAATAATGTGTCAATTTATTCTGCAAACACAAACTGAAACTTGCATAAAAATTACTTAGAATGTCCATAAAGTCCATAAAAAGTGACTTAGAAAGTCCAGCTCCACTGTGTGTTTGTTGGCGTCACTTAAGATGTGTCTGTGCTCTTTGACTCCTGCAGTAGATCCTGTTTCTGATCTTCATTCTTTGTTCGGCTACAGTTAAAATCTTGAATAAGCTTCACCCCCTTTCAGTAACATCATAGGCAACTTTCCTGGAAGTTTTATCACCTTCTGAAAGTCTGCATCATCAGCCCAGTCTGCTGCTGGAGAATTGTTCAAAATGTTTTTGACAGATCAAGAGCTTTGAAGAAACACATCATGCTGCTGGAGACAAAATCCCTGATCTGCTTCCTTTCATAACATGCTTGATTAAGAGCATCACATCACTTTGGTGGAACCTCTGAACCTTCCTGTTCCATAATATTGTGAAGCATCAGGTTCTTCTGTTCTTCTGTCACACTGGAGTGGAAGAATGCCAGGCCAACCATTTCTTCAGTCAGGTTCCAAAGATTTTGGGCCAAAGCTGTTCAGGTGTTTTCTTCACAAATGAATTTTCAGACTGTGAAGCTTCTTAAAAAAAATAATCTGCAGGATCTTCAAAACTTCATACAGAAACTTCATGCAGCTTGAGCAAACTCTAAAACATCTTTTTCTTCCAAATTTCTTCCTAAATCATCTTTTGAATGCTAAAACCTAATGCAGGGTTCTAATCGAGGTTAACTGAAGCTTTGTTTTTGATGGACCACCCTAATGTAACTCTTTGTTTGGAGGTCCATCACCTGCTTGTTTCTGTGGAGATGTTATCACTCTGCTTGGAATGTTCCACAGTATGACATAAAACAGCTCTACTTTACATTTATTTAATTACAGGTTGTATAGCTCAAAAATACCTAAAAAAAAACCCCAACAACAACAGGCATTCTGACTGTGAGCGAGGTCACCTCTCCATAGATCTGACCTGTAAATTGGTCTGGTTTGGGCACCATTGAGATAGAAGGGCTTAATACCATACTGTGAAACTTTCCAGACAAAGTAATAACATCTCCATGGAAACAAGGATTTGAAAACAAGCAGTAGAAAAGTTACACAATGCACCTTTAAAGGAATAAACCTTGTTGCTTTACTTTACAATATGACCGTGACTGTAAGAGGAGTATTTTAGTCTGATGTTACTATATTATTATTATTATTAGTTTATTTAAAAGTGGGCAGAACAAAGAGCATTACATACATTTAAAAGAGCAGCAGATGCCAGCCAGTCGAGGGCTGATTTGCAAACCTGTCTTGCAAATTACTTCCCCCCTTCACTATGCATAAAATACAACAGCCTATTTAGGTTGTGCTCAGAGCTGTAGAGAAGTTTGCCTGGATTAAAAAAAGGCAAGTCACTTTTCTTAAAGTCACCTAATATGTGTATTGTAATGATCTAGACTTTTAATCTTTCTCACAAAGGCCTAAATAAACAACAGTGATACCAGGTGACGGTATAGAACTCAACAGTGACTCCACCCCCAGTTCTGGAACTGTGCAGTGTGTCCCAAAAACTATGACATTTTGCAAGCCAAAAAGTTTGGCAGTTCTTGTTGAAATAACCTAATGAGTGTATAGAAACAGATCCAGATTTTATATTTAAAGTTTTATTTTTGTTCTGTTTTCAGGTTGAGCTGTTCACTCCCAAAGAGAAGTCATTTTGTGTCTTAGAATCTGCTGCACACACTCACCAAAGATTGTGCAGCCTTCAATGCAACATTTAGAAAAACTTCATCAACTGGCAAACAAATTTGGATTTGGTACCAAACATGTAAAGAGTTCGGCTGCTTGTACAGGGCTAAATCTGGTACGCCAAACCGTCATTTGTGAAATCTGGGTTTCCAAACTTGTTCTCCTTACAGACTTCTTGGGGCTTCGCAAGAGCTCTTCACGAACTTGCTCAACCTTCTCTTCTGATGTTGATGTTGGTACCGGATCCTTTAGCCCTGCATAAGCAGCCAAAATCTTAAAAATTTTGGTACCAAGTCCGGATTCATTTGCCAGTTGGTGAAGTTTTTCCAAATGTTGCATTGAAGCTGCACAATCTTTGGTGAGTGTGTGCGTACAAATTCCAAAACGCAAAATGAGTTCTCTTTGGGAGTGAACGGCTCAACCTGAAAAAAGAACAAACATAAAACATTAAATCTTGATCTGTTTTTACACATTCTGTGAAAATTTGAGTTTATCTCAACAAGAATTGTCAAAAATATTGGCCTGCGAAATGATGCCAAATGTTCTGGGACAACCTGTATTTCCCATTCATTTTTCCCACAGACTTTCAGAAAAAAGTACATTAAAAGTTCGAAAGCTTGCTCAGGGCTAATCGGCTCTGTGGTGACTAATGACCACAAGATCTATAAATCCACTTAAAATCTGTTGCTGAGACTTTATAGGCCTCTAAGTTATTAAAACATTTCACAGAATCTTGCATTTTAGATGAGCTTTTTGGACTGAAAACAACTGCATTATGGATGTTAGTTAGCACATAGCTGGTTAGTCTCTGTAATGCTTTTGAATTTTTGAAAGTCTATGGCATAAAATGAATAGAAAATTGATGCCCGGGACCTGAGTGGGCACTCACTGTTGAGGTCCATTTACACAGTGTTTTGTTTTTGTTTGTTTTTTGTGTATTTACCCAGCACTGATCCCAGGATGATGCCGATGCCCAGGCCTTTGCTGATAACCACCTTCAAACATGGCACTGAGGAGACAACACAAGAAAAAACATGAGGGACTATCATGTTTGTATGCTCTCAGTGTCACAGTGTAGTTCACACAAACATGGTACATTCTGAGGAAGTACAGTCCACATCAGGGGTGAACACTCTCACAATAAGAATGGTTTTCTTTTTTTTTCTTCAATCAAAACAAATGCAAATAATAACTGCAAGACAGATGTTTAATGCCAAACTGTGGAACATTCCAGGCAACGCAATAACATCTCCATGAAAACAAGCAATTGCGATATTTGCTCTTTTTAGCGTACTGGCTCTAAGCCTTACATATTTTTAGTTTTAGTCAATCTGCTGCCTAAAAAATGACACACAAAGCTTTATATTAACAATACAAAGAGATAACTACAGAAAACATGACAACACCACTCTCTTAAAGGTGCACTGTGTAAGTTTCCAGGTGGAGGGTCTGTCACCATGGAGATGTTGTCACTTTGCCAAGTTTTCACAGTATGATATTAAACATATCTATTTCCATGGAGACAAGCACCAAGCCAGTTTACAGCTCAGATTTGTGTAGGGATGCACGCACTTAAAGTAAAATGAATATTTTTCAATTGTTTTATTGTAAAAAACACAATAGTTAAATAATAAGCAAGTTTAATGCCATACTGTGGTCTATTCCTGGGAAAGCAATCTCCCTAGCATATCTCCATGGACACACCCAGGCACTGGACTCTTACCAGAAAAGTTGCATAGTGCACTTTTAAAGGTTTATGGTAAAAAAAAAAAAAAAAAAAGTCTGTGGGTTTGTAGTAAATTTAAATGACATTATTTGGAGAAAAAAGTCAAAATCGGTCCTAAAATATCATATATATATCTTATCAGTTGCTCGGTTGCTCTGGATTTGAAACAATTGGTATCATCAATGGTTATGAAAAATAGTTTGATTTCCAATTAGAATATGCATGATTTTGCAGTACAGCATTTATAATTTCAACCCTAGAAAATACAAAAAAACACCATAAATATATATATAAAAAAAACTATGTGTCCTGCACTCTTAGTTGTTTTTTTTATAAGGGTCTACAACAAACCGTTGTGCAACTCCCGGGCCACATACAGACCTTTGGTTGACTCTGAAAGACCCGTTTAAGATAATTTGGAATTACAAAATAAACACGTTTTACCATTTTACCTTATGCATGGACTAAAGCTGCATTGCTTTTATTTTAGAGTTTTTTTTTACATGACATTTTTTGTAGGGCAACCTTACTTTTTCATTGCCTAGTCATAACATAAACTCTTACCAGTCTGACCAGGGCGTCAAAACGATGCTATTTACTGTCTTTTTTTTTTTTTTTATTAAGATTTTATTAATACAATTAATATTATGTAGAAATTACTTAAGCGCTTTGGTCCAGCCCTCCACAATATTTTCTGTTACTCATGTAGCCCCATGCAAAAAATAATTGCCCACCCCTGAACAACAATCACAACTAAACCTGTCTCCAGAGCCTTAACCTACAGACAGAAGACACATCCAAGTATGTCTCATTCTTAGTATATGGCCAGACCTCCAGAATTGTTCTACTGTACCATGGAAGCTATTGCCACGTGTACACTCCCATAATGAGAGAGCCTGAAGGAGGTAACTGAGCTTATCATCAGAACTTCAACCTAAGACAAGACAAGTGTAACCCTGTTCTACTAGTCCAAACTTTACAAACACTTCTTTTCCATTCATTTTTATCATCCAAATAGCGAAATCATACACGTACTTACAATTTAAACCATGTAAATCGTGCAAACCGAGCGTAACTAATATTTACGACACGTCAACATTGCAAAAATCAATTCATCTTGCTGTTGTAGTTGTCATGCCTGTCAATTTTGCAATGCATTTTTGTTCAGATTATATACGTACAATTTTGGATTTCTGATGTTTTATAAGGATAGTCCATGTCCAACTGCATAAGTAATAATTTATTCAAAAATAAATTTAATATCCAGGAAGTAAGGAAGTTGCAGTAAGCCAAAGTTATGCTCTCTCCATAGCTTGTTTTGGTCGTTTGTGCTCTAAAAGTCGAAATGACAGTGAGTAAAAGTGAGATCTACCGTCTAAAAAGTTGAAGTTGAGAAAAAACTCGTCGTAACAAGACTCTGGCATGAGATAAGTCAATAATAATCCTTTAAAGGGGTCCATGAATGACGAGCCCTTCTCTGCAGCCATGTCCGCGGCCGCCATGATGGATCTGATGCTGCGGTCACGTGACGGCTTCCTCTCGCCACGCGGGGCGAAGGCGCGTGCGCGGCTGACCTCTACAGGCGGGAAATAAAAATAAGAATTAAAAATGTTTGTTTAAATAAAAAACATAAAACATATTTAAATAAATAAATAATAATGAAAAAGTGACTTTACTGCATTTATAAATGGCCTAATTAATTAATTAATATAATTGTAATGTAATCAAAATAAAATAGGATAGGGGTAAAAACTTAAAAAGTTAGAGTTAGTTAGTTCATTATTTATTTATTTACAGTTTGTTAGTGAAAAAAATAACCCAATCATTATATATATATATATATATATATATATATATATATATATATATATATATATATATATATATATATATATATATATATATATATATATATATATATATTATATATATTTTATTTATTATTTATTTATTTATTTATATTTTTTATACTTTATATATATATTGAAACTTTGAAAACTGTCATACATAAATACACGAAATTATGCACAAATAGGTCTGTAGAGGGCGGAGTTCAGTCAAAGCAGACTGTTGAGACTGAGTGTTATGGAGCAAGCATGGAGCCGGAGCACGTCCCCGGACCGTCTCTGACCGAGTGCGGGCTGGAGTTCCCGGGTCAGCCCTACTCCGCCCGCGTCCTCAAAGCGGGCTACAGCGTGCCACAGCCGGACGGGACTTTCAAAGCGGACGGGAGCATCACACTGCTCACGGGGCCCCTGAACATCCTGGTGGACACCGGCGGACCGTGGGACCGAGACTTTCTGCTGCGGAGCCTGGAGGAGCGGGGGCTGAGCGCGGGGGACGTCCACGTGGTGGTGGGGACGCACGGACACTCGGACCACGTGGGTAACCTGGGCCTGTTCCCCGGGGCGCTGCTGATCGTGGGGTACGACGTGTGCAGGGGGGACACGTACGTGGACAGTGGGTTAGCCCGCGGGGAGACGTACTGCGTAGACGAGCACGTGAGTAGCAGCATGTGTTATAACGTCAAATCCTCAAAAACATGCGTGCACTTGTGTTTTGTTTCATTCACACATGTTTGAGTAACTCTTTATTATTAGTCTGTTTATGTGGAAATAGCACAAAATGTTTTGTTCCACCTTGTGATGTCATGAAGCAGTAGTTTTTAAGTGAGTATAGAGCTGGAGTCTCCAACCTTTTTCCTCCGTTGACCTTTATAAAAACTATTTCTGAAACTATGTAATGAATAAGGGTGAGTTAATATAAGTTTTTCTTCTGACCAACTCTTTTTCAAGAAATGTGCTTTTCTGTTGTTTACAATGTAGTATGTGTGATTATTGTTTCTTAGCACCAGTGCTGGGAGTAACACGTTATAAAAGTAACGAATTGCTGTAATGCATTGCTTTTTGCTGTAACGCAGTAATGTGGCATTACAGGGGGAAAAAAAAAACTGTAATATTTTTCTCAGTACAAATGTGATTAACGCACATTACAAAGCTTTTTTTTTTAACCTGGATTGAAGTGGTGGGTTTTTCTTCATACAAATTCACTAAAATCACAGCGATGTCAGCAGCGGTGAAACACCAGAGATACGCCCACGTAGACCATCAGGTGACCACGAGTGAAAGGACCGGCGCAGAACTCCACGCTCCATGGGGCGAACCACACACTGACGCCCGATTGCGCCTTGCAGACACCCTGTTCCATGGGCTCGGGGTTCTCTCAGGGGCAGAACTAGATTCCAAGTTCTAGTCCAAGAGTAGTCTGGTTTAGACCTGGTTTAGTCCTGGTTCAGCTCTGGTTTAGTCCTAGTTTAGTCCAGGTTTAGTCCTGGTTTAGTCCTGGTTTAGATCTGGTTTAATCCTGGTTTAGTCCTGGTTTAGTCCTGGTTTAGTCCTGGTTTAGCCCTGGTTTAGTCCATATACGGCGCAAAAGTTCAGCATCTTCACAATTATTTTGGTGAGAGTAATTTAAAAGTGCTGCAATAGTAATGCCTTACATTTTAAATACAGTAATATTGTAATGTAAGTGTTACCAATTAGTTTGAAATGACAGTAACAAGTCATAAATAACGAATTACAGTTTTAAAGTAACTTGCCCAACAGTGGTTGGCACAAACTCGAAATAAAAATGAATGAATCAATCAATCAAAACAAAAATACCATAGAGCTCTTCATTTTAGCGGTTGCGAGAGATTGAGTAAATAAAAGATCCACGGCCTTAGAGAGGGTACAGTTAGATGCCTGTGAATTCAGAAAGCCCTTGGAGAGCTACTTGGAAGGGGGTGGAGAGCTACTGGTAGCTCCTGAGTTACAGTTTGGAGACTCCTGGCATAGAGTGACCAGATGTCTCTATTTACCTGAGACTGTCCCTGTATTGAGCCCTGTGTCCCCTGTCCTAGCAGATTTAAACAAAACCACTGATTTGTCCCAATTTTATACAAGAAATGTCCCAGTTGTCCCCATTTCTGACTAATTTGACTCTTCACCAGCAGTTAAAAAGGCAATATATTGTTATTTGTTAAGCTAAAATATAGAAACCATGGTTGAAAACGACTATAAAACAAAACAAAAAAAATGCAACAACAGTCCTTCAGATAATGACTGACCCTCAAGTGAGTCGAGAATGGACAATGTTATGTGCTCTTTTCACAGTTTACCAACCGTCACAACCCAGGAATGTCCCAGTTTTTAATTTTAAAAATGCCATAAAACATGTAAATCTCCATGGAGACAAGCCAAAACAGGTCAGATCAGTGAAGAGGCTAAACTGCGAACAGAAAGCACATTTTGAGGTATTTTTGAGCGGTAAAAATGAGTTTAATGCCATACTACAGAACATATTGGTAAAGCAGTATCATCTCCATGTAGACAGTGAGGTACCGGGCTCTCCATCCTCCACCAGAAAAGTCTTTTTTTCTGGTTTCTTTCAGTCATTCAGCAGGTTCGAGTTGTACTTCCTAGTCGGATGCCCTTACCTGGAGTTTCCTGGTTGTGGAGCAAATAAAGCTTCTCTTATCTTATCTACTTTGGCAATAGCAATATTAAGATTCCCTACAAAGTTATAGACCTATTATTAACTTTTCTCTTTTATAAAAAAATAAACATTGTATAAATATAAAGTCATTTGTTTGCATGATTGTGTAAACTGCATGCAGATACAGCTTTTCCAGTTCCGATATTGATTTTAATACTGTGGCTTTACTTGTCTGCTGATACCCGATATCAACCGATACCAAGGCAAAGTTATAGACCGATACCAAGACAAAGTTATAGATATAGACCTATTAACTTTTCTCTTTTATAAAAATAAGCATTGTATAAATTTAAAATCATTTGTTGCATGATTGTGTAAACTAAGAAAGCGGATGCAGTTTTTCCAGTTCCGATATTGATTTTGATACTGTGGTTTTAAGTGTCTGCCGATACCTGATATCAACCGATACCAAGACAGAGACCATCAAATGTGCTAGTTTACTGTGATTTGTAACGTTCTGAGACTTTCCGCACCGACCTTATGTTTAACCAACGGCTGAAATAATATTTCCGAGCTGATATCAGATCTGGCAAATTTTTCAGTATCAATGCCGATATCCGATACAGGTATCAGATACTGGCGACAGTTGCTGAGTTGGTAGAGTGTTTCTCCACTGATCTGAAGGTTGGCGGTTTGAATCCTGTTCTCGACATAAAACATCAGTGGCTGAGGGGTCAGATCCGCTGACCCACAATTACTTGAATTTTGATCTCGATTTCGATTTGTGTGTCAAATTCACTCCAAACTCATATAATGGAGTTGAATATTTTGGGATATTTTTTATATAAATAAGTATATTCATTTTATGTTTTAAATATAGAGATTGTAGAACAGCTGGATATATAGTTTATTTTGGATACATTTATGTTTTTCTATGTCTTATTTCATGTTCAAAGTAGTGTTGTAGTCAAGACTGCACTAATCAAAACCAAGACCAGTCCAAGACCACAGGGTCCCGAGACCAGGACAAGACCAAGACCTCTGAGGGTCGAGACTGAGACAAGACTGAGACCACAGCCCATTGTGACCAAATCAAGACCATCTTTCTCATTTTCTACATTTATTAGTATTTTACAGATATTTTGGCACATTTATATCAATGTTTTTATAAATCTATCTCCATGTGACCTGTTTAATGTTCATTTAGGCCTAAAATAAGCCAGGCAAAGTGTACTGCACTGAAACACTCTCTGCCCTTTTGTGGACCCTCACCCACAAGTAATGGAGTAATGAAATCTGATCGCACTTGCTGAGTGTCAGACCTTGAGTCCAAGACAAGACTCAGTCCAAGCTCCATCAAGACCGAGACAAGGCCGAGTCCAAATGCGCTCGAGTCTGAGACAAGACCAAGACCATAAAAAAGCAGTCTCGAGGCCGGTCTCAAGACCAAGACCAGTCTTGAGTACTACGACACTGATTCAAAGTACATTTTATTGAGTTGATGTTTTATACATCGTGAAATTGCTCTAAGGTTCATATTTGTAGCCTGTATTTATTTTCAATTTGAAAGTTTTGCCTAAATTATCAATAATAAAGTGTTTTGTTTTTTTGTTTTTTTTGAGAGACAGAAATCCTGAATAAATGCGTCATTTAACTAATAAATAATCGTTTTAATAATCCTGATTTCAATATTGACCAAAATAATCGTGATATTGATTTTTTTCAATAATCGAGCAGTCCTAGCTGGTGTGATTCCAGCTCCCACAGATGAATGCTGTCGTTGTGTCCTTGGGCAAGACACTTAACCCACCTCTGCGTACACTGTTGAATGACTGTGTGTGTGAATGTGGTTCCAAGTGGTTCCTTGTTGTAAAGCGCTTTGAACCTTGAAGGAGGAAAAGCGCTATATTAAAACTACGGGCTGGGAAAAAAAAATAAAAAATAAAAAATTGCATTAATCGCATGAGTTTGAGCGATTAATCGCAATTAATCGCATGTTATACGCAAAGTATAAAAAAAAAAGTAAAAAGTAGAGTATAGTGCACTTTTATTGGAAATGTAAATGAAAGAGCCAAACATTTGTTGTACAAACAGCATTTGTTTCAGAGTTGAACCCTCAGAGTCTTCAAGGTATTCTGAAGGCTCAAGAAAAAATATTGAATGGACTTTTGTACTACTCATATATTTTTTCAATATTTTTTATGCAGTGAGTAATAAATACTACACTAGTAATAATTTCTAGATCAGTGTTATAAACTTGGACTGATATTTCTTGGGAAACAAAGGGTTAATATAATGGAATGGAAATGGACCAATCACATTTTTTCTTCCAGTGGTATCTGGGTAAATCAGTGACTCCCCCTGCAGCACTGAACTAAAGAAACAAGCTCAACTCAAAGCACACGGCTGCTCATTAATCACTGCAAATATTAGCGCCTGTTTTCTCCCTCTTGTTTTGGGGCCAATATTCCACACAAGCTGAATGAGGTTTCATACTGATAAGGTGGTACCTGCCAACGCCTGTCACCTGCTCACTTTTATGACGCCTATTCACCTTCATCCGTCTCTGATAAAGGAGTGTAAATCATCACGAGACACAGAGCCAAAGACGCAAAAATCTGACCAAAAATTCAGTATAAAAATCAAATGAAAATTGATAATGTGTTTTGAGACATTCATTGTAAAAGTTATGTTACTGAAGACAGACAGTACTTTGTCATTGTCACGAAATGCTTTTGGCGGCATTATTCCTAGAGATATCAAAGTACGTCATCGATGAATATTACGTGGTATTGCGTAACCTTCTGGCACCATACTTTTTCCTCTTATGTTATGATGTATGATTAAAGGCTGAGACTGTATCTTTTCTTGTGCGGTTCCTTCTATAGAGCTGTTGTTACTTTGTTCAATGGTATACTTTAATTCAAGGTGGTAAAATATCTTTCTATGTGAGTGGGGTTGCCTCTCCACAGATCTGAGCTGTACCTGCAACATATACACTTTCATTTAAAGGTGTTTCTTAAACATTTTCTAACTTTTTTATCCTAGAGTTGAGTAATTTTTTCCTGACTTCGTGGTTTAAGAGATGGTTTAGTCCTGTTTAGTTCTGGTTTAGTTCTGGTTAGTCCTTTAGTCCTGGTTTAGTCAGTCTGGTTTAGTCTGTTAGTCTGGTTAGGAGCTGGTTTAGTCCTGGTTTAGTCCTGGTTTAGTCCTGTCTGGTTAGTTTTAGTCTTAGTGTTTAGCTGGTTTAGCTGGTTTAGTTCTGGTTTAGCTGAGTTGTAGTTCTGGTTTAGGAGCTGGTTCGTTAGTTTGGTTTACTGGTCTGGTTTAGTTCTGGTTTAGGATCTGGTTTAGTCCTGGTTTAGTTCTGTTTAGTAAGTCTGGTTTAGTTCCTGGTTTAACTTTTAGTCCTGGTTTATCCTAGAGTTTAGTACTTTTTATTTTTCCTGATTTCTATGGTTTTTTTATCCTAGAGTTGAGTAAATTTTTCCTGATTTCATGGTTTATGAGCTGGTTTAGTCCGTGTTTAGGAGCTGGTTTAGGAGCTGATTAAGTCCTGGTTTCGTGTCTCAGACCTCATATATTAGATAAAAGTTTTTTTAAGTCAGTTAATTTTATTTGACTCATACAAAATTGGTTAGATTAGATAAAGGGATTTTAAATGACATAACAAACATGACGACTGTTTCCCCAGACACTAATGTAAACATCTTCAAATCAAACAAATGTCTCTCTCAGATCTGAACGGTCACTCCCTAAACTCCAGCACCTGCACCAGTCATGAGTCAGTGCTAGTGCAGCCTCTGAGCTGAGTTCTGAGCTTCACATGACTCCTGTCCATAAACTGAGAATGAGATAAATGCAGGATGTGTCTCTGTCTGCCGGTTACGGCTCTGGAGACACAGGTTCAGTTGTGATTGTAGTAGCCCTTTTAAAACTGTAAGAGCCCGAGCTACATACAGTTCCTTTTAATGTGTTTAATGGCATATTGTCTGTTAGAGCTGGAATCATAGGGTCCCTCACGATTCGATTCCAATACGCAAAACATGGCTCACGATATGATGCAAACGATACTCTGTAATGTATTGCTGTGTTTTAAGAAACAAATACTTTCTAGCAATAATATTTTTTATTAAACCACTACAAATTTTATACAAAAATACATTGATTTTAATCATCAAAACAGTGAATATATAAAATATGATGCATAAACAAGATTCCTTTCATTAAATAAGCAACAAAATTGCTCTGTGGTCACAAAATAAATGCAAAAAGATGATAAAAGTTATATATATGTATATAATCTCGATACAGCAGCCCACGATAACGACACTGTATCACTAAGTTTACTATCATGATATATAGATATTTCATTTTTTTGCATACCTCTATTGTCTATATAGTGTAAATTATATCTATATAAAAAGTGATTTTACTGCAGTTTTTGTTAATCAGGCAGTTCTGATGGATTAATTAAGACGACATTTCCATTACTTATTTTTCAGTACATGTTTTTATTTTCAGAAGACTTTTTGTTTGACCATATTTGCATTTTTGTTTCCAGATCAGCATCGTGCCGACGCCAGGCCACAGCGGGCAGGACGTGAGTGTCCAGGTGAGCGGGATGGCCGGGGGGACTCTGCTGGTGGCCGGGGACCTGTTTGAAAACCACCAGGACGAGTCGAGCTGGAGAGAGCTGAGCCTGAACCCTGCACTACAGCAGCAGCACAGACAGAGGGCGCTACAGACCGCTGACGTCATTATCCCGGGACACGGCCCACCCTTCAGAGTCACCCGAGGGACCCAGAACGCACAGGGGGCATCATGATGACAGAGGAGGAGGAGTGTGGGTGGCATAGTGGTTAGTACTCATGCCTCAAAGGGTCATGGACATGTACAATCGGACCCCTTTGGTACCAGGACTCACCAAATCAGATTGTGACTGTTACGTTTTTGACCATAAATATTTTTTTAAAGAACTATTCTGCATTATTTTGTTATTATTCCCTTGAGTACCTTTGCTTTGGTATCTCATGTTTTACAACTTAAAATAACAACGATGTATTGAACCAGACATTATTTTCCTGTTTGCGCACTCATACTAGAATACTGGACTCTGGTGTAGGGCTCCATCAACAGACACCAGACGGAATTACCATGGCAAAAAAAACAAATTTTAGATAATAATGAACATGCCCCAACATGTTCACAGAAGTACGCTCTGGTAATGAACACAATTTGACAGCACAGATACTTAGAACATGTCTGGTTCTGATTTATGGACTTAAAAACTGTACATGGTCTCTGTCTGTGATGCAACAATCCTGGGAAAATTCAAAACGCATATTCCCTGAGGCTCAGAGGAATCAGATTTTTTACAGGAGATTGCTGAAACTAGTGTGAATGAAGCTAAATATAACTTATAAACAATATAAAAAAATAAAATGTTCGTTATCCCGCTCCGTGATTCTGGGGTTTTTATTCTGCTTTTTTCCGTAAATAATTACCTATTCTTAATATGGAGCCTGACTCTAAATTTGCTCCTGTAACCGTTTGCATCGTGAGCTTCATTTGAGTCGTACGAACGCTAAGGGTGATGTCACACTGGTTTAGTTCATGTCTTTATACAGTCTGTGGTTGCTCCTTTAACTTTCCTGGTGGGTGGTTTGTATGCTCTTTATCCAGTTACAATTGTTTTATTGCTTAAATATCCCTGAGAAAAACAGGAGCATTCTTACTGTGAGCAAGCTATGATGCTTAGAGCGCTTAGACCTGCTTGTCTCCACTAGGGATGCAACGATACAGTTTACCCACGATTTGATACATATCTCGATACCTGGGTCACCATATTGATTCAGTTTCGATGCGTTTTAAGATGTGAAAAAAATCTCATGCCATTTTTTCTGCTAATGAGTATAATATAATAACACTATGATGTTCATGAAACATGACATTAGATATAATAGATTACAGTAGAACTACAGTACAGCTGTAGTTTATATGTTAGGGTGACATATTTCCATTTGTGAAAACCCATACACCTTACCAGGGGTGGGGGGTGGGGGCTCGACATTGAGCTACACTCACCTCGCAAACTCTACACATGTCCTCCCACTTGTCTCAACCGGGACGGAAAACAGGGAATTTCTTGTCCAAGTCATCGTTAAATGGGCATTTGTGCTTCAGCATGTTGCAGACTGACCAACTGTTTGTGTCTGCTCCCTCCTTCTGAGTCACAGAGCTACAAGAGACGCTCAGTTTAAAGGCCCAATGAAAGATAATGAAAACCCGAACATTTCCATCACTTTATGAAAAAAACCCTGGACACCCAGGACAGGACACAAAAAACTGACATGTCCAGGGAAAAACAGACATTTGGTCACCCTATTATATGTGAAGTGTTGTAGTTCATTTGGTTCAATGATTCACAGCATTTTTATTCAGTGAAAATATGAACAGAGTTTCTCAGGCTGTTTTTATATGTTATAATATAGCCAGTCTACTCTTTCTATATAATGTAGGGCAGTTAAACTATTAGACTTTTCCTTTTTCGATGATTTCTTTTAATTTCCTCCTGAGTCTCAGTGTGTTCATACAGGCTCTGCCTTGTCTCCAGCAGCAGCAGCAGAGACAGACAGCAGCTCCTCCCACACTCACCTGCTCTTTTTACACACACTGTGCTCTGATACCATAACTAAAACTATGTTATATTACATAAAAATGTCCATTTTCTCAGGAAAACTTATCAGTTAAAGAAAAAGATCTCAAGAGTCACATTGCAGGTGCGTACAGGAGAGCATTTGATTAAAGTCGATGTGAAGCCAAAAGCGATTCTAAAATATTTAAAAGTTCATATCTTTGTCATTCCTGGGACTATCAGTGTAAAATAAAAAGTGACTGAAAGATAAAATCCGCCTCTGTTAGAATATTTCAGCTGTAAGTCCCTAGTTTTTGCTGCATCTGAGAAGAACGTGGTGATAACTGTTTCTCTTTGGACTAAAATAAATGACAACACAGAGTGCATGGAGAGACACATGTATATCGACCAGACGCATGCATCGAATCGTGATACCAGTATCGAACAATTAGATATTATATCGAATATCGTTGCTTGTTTAATGTCCTGCAAAACAACATAATCATGAAGAGCAGTTTAATGACCCCTCTTGAGAAATGCTTCATATTGCTCCTTAACTTCTCCCCTGGTTAATATTGTTTATGTGTTAGATTTTTGGCCAACCCAAATCCTACAACTGAACTCTTGCTCCTGTATAAAAGACTACTGGAGTTTATTTCAAAACCTATCTATATATTTCTATGGAGTTGACACAAAATCTGAATTAAATATGTATATATTTTTAGATTCTATTACTGTTCTATCTTTATGACGGTCTCCCCGTTCACCCACAGCAGCAGGTCAGATTATCACATGATTTGAGTGGGCGGGTTTTGAGTTTTCCGACACGAAACTGGGCCCATATCAACTCAGCACGCCGCTCCAAAGGTAAACTCCCCAATTTTACTCAAATACTGAAAATGTGATCAATACGGTCACTAAAAGAGACTTTCGCAGCGCACCAAAACTAGACAAAATATCAAGAAATACTTTAAATTCGTGAGTATTTTTATCTGAACTTGTGCTTAGAAATGATTCTGATTTCATAATTCATCTGGGATAAAGGGCATCAGCTAATAACTGCGCTCCATGTCAAAGTCAAAGTCTAAACTAGTTGATCATTCATTTAACAATTTCTGCTCTGAGGGGCCGACGGCGTGCGTTCAAATCCGGGCTGAAGTGCATGCTGTTGTTGTGTGTATGAGCAAGACACCCACATGGTCGAAGAGCTGGAAGATAACAGAATTAAAACAAGAAAAACAAAAAAAAAAAGTACCATTTGATTTTGACAATTTTGAGGCCGCCCAGTTTTTTCTTAATATTGTTGATGCTTTTTAACAATTTGGTCATACTTTAATCACACAATATTAAGTAAATTTAAAGACACCATACCTATTTTTTTTAAATTTTGCAGCGGTTTAAATTTCTTCGTCACTGAACTTATCCATTCAGAGCATCGTAATTACTCACCGCGATGAGTTTTTAAGCGCTTTTCACAACTCTCTGAGACTAGAGCATCCTTTTGTGGTCACAGTAAAGCGAACAACAACTAACATGCAAACAGTACACCTCCTGATTATTATTACAATGCTTTATAATTTGATGCAGACTGTACCCAGCGACTTTAGTCTACTGTAGTTATATGATTCTTGAACTAATATTCCCCCTTTCTGCTAGTGGGAGATTTTTGATGGAAAAAAACCCCAAAAAATAGACAAATAATAGTAATTCGTCCTGCAGACGTTTGGAAACATGTGGATGATGACTTCCTTTGGGCTCTGTTGGTTATATTAACTCTGGGAAAACTGAGAAAATGGCCCGGTTGTCTTTATCTAGATGTGATTGTATTTCCTTTTTTCCTTTTGTAAAGTGTCTAACTTAATAATAATAATAAAAAAAGATGTGATTGTAGGGTTCCGTTATGTTTGTCAGATCAACAGTTCCAACCAGTTGCCTGTAAGCGACACTGAAGATGCAATTAGAGTCCCGTCCCCCATGGAAAGTTTTGGCAGGTTGTGAAGACGCTGCTGCTGAATCCACAGTTTTTATCACATGCCCAGTGTCGGGAACTACAAGTCGTCATGCGGATGGTTCCAAATGACGGCTCTAGTCACGCTTACGTCACAAAGCAGCAAGACATTTGGAAACATGCAATGAAAACTTGTGGTGTAGTTACTGACACTGGGCTCGCTGATCGACTGTGATAAAACCCATTGAAGTACCATATTTTTCAGACTACAAGTTGCACTTTTTCATGGTTTGGGTGTTTCCTGCGACATATATGTGACATCTGACATCTGCAATAGAGTGCTCTAGTCTTGTGTGTGAGTATCTGCTGCTCCTGTTCCTCCTGTACCACTCTCACTTCACTCTACTGCACATGTCTCCTGCAGAAAGAGCCTCTGTCCTGTCTGTATCATGTCAGTCCATCGCACCATTACTTCTGCACCACAGAAAATTTAACTTTTAAACAAACTTATAAAGACACTTGAGAAGACTGAACACAAATGCCTCCAAAAAGAAAATCATGTTTTACAGATTACAAACTGCAAGTCATGAAATCTGCAGTTGAAAACTGTCATCGAGCAGCAGAAAGAAAGTTTGGAGTGAGCGAGAAACTTGAGACACCGGGAGGATGCACCATGAAACTTTCCTGAAGTCACTGGATGGATGGACAAAGTCTGGACTTCAGTGACACCGAAACCATCCTGTTGGGATTCAGAAAGGCCCGAACAATTCTAACTGGAACTGATACTGAGTCTGACGACAGTGACACAGAAGAGGAAGTGGCGCTCTGTTTACCTCCGGAGGTCGAGGAGTTGTTCAGAAGTGACACTGAGGATGAAGAATTGAATGGATTTAGTGATTTGGAGTGAGATGGAGAGTTTGGTAAACTTGTTCTGTTGTTTATGTTATAGTTTATCTGAAGAACTGTTCATATGTGGCGTTAACAGTCTGTTGTCCTGTCTTCTATTGTTATTACTAGAACTTGACTTTACACAGGAAATGTCAATTCCCAGTCTCTGATTTTATAAAATACATTTCCCACAAACAGTGCAACTTATAGTCTGGTGCGACTTTTATATGTTTTTTCTTCTTCATTACACATTTTTTGGCTGGTGTGTCTTATACTCTGGAGCGACTTATAGTCCAAAAAATACGGTAAATGCGATGAGCGGTACAATGAAGACTTCATACGTACGTGCTTTTTAATTATCATAAATTCAACGCCTTATCTCTTCTAATCACATGTATTCAGTGCACTCGGAGCTGTGTGTCAGTGGGGAAATGATGAAAACTGAGGTCTGGTTGGAAGTGTTGATTACCCAAGCATAACGAAACACTACAATGACATGGAGATGAAGAAAACTGGGACATTTTCTAATTTTTCCTAAAGCCCGACAGAAGTTGTCATTGCATGTTTCCAAACGTCTTTCTTGTTTGTAATGTAAGCGTGACTATTAATTACTGTAATGTGATTATATTCAGTCATTCGGCAAACACTGTGACATTATTTCATTAACTATATTAATTAAATACCAGTGTTGTTTGAATTAGTTTTTTTCATGTGTTTCATAATATATTAAAGTCTATGGGAGAGTGTTGGGAAGCCACACAGATGTGCTAGTAGTCATAAAAGGGCATATTTCCGTTACCGTAGCGATACAGACATTATGAGCGGGTGGGGCTCCACAGTATCACGCGCAGAGAATGTATGATGTCACCCAGAGTTCATCTGCCTTATCGCACGAACACGTCAGGGAAATACCTGAAATTATCTACAGTCTCAATACTTAGTCTTGCTTTGGTCTTGGTTTAGGCTTTGTGTAGTCCTGCTCTAGTTTCTGCTCTACTCCTGGTTTAGATCTGGTTTAGTCCTGGTATGGTTATGGATGGTCTTTACTAATCCAGGTTTAGTTTTGGGTTTAGTCCCAGTTCAGTCCCACTTTTGACAAATCTCTGTTTAGTCCTGGTTTAGTATTTGTTTAGTAGATTTGGTTCAGTCTTTGTTAGTCCTGGTTTAGTATTTGTTAGTAGATTTGGTTCAGTCTTTGTTAGTAGTCCTGGTTTAGTAGTTTGGTTTAGTAGTCCTGGTTTAGTATTTGTTTAGTAGATTTGGTTCAGTCTTTTTAGTCCTGGTTTAGTATTTGTTTAGTAGATTTGGTTCAGTCTTTGTTAGTCCTGGTTTAGTATTTGTTTAGTAGATTTCGTTCAGTCTTTGTTAGTCCTGGTTTAGTCCTGGTTTAGTATTTGTTTAGTAGATTTGGTTCAGTCTTTGTTAGTCCTGGTTTAGTCCTGGTTTAGTATTTGTTTAGTAGATTTGGTTCAGTCTTTGTTAGTCCTGGTGTAGTCCTGGTTTAATATTTGTTTAGTAGATTTGGTTAAGTCTTGGTTCAGTGTTTGTTAGTCCTGGTTTAGTATTTGTTTAGTAGATTTGGTTAAGTCTTGGTTCAGTGTTTGTTAGTCCTGGTTTAGTATTTGTTTAGTAGATTTCGTTCAGTCTTTGTTAGTCCTGGTTTAGTCCTGGTTTAGTATTTGTTTAGTAGATTTGGTTCAGTCTTTGTTAGTCCTGGTTTAGTCCTGGTTTAGTATTTGTTTAGTAGATTTGGTTCAGTCTTTGTTAGTCCTGGTGTAGTCCTGGTTTAATATTTGTTTAGTAGATTTGGTTAAGTCTTGGTTCAGTGTTTGTTAGTCCTGGTTTAGTATTTGTTTAGTAGATTTGGTTAAGTCTTGGTTCAGTGTTTGTTAGTCCTGGTTTAGTATTTGTTTAGTAGATTTGGTTAAGTCTTGGTTTAGTCTTTTTTAGTCCTGGTTTAGATCTAGTGTGTTTCCTGTTAATATTTGACTAACCCTTATTAGCATTTATCAATCCGGGTCACACTTAGACTACAATGATGCCAAAGACCACGGTCACACTTGTATTGTATTAACCAGGCTACATCCAATTAGCCTGAATAAAACATGTATAAAGACTTAATTCATAAATGCTTGATAAAAACTCTGACACCTAACTTTTAACATAACCCTGTAATAAAGTAGTCATTATAAAATGTGTCTAAAAGTACAAAAATTGTATCTCTGTAATGTTCTCTAAGGGACCACATATACATAGTCTAACTAAAAGAAAAAGTCAATATAAGTGCTTGATTATATCTGTTAATAGGGATGTAACAATAACTGAAATATCATGATATTGTATCGTCAAAAGTCTCACAATAATACAGTGGGCTGTCACAATATATGGAATCACAAGTTCCTTTACTTAAATACATGGTTTTATAGGCGAATTTCAGCTGACGTCATTGTTTTTAAAAACCCGCATTGCATGCTGGGAAATAATTCGGTCGGAGGCAAAAAACACGGTAGCGGTCAAACACAGTGCGTAACCTCGCGTATTTATCCCCGATAATGGTAAATTCCTGCTGCTTTATCGGATGCACAAATAGAAGCACGGAAGAAGGAAAATGTCTTTTTCGTATTCCGAGTGAAAAGAACCACTAACAGTGAATTAAACGGCTTTCAAACATTCGCAGAGCAAACGTAGAAGATCCTAACAAACCGTGGACTCCAACAAGTTCAACAACACATCAAGACTCTTGGAGGTTTTCATCTTTTCTGTTGTGAATGACCCAGGAGTTTCCACCAAGTCATTGTGGATATCGCCCAAGTGAATATTTGTCCAGGTAGTTGGCAATTACGACCAGAAATTTGGTTTGGTCCACCTTTTGTCGGGGTTGAAAAGGGTGATTTGGCTCCATCGATGCTTATGACCAATTTCTGGTCAAATGGTCTTGGGTCCTCTGCCGTTAGAGTGGATAAATAACCGGGATCAATACCCTTTACGTGCTTTCTCGCTCCGTCCGTCATGTTGAATTAGTGTCTCTTGCCGCCGACCAAAATAATTCCCAGCATGCAATGCACGCTTTTGTCAACAATGAAACTCGCCTATAGTAGTAATAGCTAATAAACATCAGGAACTACATTTCCCATGATTCATTTCAGTGCAGACCCATGAAGAAATATGTTTTTACTTGAATTTTTGGGATTATGATGGAATAATTCACACCAAATTCTTGTCAGAGTATTTAGGAACTTATGATTCAATATATTGTGACAGTCCACCATATTATTGTGAGACTTTTGACGATACAATATCACTATATTTCGTTTATTGTTACATGGCTATTATTTAATATATCAAAGTAGTGCTCATTAGCATTATTAACAACAGATGCTTTTGTAAAAACACTCATCAATCATTTTATAAATATGAATAAAGCTGAATCTTGAATCACTGCTACGCCTGAATTACTTGTCAATGCAGTTATTTTACTTAAGTCCATCCCTGTAGGCCAAATAGCCTATTTATAAATGCAACTTTAAGGCAAGGCCATATTTGAGCAGTATTCAGCCTTTAAATATTTTCTTCCTTTGTACTGTTAGCAATAGATACTATAATTATAGGCTGTATAAACATTTGGTTCCAGTCAAATGAAGTTGCAGTTATAATGGTGAAACTGGTTTAGCAGCGAGCGGGTGCTTAGTAACATGTGAATCACACCTGTTAACAATTGTGGGAGCGACCTGGAGGAAAGAAGGCGCCTGGTTAATCTGTTATTAATCTTCATAATCTTTTTAAAACCAAAATAAGGAGCCTGACAGCAGCAGTTCCAGAGAGAAGGGCCACGTTTTGTTTTATTTTTTTCAACAGAATTAGGGTGACTAGATCTTCAAAATTCTAAACTGGGTCACACCCGGGCTGGGATGTTTGGTATCAATAAAACTGAAAAGAACGTGTAACATTGTGGATTCTCACGTCAGTCATAATCTGAGAGACTTCTATCGCAGAATTGTTTTTTGCTTTATGGTCATCCGCAAACACTGTTTTGTGTGTTTTGCCTAAACAAATGATGAACTAATTTATGCGCCTCTTTACTGTTGGCGAGGATCTGCTTAGTGAAAAACTCTGATAGTCCTGTTTTAGTCCTGGTTTAATCTTAGTTTAGTTCTGGTTTAGATCAAATTGGTCAAAAAGAAGGACACATACACTGCAAAAAACTAAATCTAGCCAAGTTAAGATGATTTGAATTAAAAAAGTTTTATCATGATTTGAGTAAATTTCACTTGACAAGTAAAATGATGTGCCAACGGAACAGACATGTTAAAACATGAAAATACATCCTGCTACACTTAAAATAAGAAAAACAACAACTTTTTTGTAGTTAAAATAAGAAACAAAATCTAATATTGGTTGAATGAAGAAAAACACACTTATTCCATTGGTAGATAGTTTTACTTGTCAAGTTGAATCGACTCTTCTTAATTTAATTCATTTTAATTTAACTAGATATAGTTTTTTCCAGTGTGGGACATTTCTTGTATAAAACTTGGACAAATCAGTGGTTTTGTATAAATCTGCTGAGACAGGAAGACACAGGCTCAAAACTCTCCTGGGGAAAATAGGGGCGTCCAGTCACCCTAAATAGAAGTCAAGTGGAATCAGAGATGGAGGGAACACTCTGTGCCCACACTCACTCATGGATCTCTAATATAAAGTGGATAAGCTCCTCCCCCTCTTTCCCGTCTTGAGGCGAGTAGTAGCTGCTCCAGGTACTGCGGCCTCTGGGAGCCTGGGCCCACAAAGAATTCTCCCATAGAAACACAATGCATTTTGGGTCCAGCTTACAGAGCTTCCACAACTCTCACAAAGGTCACATTCTGTAGGATTCTTTTCTGTTTTAACAACATACATTTTTTTAAATGTTTAAATCCTCAAAGCGTCTAAAAGTGATCTTTGTAAGACTTATCCTCGCTGCTCTGAGCCCATGCTCGCACCGCTCTAGCAGCTCTCGCTCTGATCCAAACGCTCCACGCCGTGTGCGTTACAGACGTCACACGGGTGGGAGGAGCTCACCCGGATTGAGGAAGTAAATGCGGAAGTGATTTTTTTTTGGGGGGGGGCCCATGCCACGGATCTAGCCAGGGCGCCTACAACTTTCAAAAGTGTCGGATTTTGTGGCGATTTTTAGATCATAAACTTTTTCTCAGCTCAAAACCCTTCAGTTGTTTTAGAATCATTAGCTCTGGCTACACGCTGCTCCAATCTCAAAATGGCCGCTCATTCAAGTCAATAAGCCGCCATGACTTCAGATTCACCTTTAGCCCGGCGAGGTTCTTCCAGTGGCTCTGGGCTGATTGAGCGTGTGCAGTAGTGCTCTTTTCTCACACGGAGCGCGGGCTCATGTATCACATGATCACTTGGACCAATCAGAGCGAGAGGAGCAGAGCAGAGCAGAGCTGGAGCGAAAGATTATAAAGCGTTTTTTTAAGACAACTGAAGGATTTTGAGCTGAAAAAAGTTTATGATCTAAAAATAGACAAAAAATCTCCACAAAATCTGACATTTTTGAAAGTTGTAGGTCCCTGTCAGTTGAACACAAGCAGTTTGTGATTACATTGCCTCTATGAGGAAAATCCTCTCTCAGCCCAGGGAATTTTTTCCGCTGAAGTACCAGTGAATAGGCTCATGTGCCTTTGAGCACAGGCCATTGAAAACAACACGACGCCATCTTGGTTTTACCTTCCAGATTTGGTTCTAGTTCTCTGTCGTCACTTGTGTGGTGGCTAGAGTGTCATCAATGTTGGGAACGTTACTTTTAAAATGTATTCCCCTACAGATTACAGATTACATACCCCAAAATATAGTTTGTAATGTAATCCATTAAATTATTTAAAATGAGTAACGTAATCTGAATACTTTGGATTACTTGATTTGCTGTAGAGAAGCAAAGACGAGGAAATTGTAACATAAGACATTTTGTCTGCTAAAAGAAAATAAAAAGCCCAGACTTTACTTAATCAAATTAAAAATATTATTGATAGAAGAGGAGGAAACACGTCCACGCAGCAGGATTTAGACCTGGTGTAGTCCTGGTTTAGATCTAGTTTAGACCTGGTTTTAGTCTTGGTTTAGTCCTGGTTTAGATCTAGTTTAGACCTGGTTTTAGTCCTGGTTTAGTCCTGGTTTAGATCTAGTTTAGACCTGGTTTTAGTCCTGGTTTAGATCTAGTTTAGATTGATTATTTATTTATTTCGGTCACAGGTATATTTTGACATTAATTCACAGACAGTCATATTTAACATACACAGACTGAAAAGGTATAGGCTGAAGCTTAAGCTTACTAGTTTAGCCCTGGTTTTAGTCCTGGTTTAGACTTGGTTTAGACCTGGTTTAGCTCTAGTTTACACCTGGTTTAAACCTGGTTTAGTCCTGGTTTAGCTCTAGTTTAGACCTGGTTTAGTTTCCGACAATGAGTGGAATTACCAAAAAAAAAAAAAAAAAGCGAGGGGATATAGCCCAAAATGTAAAAACAGGAAAATAGCTGCATGTAATCCTTTTATTTCAACAAAGTAACTGTAATCCAATTACCACTCACTGAAACAGTAACTGTAACTGAATACAGTTACTCATCATTTGTACTCTGATTACGTAACTCTGGTACATGTAATCTGTTACTCCCCAACACTGCGTGTCATTCATAGCCTCTATAAGTCTATAGCTATATAATAAATCTTACCATAATAACCACTAACTAACAACTACTACTTCATTAGTGGCTCATAAGTGGTCCCTTCCTACTTGATGAAGTCGGAGCTAAGCCTGAATCACTCTTAATAAAGACATATTTACAGCCTACTAATTACATCTCTGTAAATATTTAGAAAGTAGCATAATTATGAATGGTTTTTAAGGCCATATTTTACACGTGTTCTATTCAGTCAACTGTTTTTATCAATGAATAATACATTAGCATTTTTATATTTAAATTGTTCACACTATAATAAACGCGAATAACAGAATAATCACTAACTAACATAGTAATTATCACTGAGTTAGCGGCCAATACGCTCCCCAAACTCCTTATATTTCTCTCAGAATGTACCACCAATTTTCAGTCAGCACTTACACATTTACAGGCAAAATAACTGCATTAGCACGAAGACTTTATGATCATTTACGACCTGAGTGGAAACACTGGCAAACATCACGCCCCTGACATATCAAGCGTCAGATAAGATAATCACGCTCAAAGTGCAGGCTCCAGGCGTCGTTATAAAGCCCCCATTGTGTTCCCTTCTCTTTTGGATCCTCCAGCTCTCCCTGAGCCCTGGTCGTCAGCATGTGCACCGGAGCCTGTTCCAAGTTCGTGGCCATCTCGCTCTACCCGCTGGCCGTAGTGTCCATCATCTGCAACATCATCCTCTTCTTCCCTGACTTCAGCAATAAATACGCATCCGAAGATGGAGAGAATACCCCCCGTCTCACCGAGGAGGTCAAGTACATGGGTGGGCTGATCGGAGGAGGAATCATGGTGGGTACAAACAATGTCATGAATAAATAAGAACTGATGTTAGAATTGGCAAATTGCAAAGGTTGTGTAGAATAAACAGGCTTATCTCAGCTTTTGGCGGGTGTTTTTGAAAAAAGTTAAACTGAAATGTTAATAAATGTGATTAAATTCCACCTGTCATGATCAAATTCAACCTGTTAAAAATGTTTTTCCAAAAATTTGATCATAATTTATGTTATGGCCTATTTCATGTCTTGGTCTTATCTGGTATGGATAACCGGCCAATATTCATTACAATTTTATTCCTCATTTTTATTCTAAACCCCCAAAAATATATATTCATGACAAAAAAATTGTATTAAATATTGGATTTCTTGACATTAAAAAATTTCAACTTTTTATAATTGCATCTTAAAATAAAAAATAATAACCAATACTGATATAGGCTACAATATTTGCTTTACTGTTGTTATCTCAGCTTTTGGAGAGTGTATTTGAAAAAAGTTGAACTGAAATGTTAAAAAAATGTGATTAAATTCCACCCGTCATGATCAAATTCAACTTGTTAAAAATGTTTTTCCAAAATATTGTTCACAATTTATGTTATGGCCTACTTCATGTCTTGGTCCGGTATGGATAACCTGCCAATATTCATTACAATTTTATTCCTAATTTTTACTCTAAACCAAAAATATATATATTCATAACAAAAAAAATTAAATATTGAATGTCTTGCCATAAAAAAAAAAAATTTTGACTTTTTATAATTGTGTCTTAAAATAAAAAATAAAAACCAATACTGATATAGGCTACAATATTTGCTTTACTGTTGTTATCTTAGCTTTTGGAGGGTGTATTTGAAAAAAATTTAAATGAAATCACGCACACCAATGCAGCCATTTTGAAAATGTCTCCTCTGAGCCTGGTATTTACTGAAAACCATGGAAAGACCGCTAGGGGACATCTGACAAGCATTTAATTGTATACAACAGGTTTTTCAGGAAAAATATTGATTATGCGGGTGGGCAGAGGTCTCAGAATGTTGTGTATCAAATATGATACAAATGGCATTATAGGGTTAAATGATCCAGCCACATTCACATTCATAATCCACATTCACCAAGACAGGGAGGCAACACCGGGCGAGTTACACCACGATCTGCCGATGGATCGTGGACGCCTGGTCTAAGAATCAGTCTCAAGTGTCGTCTGTTTATTTCACTTTGTTGCGCTTTATAATCCGGTGCAATTTATGTATGAAAATAGATGAGAGAATTCAACATTATTGATATTACGCCTTATAGTCTGAAAAATATGGTAATTAGGAGTTGTGGTTTGAGTATTAATTCTGTCGTACAAAGCCTGAATCATCCTTAATTGACTATTTGTTGTGTAATTAGAGAGTAATATTTGGTTAAGTACATGTGTTTCTGTGTTTGCTCCAGGCCCTGATCCCAGCCATCCACATCCACCTGACCAGTGCCGACAAGTGCTGTGCCAACCGCTGTGGGGTGAGTGTGCGCAACCACCTCTATGGTTTTATTTCAGGAGATTTGAGCTTTGTGTCATGTAGCTGATAATAAACCGGCCAAATAGGAAGGATTCTGGTATACAAAGTGTTTTATCCAGAGAGGGAAAGTAACGAAATACAAAAAATATTCACGTTACTGTAGATTTTGAGGTTAATTGTGCTTTTTTGAGTAGATTTTTAAACGTTTAGCCGTGTAATTGCACTTTTACTAGAGTACAAATCTTGAGAACTTTTTCCAGGATACATAGCCATATTTTAGATCACTTTACTATGACATAACTCACTGTAACAGTACTGCAGAAGAGAGGAAGGTCAGTCTGCCACCCAACTATACAAGATTCATTTTGAGCTAGTTTTTTACTGTATTGATACTTTGCTGCTGGGCGTGTTCTACGTGTATGCCTATGGTGGAATGTTCAGCAGTAACCATGGTGACACAACGCACGCATTTGCAAACACAGCCTGAGAAGTTTTTAAAATGAAAAAGCAAAAAAAAAAAGCAAAATGGATTTAAAGAACAAATTTAGGAGGCTGTGGTCAATACAAGCGTTGATGATCCTGTTTAGGAGATTTTCAAGAAAAACTGAGCTTGTGGCTGCTATTTTATGTGTCCGAGACTTGTTTAAGACCATACATCATCTCACCTGTTGTAGTTCCAACTAAGTCAGCTCTTTCTGGTCAGAATGTGTAAAGATAAAGCTCAGATTAAAGTCTAACTTGAGTAACAGAACTTCAGAGTAGTAGAGGCTACAGTTAGCACCACACGCCCAGGGAATGTTGATGACCTCAGACGCAAAGTATCAAAAAGAACAAATGTACGGACGCCGAGAGGGGTCACAGCAAACGCAAACACCGCAACAAATACAAATGTGACAACACGACAAAAAGCCACAACAAACCAAAAAAAGCCACAACGGAAGTGACTGCGGGACTCTATTTTCCGACGGACCGATCAAGCGACAAGTGAAGAAGAAGAACTACAACGTGAAACAAATAATGATAAAATAATAAATTACTTTTACTTACGTTTCCAACTTCTCCGTTCCTTTACTTTTCACGTTGTAGTTCTTCTTCTTCACTTGCCGCTTGATCGGTCCTTCGGAAAATAGAGTCCCGCGGTCACTTCTGTTGTGGCTTTTTAATGTGTTGTGGCTTTTGTGTTTGTGTTGTCGCATTTGTATTTGTTTGCAGTGTTTGCATTTGTTGTGACCCTCTCGGCTTCCGTATAAATGCCTCATTAAACACAACGTGCTGTGTGCAGATGTTCCTGTCCATTGGCTTTGCAGCACTGGGCATGGCTGGCGCCGTCTACAGTCTGATTGTGGCATCACTGGGGCTGTCCAATGGTCCCACGTGTTTATGGTCCAACGCAGGCATCGAACAGTGGGGAACACCCTTTACCAACAGGTACCAGCACAAGGCCCCTCTCTTACTGCCACTTCAGTAAAAAGTGTGCATGTCCTAGTTTAGTTTGTATATTCTAACAGCAGGACATTTTTGTAGAGTCAGAGTGTTCATCACAAACCTGCATGTTCACTGTTTGTGCAACGGCCAGTGATGCCCATGGATACTAGTGATGTGCAAATGTATGGAAGATCATTTTTTCCATCAGATTTTGCATTTAAAATGCCACTGAATTTCTCGCTTTGAATTTTTCAGCTCTGAAAAAAACATGTTTGAATTATTATTAAGTATTTAAAATTCAATCTAAACAAATCACCTTTTAAATATTCAGCACAAATATTTTCAAGCCTTAAATTCAACAGTCAAAATTCAGAGTGTAAAATTCGCAGTGAAAAAAATTTGCAGGAAAGATCCAAGATGCCAGAGCCTAAGCAATCGATCCAAAGTGATCCGATTTAAGACTTACACTATGGCTACGTTCAGACTGCAGCCTAAAATGACCTAAATCCGATTTTTTGGCCCCTATGTGACCTGTATCTGATCTTTTAATGACAGTTTGAATGATCTGATTTTTTCAAATGCGACCCAGGCCACTTGGATCTGTGCTCCTAAAACCGATACATATCTGATCTTTTAACATGCGACTTCAGTCTGAACGGCCAAAGCGCATTCATCAACCTACACGTTATCAACAAGCCACAAACATCACTATTCTGCGCTGAAGTAGCGAAAATTGTTAATGAACTCCATGTCACTGAAGCGAATACATCTCCACTCACCACTCTTGGCTACGTCTCCACATCCACACATTCCTTTCACCGGACTGTCCCATAAAACACCACAGCCAAAATCTGCAGGTGCTCAATGCTCGCGTCCATGTTTGGACAACTTCTGTAAACACAGAGCACGCTCGCTGCGGTTAACGTCGTCGTGTCTCCAGTGCACATGCGGGACATTTTTGGGTCGTTTAATGTTCACACTGGAGTCACATACAAGTCACATTTAATTGGAAATGTGAACGACCTCGCAAAAACATCGGATTTCACAAAAAAAATCTGAAATGAGCATTAAGCACTGCAGTCTGGAAACTTAGATCTAGCTTAATAACAAGCAGGAAATGGTGCAGTGAAGTCATCTGATTGGTCAGAATTAGCCTCATCAAAACCTCATCTCTTTTATTTCTTTTATTAAATGTAAACCCCGCCCACAGATGAAAAAGACCAATCAGAAACAGTCTCTGTCCTCTTCACTCATATGATCGATTGCTTCTGTCTTGGCATCTTGGCTCTTTGCTGTGAAATTTTTCTCTGCGAATTTTACACTCTGAACCATATTGAAAGAGTATACTAAAAATTTCAGCAACTAAAATTCAGAATAAAAAAAAATTCAAAGTTCAAAGTTTCAGAGTTAAAAAATTCAAAGCAAGCAATTCAGCGGTATTTGAAATTCAAAATTTGATGGAACAAATGATCTTCCATACAAAAGGCAAAAGGCCTCCTACTACTACTACTGCTACCATGGCAAAAATCACAACTATCTGACTGATATTTAAAAGGAATACTTTTATATCCTGTCCAGAAAGTATAGACCTAATATATTTTATTTGTAATGTTTTGTGGCACTGTTGTGTACAAGTCTGTAGATTAGGAATGTGCCTTTGTCCCAGTTTTGATGGAGCTTACACATTACCACCGTATTTTTCGGACTATAAGTCACACTTTTTGGGGTAAATTTATTTTATAAAATCAGCGACCAGGAACAGACATTTCCTGTGTAAAGTCAAGTTCTAGTAATAACAATAGAAGAGAGAAGAACAGACTGTTAAGGTCACATATGAACAGTTCTTCAGATAAACTATAACATAAACAACAGAACACAACAAGTTTATCAAACTCTCCATCTCACTACAAATCACTAAATCTATTCAATTCTTCATCCTCGGTGTCACTTCTGAACAACTTTACGACCTCCGGAGGTAAACAGAGCGCCACTTCCTCTTCTGTGTAGCTGTCGTCAGACTCAGCATCAGTTCCATTTAGAATTACCGTATTTTCCGGGCTATTAGACACGCTCTTAAGCCTCCAACCCCATCAAAAAATGACTGCGCCCACAGTCCAGAGCGCCCTATACACGAATCCACTCGGGTGTCCCAGCACGACTTCAGTAAACTACAAAGCCGCACCACCCGCAGAACACACAAACACGCACGGAGCAGACAGCGACCGCACAGTCAAAAACACCCACAGCCACTCATCACTCCACGCCGACGAGGAACGGAACGGAGTGAAGAACCAAAAAAGCGAGTGCAACGTGCCACTTCTAGACACAACTGAACAACTGAGTCACTGCGAACACGCCGACAATCCATTGGTCCCAGACAGCACCCTCCCTACACGCCACAACTGAACAAAGCCCAGAGTCACCGTGAACGCCACAAACAAACAAAACCACTCACCCATCACACTGTTGTGTTTTGTTTAAAGTCCGGTGCGGTTTATGTGTGAAAAAAGTTCAAAAATAGACCATTTAATGACAGTGCGCCTTATAATCCAGAGTGCCATATAGCCCTGAAAATACAGTATTCCGGCCTTTTTGAATCCCGACAGGATGTTTCGGTGTCACTGAAGTCACTTAAATGTAAAATTGTTCAGTGGTGCACAAGTAATGGTGCGAACGACTGACATGATACAGACAGGACAGAGGCTATTTCTGCAGGAGACATGTGCAGTAGAGTGAAGTGACAGTGGTACAGGAGGAACAGGAGCAGCAGATACTCACACACAAGACTAGAGCGCCCTCTCGTGGCTGTCAGTTTGTGAACATTTTAATATTGTTAGCGTGTTCTATCAGAGGAAATAATGACTGGAATCGATCGATTAAAATCACAAAGAATTTATTCCCTATTCAGTACAATTCTAATACAGAGCTCTGGGTCAAATCATTGCCCCTGATGGCCTACAGCTACACAGGACTTACATCAGGTGTTCTGACTGCCTGTGTTTCCCTCAACCCAGAGATATAAAACAACAGTATGAACATGCAAATGATATGTTGAGCAGGTTCGTGCCTTGGATCCTTCCTGAAGCATCTCCGTTGTCATAAAGGGATGACACCAGGTTTAAATTACAGCCAAGTCTATTTAGGCTTGGTGCCAGCCAAAACGACTCCACTGCAACTGCTCTGTAAAGAATTTACTTAAAAGGACACAAACTTCATCTCTGCAAAGGGATTACCTTAAAAACATATATGTTTTCACACAGTGGTACCTTTAAACATACATATCAGATTTCAGTGGTTAAGCATTAACTCATTGTGTAATATTCAAAGAAATATATGAATTTAAATTTTTAATATACGCATGTAATACACTCATTATACTTCATTACTTGATATAGTCTTCAATACATAAGTTGCAGCAGAGTATAAGTTGCAGAACCACCCAAACCATGAAAAAAAAGTGCCACTTATAGTCCGAAAAATACGGTAGTTGAATTCATGAATAATTAAAACCATTATTTTATGTTTGATTGATTGCACAGTGTGCCCTACTTCCTCCTCTCACAGTTTTTACATATAAAAAAGTGATATATTTAGAAAACACGGTACATCTCCTGGCCCTTTCTTTCCATCTGGAATCATAACATCATCAAATTACTGAACACAACTTAATGAGGTTTGCAAAGCGGAACAAAACCCCTGACGGTCGTGCTTCTGTGTGCTCCTCAGCAATGGGAGTTACCTGGGCGACAAGGAGATGTGGAAGTGGTGCATAGAACCAAAGAACGTGGTGGAGTTTAACGTGGGCCTGTTCTCCACTCTGCTCGTGACCTCCATCCTCCAGCTCGGCCTCTGCGGCGTCCAGATGGTCAACGGGCTCTTCGGCTGCCTCTGCGGAACCTGCGGCGGAGACAAAGAGGTCGGGGGGGGTTTGGTGGTAGTAGTGTGTCGTAGCAACACTCTTGAATCATACTGTAAAGTCCGTGTAAAACCAAAAATTAGAAAACGAAAAAAGCAACTATTTTCTTCTTTATTTGTTTCCAAAACCAAAATGAAAAAATGGATGATTAATTTTTTCAGTTTTCAATTTGGTGTTTAAATGAATAATGGAAAAAACTTACTTAAAGTACGATGCCGGACTGAACCAGGACTGAACCAGCACTAAACCAGGTCTAAACCAGGACTGAGACCGGGACCAGACCAGGACCAGGACTGAGACCAGGACTGAGACCGAGACCAGACCAGGACCATACCAGGACCAGACCAGAACTAAGACCTGGACTGAGACGGGGACTGAGACCGGGACCAAGACCGGGACTGAAACCAGTTTAGTCCTTGTTTAGTCTTGATTAAGTCCTGATTCAGTCTGGGTTTAGTCCTGGTTCAGTCCGGCATCTCAGTTTAAGTCACGTAAACGGGAAACGGTCGTATTCATTTTTTCCCATTATTCATTTAAACACAAAATTGAAAACTTGAAAAATGAATTGTTATGTGTTTTTTCATTTTGCTTTGGCTTTATATTGAAAAACAAATGAATGAATGATACACGGATTTTGTAAGTCTAGAGATCGACCGACACGGGTGCTTTCATGGGCGACACAAATCTGTGTATCATTCATTCATTTGTTTTTCAATATAAAACCTAAAATAAGAAAACAAAAAAACAAACAGTTTTCTTCATTATTTGTCTCCAAAACCAAAATGAAATTAACGGATAATGATTTGTTTTTTCATTTTTTGATTTTGTGTTTAAATGAATAATGGAAAAAAAAAAGGATAACGTCCGTTTCCCATTTATGTGACTTAAACTGCGACGTCGGACTGAACCAGGACTAAACCAGGACTGAACCAGTCTCGGTCCTAGTCTCAGTCCCGATCTCAGTCCTTAACCAGGACTAAACCTGGTCTAAACCAGGACTAAACTGGTCTCAGTCCTAGTCTCAGTCCCGGTCTCAGTCCTAAACCAAGACTAAACCAGAACTGAACCAGGACTAAACCAGAACTGAAGCAGGAGTGGGAGGACTGGCCCGGACGTGCGCCCGCGTAGTCTGTCGGGTGATCAGGAAACCGGGACCAGACTAGGACCAGACGAGGACTGAGACTGAGACCTGACCAGTACTGAGACCAGGACTGAGACCTGGTTTCGTCCTGGTTCAATTCTGGTTTAAAGTTGGTTTAGACCTGTTCAGTCCTGCATCTCAGTTTAAGTCACGTAAACGGGAAACGGTCGTTACCCGTTTGTTTTCCATTATTCATTTAAACACAAAATCGAAAACTGAAAAACAGTTTTTTTTCATTTTGGTTTTGGAGACAAATAATGATGAAAATAGTTGTTATTTCGTTTTCTTATTTTTGGTTTTATATTAAAAAACAAATGAACGAATGATACACGGATTTTGTAAGTCTAGAGATTGACCGACATGGGTGCTTTCATGGGCGATACAGATTATTTAGAATAAAACACAACCGATGGCCGATAAGCTCTACCGATATTTTTGGCTCGATATACAGGGCTGATTTTGATTATTTTCTCTAAAATATGTCATTTAAATTTACATCCACAGACATAGTTTTACCAGAAACCTTTAAGAGCGCTGTGGAGTCATATTTGTGCTGTTTCGGTCTCCTTGTATTAAAGAGAGTTAATATACATTTTTAGGCCGTAGATTGACCAGAACAAAATATCGGCCTGTGCTGCAGATTTAAGACCAATAGCTGATACACTATGAAGTCCAAATATCGGTGTGTCTCTACTTCAGACTTGTGAAAAGTATTTGCACAAGTGTTTTTTCTAAATGTTACACATCCACATAAAGTGTCATAATGATGGTTGAGTGAATTTAGATTTTCCCTTTGTAATTATGATTCTATTTGTCTGCAGTGAACGGAGCGCCCCCTGGTGTAGAAAGACATCTGCCGGCCTGAAGAACAAGCCACCCATCACGTTTTTTTTTTTTTTTTTTTTTTCTTTTTCCTCAAATGCATTACAAAACATAAGCTTTTTACCCATAATTCACCGCTGTGTTCGACATAGTCCTGACGTCGCTACAGTTGAATAGTTAAATGCACTCCACGTCAATCAAACGCTGAAAACTCTACAAACGAGTGTGTGTTTGGGAGCATTGATGTATGATACTGTACATGTCTGTGCCTTTTTAATACTTTGTAATTAAAAGTACAAAGTCACTATTTTGGTTCTTGCATTTGATCACTTGTTCTTTGTGCACTACCCCGAAAGAAACTCAGAGAGGCGCTGTTGTGTGCTCTACAACACAGGCAGTACTCACATATTTACTATGGTATTTAAACGAGTACTTTTCACTGTCATTTTCACCCCGCACTTTTAATATATTTTACTTGAGTAATATACAGTACAGTGAAGCAGTACTTTTACTAGAGTAATATACAGTACAGTGTAACAGTACTTTTACTTGAGTAATATACAGTACAGTGAAGCAGTACTTTTACTAGAGTAATATACAGTACAGTGTAACAGTACTTTTACTAGAGTAATATACAGTACAGTGTAGCAGTACTTTTACTTGAGTAATATACAGTACAGTGTAACAGTACTTTTACTAGAATAATATACAGTACAACAGTACTTTTACTAGAGTAATATACAGTACAATGTAACAGTACTTTTACTTGAGTAATATACAGTACAGTGAAGCAATACTTTTACTAAAGTAATATACAGTACAGTGTAACAGTACTTTTACTAGAGTAATATACAGTACAGTGTAGCAGTACTTTTACTTCAGTAATATACAGTACAGTGTAACAGTACTTTTACTTGAGTAATATACAGTACAGTGAAGCAGTACTTTTACTAGAGTAATATACAGTACAGTGTAACAGTACTTTTACTAGAGTAATATACAGTACAGTGTAGCAGTACTTTTACTTGAGTAATATACAGTACAGTGTAACAGTACTTTTACTAGAGTAATATACAGCACAGTGTAACAGTACTTTTACTAGAATAATATACAGTACAACAGTACTTTTACTAGAGTAATATACAGTACAATGTAACAGTACTTTTACTTGAGTAATATACAGTACAGTGAAGCAATACTTTTACTAAAGTAATATACAGTACAGTGTAACAGTACTTTTACTAGAGTAATATACAGCACAGTGTAACAGTACTTTTACTAGAATAATATACAGTACAACAGTACTTTTACTAGAGTAATATACAGTACAGTGAAGCAATACTTTTACTAAAGTAATATACAGTACAGTGTAACAGTACTTTTTACTAGAGTAATATATACAGTACAATGTAACAGTACTTTTACTTGAGTAATATACAGTACAGTGAAGCAATACTTTTACTAAAGTAATATACAGTACAGTGTAACAGTACTTTTACTAGAGTAATATACAGTACAGTGTAGCAGTACTTTTACTTCAGTAATATACAGTACAGTGTAGCAGTACTTTTACTTCAGTAATATACAGTACAGTGTAACAGTATATTTTCTTTATCCATTTTCTTGTATTTTGTCCTGTGTTTGTTTTTTCATGTTCTGAGCGCCGTCGGTTTCCTCGATGTGTTTTATTGGAGAACCTGCCAACACAGTCTGTTGAACCTGCAGGTATTTCGTGTATGATGTTACATTTATACTCTGGTTCTATTTTGTCTTTTGGGTGGATGAGTATGTTCATTTTAATTAATTATTAATTTATTAATTAATCATTGCATTTATATAGTGCCTTTCAAGATCCCGCTTTACAGTTCATTATTCATTCACTCAACACTGGTGAGCTACTACTGTAGCCACAGCTGCCCTGGGGCAGACTGACGGAAGCGGGGCTGCCAATCTGCGCCATCAGCCCCTCTGACCACCACCAACACTCACACACACACACACACACACACACACACATTTCATACTAGGCAATGTGGGTGAAGTGTCTTGCCTAAGGACACAAGGACAGTTTTTTTCTTGCCTCTGGCGCCCAACTGTGGCTCCTGATTTTCCCAGTGTCTCCCATCCAAGTACTACCCAGGCCCAGCCTGCTTAGCTTCTGAGATCTGGCGGGATCAGGCTTTTTACAAGCCAGTATGGCCACATTTTGTGTTTCTGATTGCCCATGATGTTCTATGTTCCCATGTGTGCGTTCTTTTTTCAGTTTTATTTTTGTTTTTCTGGTTTAGTTTTTCTTTCTCTGTGATTTTGTGTATTGGCGTTGTTTCAGAATGTTGTGCATGTGTGTGTTTTCTTACTGTTTGTCTTGTTCATCTGTTATAATGTTTGTTCTGTCAAACAATGTTCTTACGACAGAGAGTTTGTGGCTGTGGGATGTTCCGATGTCCATAAGAGATACTGGTCTTTGTGAGATGGTTTTGTATGTATTTTTATTTTGATGCTGCCATCCTCCCTGTGTATGATGTTCATGTCCAAAAAATGTATTGTATTATATGTTTCTTATATGCTGCATTATATGTTTCTTCTTCATGTGTGAATTTGAATAGGTGAATTGTTGTTGGTGCTGTGTTTACGGCCTTCTCCTCCAGGTCCTCCATGAAGAACCCACTGATGATGGCCGATAAGGGGTCCCCCATGGCGAAACGCTCCTTTTGCCTATATATTTTTCCTTTGTATTTGAAGTATGTGGATGTGGAAATGAAATGAAGGAGGCAGGTTATGTTTTCCACTGTCATAGTCCAAGCAAAGTAACTCATTTTGGAACAAAAATAGAATTAATTGTAATAGTTTGTTTTTCAGATTAGATCATTTCTATGAGGTGTCCAGAACAACAGACAAAAAGTCCTAAGAAATCCTAATAGAAGAAATATGTTCAATTCTCATCAAACTTTTCCTTTACTCCTCCTCCAGAATTAAAGTACCCATGAAAAGTAATATTTTTTGAATTACAAGTTTCTTTGAAAATTCATTTTTATATGCAAATGAGCTATACAATTATTGAATATGCCCAAAATACACCCAAAAGTGACTATTTATGTATTACAAGTTTCTTTTAGAGGTAATTTGAATATATCACATTAGTTTCACTTTTACTGAATATGGCCTCGTTTGCATTGGCAGAAACACCATACGTATGACAAATACATCAGCCCAATCTTCATCCAACAAGTCTCCTGCCAACAGGTGGTGGCTATGCTGCTTTCAGACTGGACTCTGACCTGAAAACTAATAAGAATAATAATGCATATTTATTTTATATAGCGCTTTTTTGGACACTCAAAGACGCATTACAGAGCATTATTCATTCACTCCAGACCCAGTTGTGGTAAACTACTATTGTAGCCACAGCTGCCCTGGGACAGACTGACAGAAGCAGGGCTGCAAATCTGAGCTATCGGCCCCTCCCACCACCACCATGACTCACTCACTCACTCACTCACACCACTGTCATATTACACAATGTGGGTGACGTGCCTTGCCTAAGGACTCAACGGTAGCTTTTGCCTCTGGCACCCCCCTGTGACTCCTGATTTTCCCACTGGTCTCCCATCCAGTACTAACCAGACCTGGCCCTGCTGAGCTTCTGAAATCTGATGGGATCAAGCTTTGACAGACCG